CAAAAATGAATTCATATTTATAAATCTATTAATCAATTTGCATATTTATATTATTAAACAATTGGGATAACATAATATGAAACTTACAAAAACCGCATTATGACGTTAGTAACGCCTTGTTAACAAATTTTAATTACAAAATATTTTTGGACTCTTTTTGGGTCTACCAATTCCGTCATTACTATTTAGATTTCAAGTCAATCTTCTAAAATCAACAAAAATAATTATATTGCTATCAATGATCGTGTTATACCAAAATTTACTTACAAAATAAGGTAAGACTACCATCAATACTAATGAGTACCTAGTAAGTAACGCATTCCAAGAATTTCCAATAGCATTAATCACGTCCGTTTGGAATCAAATCTCTACGGCCTTGGTAATATGATTTAGATTGTAACAACATGCAATGATTCACATTATAAAGGATGCTCCAGTTACAAACTGTTAACATGCGCTAATGTTTGAACATTGATCTAAAATAACGTGCCTACTTAAACTTCAGACGGGCTGACCTAAAAATTTCACTTTATACACTGGACATTCTCGCAAAACTTACGACATTTCAAACTTACTTGTGTATATTTGACAATATTTTACAATAACTAGATTATCATACTAAAGTCGTCATAACCACTAAGCGAATGCATTTTGTGGTCCAAACTATATAAGTAGATATAACAAAATTTTTCATAAAAGACAAGAAATCTACCTAAAAAGTAACTACATTTTTTTGGTCTTGGTTGTAAAAAGATCAGAACAGATCTAGGAAATGGTGTGTGAGAAGTTCCTGAATCAATAACAGATAGCTTCCGGTTGTCTAGACGTTATGGCGAACAAGGGGAAAGTATCTCCTTAGATGACGCAATGCGGAAAAATAAAGGATAATATAGAAAAGTATGACTAAATAGAAACAGCTTTTAATAAAAATTGGCGATTAAGTTTTGTTTTTTAATTTTATTAGGAATATTCCTTAAACACACATATCTACTAGCTACACGGACCTGTGAAAAGACCTTATATTCTGTCTAATAGAAAAAGCAAAATAAAAAAACTAAACTCTAACAGAAAGCACTAAATAACGTTAAAAATTTCAAAGTATTGAACTTTACTGTGTTATTGCAAAAGAGGAAAATTCAAACATTATAATTATATTATAGAGTAAGCAAATCATTAAATTATTTAGAGCTCTAAAAAGGCTGCACAGATTATGATGTAATTTGATTTACAATTGTCACAGAAGAATAACTTCTAAAAATCATCCAGACTGAATCGTTACAGAAGTTAATATAGAACACAAACTTGTACACATATCAAAGAAACATAAAATAAAACGATAAGAATGTACGACGGTTTAAATAGTACAATTAATTCTGGAACATGCAACTGAAACTCTACACTCGAGTTACTCCAGGAAGCACGTGCATCAACAGAAATGATATCTGACAGCATCTAAGTACACCAGACTCACCGATATCAATGTATTCGTAAATCCACAAAACACAAGTCACAATTCCACGTCAGATCTGTCGTTAGCACTTGGTCAATCGCGTTGGAGCGTTTCGTTAGGCGTATGTCGATGGCCGCCAAGTGATGCTATACCGTGCTCCCGTCTCGTTGAACTGAGGCGGGCGGGCTGCTTCGACTACACTCGTACTGTTTCGGCCTTTAATTTTAGAACTTGGCAAACTCCCCGGTTTTATATAGAGGTGAGTACATCGTATAAAGCGTGTGTGAGATGCGGTCGCCGCCATATATATATAGGAATTACCGCTGTTTTTTTGAGTGTATTCAACATTTTTGCATACCGAAATATTCTAGATATTTCTGATTGGTTGACTTATTTGGCGATTTTTATGTATGATAATACAATAAAACCTCACTTACCCTACTATACATAAGCCTATAAATCTTCTTTCACTGTTCAAGTCTGTTCTCAGTCAATAACGTAATATTTAAAAGTAAAACGACTGTTGCAAGTCTCCTTAACAAACTTATTATGAACGCAAATAGGAAATACTGAGTAAGTGCTTATGAAAACGGCTAACTGAGATGATGTATGTGTGAATATTTAACGTTGTTTAAATCATGCTGACATAATTTTCTATAGGAAGTCATACAAACAATTTAAAAGCACTATTAATATTCCAAACAACCTTTAAACAAAAGGTATAACTTTCATATTTATATGAATTAAACCATGAGCGAAGATACAACAGCTTATTCGTAGTTGAAATACTTTTATTGATACATGATTCATAAAAGTCAAAACAGAATCCCCAAAAAGAGACTGTACCTGTAGCTCTTTCTCATGTATGGAACTGAGATCTTTAAAAGCCGCTATAATTGGTTGCAATCCAATTTCACGTAGCTGCAATCTAATAGAATCGATTACTAAACCTGTCCTTTTGTTAATTATTGTAGAATTAATTATATACTAAAAAATCAATGACTAGCCAGATCTTATCATATGACCTAAAGATAGATCCCTTAAGTATAAGGTACAGGTAACCGGTAATCGCAATTAAGAAAACGAAATACGATTCTGGTGAAACAGACGAGATTTGAACCTAAAGATTGATATAAAAAGTCACGAAAGAATTTTATTTAAAAAGGTCAACTGGTATAGCTTAAAAAAATAACGGCTTAGTTGAAAGGTATAAGGAATTTCGAATTATTGTAGTTAAAATTATAATAATATTAATAATTCGAATCAAATGTAATAATATTTTATTAAAATGATACCACCTGCATTTCGTAAAACGACGTACTTACATATATTTCAAAGATAAAAACTGCAATCTGAATTAATGTTACTGAAAGAAAAAAAGCTATTTGAACTTTCTCAGTTTCGATTATGTCTCTATCGATTTTGTTTTTCGGTCAGAAAATTGACTATATGTAAAATCAATACGTTCACCAAAATAATTACGTCTTTCAACGATACAGAATTCAATACATAGGAACGGTTGTCTGACAATTTAAACATTGAGATATGTCGTTAGCGTCACATACAATTATTATGTTCAGAGCAGATTTATAGTGAGTTAAAATAATATAAGGTGGTTTTCATACACAAAACAACTTGATATCCTACCACATCAACACAGAATTTCAGGTTAAATTATAGGCTAATTCTTATTTTGGTGTATAAAGTTCATCTCTGTAAGGTTTCCTTTATATCCGTTTAGTACTTTTTAGGTGTAAGAGCAACAAACATTCCTTAAAAACATAAATCTCTTTATCGTGTGCATTTGTAATATTTGTAAGACAGACCAGAAAAAAATCTATGCAAGATGAATTCTTAGTAAATATGAAAATTAAAAAAAAAACAGCGTTTTGTATACAGGGTGACTGGTGAATTACTATCGATATTTGAGGACGTGATATTTGACGATCATATATGACAAAATAAAAATAATATAACATAAATATTAATAAACTTCTAAGTAAAGTTAACCAAAAGTTATGTAATTAATTACGCATCGTGTGAACACCCTACAGATTAGGTATACACAATTACACACACACTCACACATACGCGTGCGGCGGCGTAGTGTTGTATCAGCACGCCGCCGAACGCGTCCACACTTGGAACACTTGAAACGTGTCCACACTTTATTTATTTATACGGAAATTTGATCAAAAATTAAGTACTTTTTTTTTACATAATTCGAATGAGAATCATGTACCGAGTATTCTCCTTAAATATTGATAGTAATTCACCAGTCACCCTGTATACATTTCACAAATCGATAGGATTTAATAAAATAAGTAATATGACAAAGCAAAGTTATAAATCTCACCATTTTCTATCATAGTTAACGAGTACTTATACATCCGTCTCATAATTTTTTTAGAATTGCAAAAATAATAAGAAAGCAAGTTTTCAAGTAACGTCCGCTTATAGAAAAGAATAAAGAAAGAAGGAAAGACAAAATATTTAAGTCAAAGATATAAATAAATTATTTCTAATATTACTGCTATTACCTAAACCCCAAAAAGTGCTAGGGTTAGATAAGGAGTGCCTGAAATCCTTGATTAGGCTTCTTCATCGTATTACTAAATTATAAAAGTAACCCAAACGATGAAATGTATAATTCTTGGGAACAACGCCATCTGTGCTGAACTTATTGTAATAATATTTCATGTTATGCTTACATGAGTTAATCTACGGGCTATTAAGTGTTGATAGTAAATTAATATCTTGTTTCTATGTGTCTATATCGGGACATTTTTTTTATACTTAGTCTATCATGAAAGTTTCTTCAATGTTTTAAAATTAACATCTTCACTAATGGAACACAAAAATACTTTTAAAATAAAAATATTTTAATGTAAATGTATTTAATACCCACAAATAGTGTGAATAAATTTTAAAACTTCGCCAAGATGAAAAATTTTAATCCAAAATCACTGTCTTTTTAGAATATTCTAATAAACACAAACACAATTACTTCCAATCCATATTTACAATAATTCATTTTGTGATAAATATATTGTTTTGGTTTTCACTTGTGAATAATAATATTGGAAATCTAATTATTTAAAAATCTATACTCAAAATCATCGTTTTATGTTCTAGGACCTTTTATTTCTCTTCTCTTTATATTTTACAATAAAAAACCGAATGAAAGTTGGATCATTATTTTTTTATATATAATTAGATCATCTAAAATTTATTATCATTTTTATTTAACTTGTTATCAATAAATAACTTCACTGAGTTACATTATAAAAGAAAGTTATAAATTAAGTATGGCAACCCTAATTGAGGTTCATGTCAAATCATTCACTATACAAAAAACTTAAAACTGAATTTCGATGTTGAGCTGACAATTGACATAACATAACACTTCATAGTTTATTTACCTTTAGTCTTTACTCGCTGTTATGTTTTTTAATTAGTTATTGTTGAGAATTTCGTTTGACAACCGAGATCATGTATTAGATCGGTCGGGAAATCTTAGTTATATTTGTTTACGTTTTCATCATATGAAATGTATAATCCTGAAATCAACGACTATCAGCTGACTTCTATTATATCAGAATGTTGCGGCGGCGTCGCTGTGGTTTACTCAGCAGTGTACAAGCCATACAAACAAGATGTGGCTATTAAGAGATACTTCGTCGATAAATCAAAGGAAAAAGCGAACCTAATACAAGTATGGAACAACCTTGGTCTATATTTAGATTTTAAGTAAACATTGTTTTGTTCGTAAACATTTATGGTGCATTTCATTATTAAATAATTAATCCGACACCAGTTCTTGCTTCGTATACCTGTGGGAGCATATTCTATATTATATAATATTTTTTAGCAAGATATTCTTACAAGAAAGGAACTACATCACCCCAATATTTTGCCATACCTTACATCTTTCGTCCACGGACGAGAGCTGTATGTGGTATCCCCTCTGATGAACCTGGGCTCATGCCGAGACATCCTTGACAGATATTTCCCAGAAGGCTTACCGGAGCTAGCCTGTGCTATAATACTCCGAGATGTTTTGCTGGCTCTGCAGTATCTACACAAGCAGTTTTATATACACAGGTGAAATGTATTTCATCATCATTATAATAACGGGCAAGAATTATTCCCAAAATGAAGTTACTTTAAGCATTAAATGAATTCAAATTAGTTTAGTTTAAATAACAATCAATTAACCCATCTTCTTTAAATATATGTCTCTAATGAAACCCTATTTTAGCTCATTGATACATTATAACAACTTATTGTGACACAGTTCTATCTATGTATTAAGGGTTGTTGTGTCCCAAGATAAGTAATATTAATGTCAAATTAATAATTACTATTCCAGGAGTGTCCGAGCAAGTCACATCCTGATAGACACGAGCGGCGCCGTGAAGCTCTCCGGTCTGAGTAGTGCTGCGTGTATGTTAGTGTGTGGCCGCAGACAGCAGCTACACAGCCTGCCGCCGCCCGACCATGATAACACTAACCTCATGTGGCTCAGCCCCGAGCTGCTGGAACAGGTTTGAAGGTCCAACACTCACAGGTGTACATATATAGGTTACTCTACATATATCTGTTGATAAAAATGTTATTTAAAGAGAATCACTCAAGTAACTATAACATAAGACTTCATAAATGGACACTTTTCATATTTTGTAAATTTTATGTCACTTCTTCAAATAGCAGGGTGTGTGTAGTTCTCCATATCAACACAATAAAATAAATAATCAGAAGTTTTGTCTTTGTTGTATCAAAAGGCTGGGGTCTGGATCGATTGTGATAAAATTTTGATTGTGAAATCTGACACAATGAACACAAGCTTACACTTATACACTAAAGACAAATCGATTTTCAATGGAATGAGCAAACAATTTTCCATATATATTTGCTTCTTTTTAAACTAAGAAACACACAGACAAATGCAGAGACTATAACTATAACGATTAAGAAAATCACACATTTTAAAGATTGACAAATATATCTGAAACACCATGTATAAAATATATACTACAATAATACATGTAATTACAAGCTACAACGGCATAGAAACTGTTGGTGAAGTGTTGTTGTATCTAAGTCCATGAGTCACTGCATAAGTCTCACAAATACTAAGGTTTCTTTTCATTGCACCACTTGAGGGACTCAGCAGTTCCATATCGTCTGCGTAGCTAATATTATTGACACAGACTCCGTCAATATGACAAATAAAAACAATACATGTATTTACAAGCTACAATTTCATAGAAACTGTTGTTATAATGTTATTTGTATTCTTCTTCAGAACCTGAAGGGTTACAACGAGCAGTCCGACATGTACTCCGTGGGCGTGGCGTGCTGCGAGCTGGCCAACGGCGCGGTGCCGTTCTCGGAGCTGGCCAGCACTCTCATGTTCACGGAGAAGGTCCGCGGCAGCCGGCCACAGCTGCTCGACCGCTCCTCCTTCACCGACGACGTTCATCACGACCTCGACAGTGAGAGACATGCATCATATACAAACATAGAACCTCCATTTATATATATACCAACATAAAAAACAAGTTTGTTGACTTCTAAATTACGTTAGATAGCAACCAGAGGTTCTAATAAACTACGAAACGTACGTATGAATTGTACGTATGTATATTATAATATGAATTACATATTAAAAGTTGTAACCTACACCTAAGACTACATGACAGCCTCAATGTTAGGATAGCAATACCATTCCATAGCTTGTGTGGTATCAGGAACCTTCTGGTTCACACGGCTTGGTGTTCGTTCCAGGTAGTCAGCAGCGTCACTCGTTATATGATATAATCATACAATAATGTCACCCCAGCGATGTTCATTTATTTTTTGATATGTACCGCTACATAACATCTATATAAATAAAGTGATGAACAGCACTTAGAAGTGAGAGGGTCCTTGAATATCTTCAGGTGCATTGATACTTCGCTTCCATATTCAATCACACCAGCCTAAAACAGGTCCTTGATCTTACACAAAACCTAGGCCATTGATTGTAGGAGGATAGGATCAAGGGTCATCTGACTTGTCAACAAGAAAATTAAACTAGTCGTTACAAAATAATAGCTTTATTAACTAAGAAGACTGACTAGTAATAATTGTAGTTATCATTTCTTCCTACCTGTCAGACGCTTACACCACGGACAGCGGGCTGGGGGACGGCGCGGAGGGCGTGTCCCGTCTGAAGGCGATCTACGCGAGGAGACAGTTGTCAGACTCCTTCCACCTGCTGGCCGACCAGCTGCTGCAGCGGTGAGAGGAGACACGCACACACACACACAGACACACACACACACACAGACAGACACACACACACACACAGACAGACACACACACACACGAGGAAGAGTAATGTTTGCATAACCTATAAAACCACATCATGTCCAGTCAAGCTTGACCTCTGATAGTCGTTCAAATTTCAATAACTGTTCTCCTAATATTCCCGCCACACCAACTGTCATCAAGTATAAAAAACACTAATCTTGAAGTCTCTAAGTGTTAATATTACATATTTTATTATACAAAATTTCTTTCTTTTCATTGGCCACCTGTCACTATCAGTGGCGGCTGGTGGGTTATCGAAATGGTGGTGCACTTTAATAAAATATTAAAATTAGAAAATGCAACAAAAACCAATTGGGTTTTTGAATTATTTTTTTTTTTGTGATAAATGGAAAGATCATATATAAGTTTAATAACAAAACTATTTTTATTTTATTTTTTTTTGCAATATTTAAAAAGTTATTTCAAAATAAAAATTAAATTTTAAATTCAGTACCGAAGACAAGCCGACAGCTCGTGAATAAACCCGAGCGCGTGTGACGTCACAATGTTAGTTTTTGCTCATTGTAGCATACAGAGATATAATAATTAGTACAGTGTTTTGAGTTTTTATCTAGTAAATTCTGTTGGCATTGTTAAATAATCAAAAGTTTTGTACCATTATGTACAAAGACTACAAAAACAACTCCTGAAAAAATGTTTTTAAATGTTCCACAAGACGAAAAACGTCGAAAGAAATGGTTTCAAGCAGTGCATCGAGATTATTCAAAAACAAAATCATTTTTTTTTGTTGTGAAGATCATTTCGTTGTAAGTTTTCATAATAGTATTGTTATTAATTATTATTTATCTAAGTGTATAAATCGAATAAGTATAGTTCAATAATTAATTTTTTTACCTGGGCTCCAAATCATAACCTTTAGAATCGTAGCATTAAAAAATTTTAATTGATAATTCAAAGCGATTAAATAGTAAATCTATATATATGTTTGTCTAATAATTGGACTTCAATTAATAGATATTTTCATAATTTTATAACATTCTAGGTTCTGTATCAGACTACATTTAAATTTTTAAAGTACATATATGTTATTTTGGTTTTTTTATAATGTTATAATAACATTTTATTAACAATGATTTAATGAAATAATTATTAATTATATTTAATAGAGAATAAATACTAATTTTCATTTAGAATAGTATTTTTTGACAGACTTACCTTGATGTCTTAGCACCTCGAACTTCAGCAAAATTAAACCGCACTTTTTAAAAAATTAGTTATCATAAAAATATATTAACATCAGGAATATTATCCGATTTTGCTTTTATAAATCCTTTATCACACATAGTCGAAATAAACTTTTCAAATCGTTTTTCACTAATAAATTTGAGATATTTTTATCAAGTTAAAGATAATAGCCATAAACACTGTACTATTATGAAATTGCTTTAACATTATGACGTCACAAGTATGCTGACCAATCATGGCGCGTTTACAGTCACGTGATATATTTTTGAATTTTATCAATTTTTAATTGTTTATAATTAATTTAAAAAATATATTTCAAGTTTTTTGCATTAAAAATCCAATATAATTAATAATAAAGTTTTAAAATACATAAAAAAAATCAATACTTTTTTTTTTTTCAAAAACCCAATTGACATAAAATATGTTTATTTTTTAAACATTAAATCAATGCGACGACATTTTTCTGAAGCGAAATGTTCAATCACCTTTTTATTAAAATCGGGTATTGTTTGTATAATTATTTTTTTCAATACTAAGCATAGAAAGTGCATTTAGCAAGTGCATGGTATTTCGGAGAAAAGTTTTGATTCTTTTCAATTCCAATTCGTCATACATCGGGTGCTCTCGGTAATCTTCGGCCGCTCGTGCGGCGCTCGAGAACCGACTCATTACTCGGTACATTTCTATGAACTATCTTTTGTCTCACGCGTCAGGCGTATTAATGCGTATGTCATACAAGATGTATTAGGAGTCCTCGTGCACTCGCCGAAGCGCACGAGATATTAGTTTAGTAAAGCGCACAAACTTTTTAACTATACATAATTAGAAATTTAATTTTTTATATGTTTTTGTAGGTTTAGAAAATAAATATAAAAATGGTAATTTAAAAATAAAGATGAAGTAATATTTTGTAATTTTTAAATCTTTTGAATTGGTGGTTCAGCGCACGAGTGAACTTAAGGTACAGCCGCCACTGGTCACTATTACAATATAGTATTGTGTCCAATAAATAGTGAAAATTTACTAGTAAATGAACATATATATCATCATCATCATCTTTAATCAACATCAACCAATCGGAGTCTAATGCTCAGCAACAGCCTCTTTCTCACATGGAAAAGGTTTGAGCATTAAACACCACACGCTCAAGACGGGTTGGTGATTTCAAACTTAATAATTTGATATTATAAGTCCAGGTTTCTTCAATATGTTTTCCTTCACCATGTTTTAGTGGTGTCTAAACACTCTTATAATATATATTATAGTATTACTAGAAAACCCGGTGAACTTCGTATCGCCCTATAATCAAGAAATATTTGTTACTTTTTTAATAAATAAATTTAGGATATACCTTAGCCTCAGAAACACGTGGTGGTTGTGCTATTATTAAATAGTCGCTCATATATGACGTTTGTATTTTTAACGTAGCGCCATCTATTGAATACTTAACTCAGTCAACAGATACTTGTAACAATGACGAATAATTTTCTTTTATTGACAAATAATTTGCAATAAAATAATATTGTGACTATAAATTCAGATGCAAGCTATCCTATCTTTCAAGTTGCATCAAAATGCACACGAAAGGCAAATAAAATTTAAAATCGGTTTAGAATTAGTTATATAATATATAAAGATAATGAATGTCGTTTCTATGTATATATATGTATGTATATATGTTTCAGCGAGCCCGAGCGCCGGCCGTCTGCCCGTGAGCTGCTGCTCCACCCGTTCTTCAAACAGATCCGTAAAACGGACTCACTGGCCGCGCTCCTCGGCAGAGTGTCACCTATCAAACATGACGCCGGTACATACTATATACACTAAAAATCCCTACTAATATTATAAATGCGAAAGTAACTCTGTCTGTCTGTTACGCTTTCACCCCTAAACCACTGAACTGATTTTAATGAAATTTGGTAGAGAGATAGAGTTGACTTTGAGAAAGAACATAGGATAGTTTTTATCCCAGACTTTTGAAAGGTTCTCTTGGAAACGCGATATAACCGAACTCCACGCGGGCGAAGCTGCGGACGGAAAGCTAGTACTATACAGGGTGACTGGTGAATTACTATCAATATTTAAGGAGAATACTCGGTACATGATTATCATTCGAATTATGTAAAAAAATAGGTACTTAATTTTTGACCAAATTTCCGTATAAATAAATAAAGTGTGGACACGTTCCAAGTGTTCCAAGTGTGGACGCGTGCGGCGGCGTGCTGATACAACACCACGCCGCCGCACGCGTGTGTGTGTGCGTGTGTGTATACCTAATCTGTAGGGTGTTCACACGATGCGTAATTAATTACATAACTTTTGGTTAACTTTACTTAGAAGTTTATTAATATTTATGTTATATTAATTTTTATTTTGTCATATATGATCGTCAAATATCACGTCCTCAAGTATCGATAGTAATTCACCAGTCACCCTGTATATATTGAACACACGTTTAATTTGAACCGAACCTTTATATTCCCGAACGCACCCGAAGTGACGTTAAAGCGATGACTTTGATTTATTCACTTTTACGCGGGAAACTATTTGTCAACACGACTTGTGTTTGTGAATTGAATTTAACTTATTTAAAGTGTAATAGTTTAAGATAATAATTAATTTGTTCCAGTTAAGGTTTGATTTATTATTTAAAAGTATAAGCTTTATATAACCACCCTATATTTAAATATTAGAAACCTGAATATATTTAAATTAACCTTAACATAAAGCTAACAAAATAACTTTCAAGTAAATTTTCAACATTTAGTCTCACATTCCACCAACACTGTCTTTAAAATTTGTTCAAAACATCTATATAAAGATAATGTTTTGAATTCCAGATGACGTGACAGCTTTGCAACTACAGGAGAAAATGTCTGAAATGGACGTCGAGAATACTACGGACTGGGACTTCTAGAAGAAGAAGATATAAGAAGAATAGTTGATGATGGAACTGTTATGTTTATATGACTTACATATTATATTATTATATGATCTTTTATTGAACGTCTCATCATAGGTTACCATACATACACTTATGATTAGTGCTGCCATAAAATATTTATATTTATGTGAGATAAAAGCTAGGAAATCTCTCGCCATAAAGTGAAATAGTTTAACTTTGTTAAATATTTAGTTCAAACTTAGTAGGTACTATACAACAAAAGAATTCTTTTTTTGTGACTAGAGATGTTATGTGGTGATTTTTAAAGATTATTTTATTTAATTTAGTCACAATTAACTATTTCGCCCAAGTGGTAAAGCTATTTTGTTAAAAGGATTACTATATTACTATATACTTGTGTATATAGATTATGTTCCTGTGTCAGACTAAGCAATAGTAACTACCACAAGTAAAGTCAACAGTACAATGTAGTTGAATGTGAAAATTTCTAAATATCATTGTCATTTAATTTTCTCACTAAAATTTCTGTTATACATTGTTAAGATTTTAATAATATAATATATAGGTAGAGGCAGACCTATTTAAATCTTATTGTGTTTAGACACGAGAGCTTTTATTGTTTTTTTTTTTAATAATAATATTATGCATAAATTATTCTTTTGAGGAACAAATTTTTTATGATACGACCTCCTTCAAAGTGGAACTATGGAATATTTTGGCGATACTAATATTTTTATTTATTGACCATAATATAATTAAGATAACGAAACTTAAAATAATAAGGAAGATTGTTTTACAAGTCTGATACTTACAATGTATAAATTAAATGATAATTTGGCAAAATATTCCAGAATCCAGCGTGAATGAAGCCATGGCATAAATAAAAAATAAATATATATTTCAACTTTGTGTATTCCAAACTTAGATAAATTGTTAACAATATTACAAAAGACAATATATTTATGTATACATATATTTATATAACATTTCATTTAAAACAACAACAAAAAATAGGAAATATAGAAGAGTATATTAATTTTCAATATAACTGAAATAACACAAATATTTCTTTAACATTTATAGAGCATTTTTTACATAATATACTCCTATGCAGTGGCGGCTGTACCTTAAGTGCACTCGTGCGCTGAACCACCAATTCAAAAATTTTGAAAATTACAAAATATTACTTCATCTTTATTTTTAAATTACCATTTTAATATTTATTTTTTAACATACAAAAACATATAAAAATTAAATTTCTAATTATAGTCAAAAAGTTTGAGCGCTTTAATACATTAATATCTCGTGCGCTTCGGCGAGTGCACGAGGACTGCTAATACATGTTGTATGAGATACGCATCAATGCGCCTGACGCGTGAAACAAAAGATAGTTCATAGAAATGTACCGAGTCATGAGTCGGTTCTCGAGCGCCGCACGAGCGGCCGAAGGTTACCGAGAGCACCCGATTTATGACGAATTGGAATTGAAACGAATCAAAACTTTTTTCCGATATACCATGCACTTCCAAAATGTACTTTCTGTGCTTAGTATTGAAAAAAATAATTATACAAACAATATCTGATTTTAATAAAAATTTGATTGAATATTTCGCTTCAGAAAAATGTCGTCGCATTGAATTAATGTATAATAAATAAACATAGTTTATGTCAATTGGTTTTTTGTTAGATTTTCTAATTTAATATTTTAGTAAAGTGCACCACCAGTTCGATAACCCACCAGCCGCCACTGGTCCTATGTATGGCAAAAAAGTTTTGGTCCAATTTTGTATGAAATGTATGATCTATATTAGTTTTTGTTTGACATTATGGTGTCCAGTAATGCCTTTATCCAACAAGAGACGGCTCGAGCCCCTGCATCCTCGTCCCGGAGACGATTCTGACTCACGTAGGACGCGCGACCAGCTCTGGAGATACACAGGCCATAATAATATTCATTTAAATAAAAGTAATATTATTCTTATTCGAAAAACTACATACTACCAGTGCCGTAACTAGGGCGGTGTCAGCAGTGCAAAGGCACAGGGCGCAGACTAGTATCTAGTTTTATCTCATGCATGGTAGCTATATACTTTGTTACTTTGGTAAACAACAAATAGATAGATTTATTTGTATGCACATTAGTCCATTTTATTTTCAGAGCCTGGTTAGAGCATTTTTCAGAGGCGCAATTTTGAAACCTCGCACCGGGTGCATAAAAGGCTAGTTACGGCACTGCATACTACTGACGTTTCGGTTACTTTGCCTTAACCGTGATCATGATAATATTAGTTTCATTTAAGTACAGTCCATGATAATTGATCAGTGACAAGAATTACGGACTATCTGGGCACATGCTATAGTTATATAGAATTGTTCTTGTATGTGCGACAGTTGAAATAAAGAATTATCATGCATATATTGCAGGTATAACAAAGAATTGTCCACGCATGCTAGAATATTACCAAAAACTTATCCTTGCATAACCTATAATAGTATCCTAGTTAAAACAAAAATCTTTTTTGCCAAAACATTAGTGAGTTATATACCTCGCAACCATATGAGCGGTGTCTCTGGCGCCTTTTTCTGCTGCTTCCTTCATTGACGAAAGCAATGTTTTTAAATCGCTGTTGATGTTTTGTTTGAACGCTACGGCCGCCTGATGCAGAGGGTCCAACTGAAGAATATTTAATGTTAATTACATATATATTTTATTATTAACATGTATATTTTAGATATCATTATAATATCAACCCACCATCGTCCTATCTCCCGGCTCGGCTCCTCCGTATTTACTGATGGCAGATATAGCACCATCCAACGCGGATAACCATGTATTCCTATCGTTTGCTGTGGCTCTGAAGACAAAGCATTTTTAATATACTTATCGAACTGAAAACTACATGTTGAAAACAATGAAATTATTAAAATTCTAGTTTTTAAGTTACAAAATACCAAATATGTTCTTCTAAAGACCAAATATAGTAGTAAATTCAAATTATGTTAGCCCTAGTTTTAGACACTTTTTGATAAATTGAAAGAACAGTTACTAGTTTTAATTCCTTCAGATCTGTGAATGTGGTGTCACTATAGTAACACCACACTCACAGATCATACATTATAATCTATCCTAACTGTAAACATCTTGTACTAGCTACTATCAGGAACTTAAGTCCTCTCAAATTTTTACCACATTGAGCCATACTCATTACCCATGTATATTTTATACCCACTTGGACAGCGCCGCCGCAGCAGCAGACAATCCCAAGCTGTAGAGTCCTCCGGAAGTCCCTCCCATATCCGCTTCCGCCAATTCAGATAGTTGCCATAACACACGAGCTGGTCGCTCTAGACTGCCCGAAGATAGGTAACCTTGAACCCCTGATGTGTAAAACAGAAAAAAAATCATTTAGTCTAAGTAAAGAATCTTCTATTGTGGACTAGGCCAAAAATTTATAATTACCTTGAGCAAAGTTCTTAAGAGTAATCCCACAGTCTCCATCGCCACAACCAGAGTCCAACTCGTTAAGCTGCTTCTCGATGTTGACCAAATCTTGACAAGCTTTCAATAGACTAGACTTCATCAGCTCTTGCTCGGAGTTAGAGAATATTGGACCCGAGATCATCTAGACAATACAAAATTAAAACTATACAAACAGTATTGCTATTAAAATTAACCAATTTTACAGTATCGTAAATGACAACTATACCGCCGAAAAAACAAATAAGTCGTACGATTGTAACTCCTATATTTATGTTGTTAACATAAAGCAGCTTTGATTTAATGCTAACATGAGAATATCATAAAAAGAAATTAATAATATTTCTTCAATGCATTAAGGATTGGAACTTGCAACCTCTGGAATACCTCCTTTAAGTTTTGGAGTGGCTTTTAAATTTATTTCAATTATAAAATCGAGAAAACTTCACCTTATCATCTCGTGATTCTACCAAGCTGTCGTCGTCTTCATGAGGCCCGGGTTCCCCTCGTGACAGAGGTCCCCCAGGCCAGACCGCAGATGTAGTCGGAGCGTCCAACAATTCGAGCCAGAAGTCACCATCATCATGACTGAGATTTAAAAGACAGATTTGAAAGCCCTGCATTTCCAATGAAGTCTTCAGATGACCGGAGTAGAGACGTTCCATTTTAATCTGTTTGGAATCTGAAAAAATAAGTTGCATAAAATACATTTTGTTTGGAAGCAACTATTTTTTTTATTTATGAAATAAGTAAGTTATAAATAATTTTAACAAAAAAGAAACAGGAGATCTTTTCTTTAAAATCTAATGACTTCATGTTACCTTCGAGAGTAGGAGAATATCATAATTATAAGAATATAGAACCAATAGCAGGCCATAGTAATATATTGTCCAGCTCCTCACCCAAGTAATCCTTGATTTCAGATGCCACGATGTTCATTTCCAGCAAGGAGGTGCCGCCCATATTATTTATCATGCCCGCCACTCTGTTACCAGACCTTAGTTTGAGATGAGATACTATCTGTGGGATAACATTTTGATTTGCCAATTAAATAAGCATTAAATCATTCACAAACATTTTTTTTATTGATGAAAAAATCTGTACTCTAAATAAAATCCGACCGTTTGATTTCTTTGTTGTAATACGTAAGAAAATTTGTTTTTTTTTTCTAGGGGTGACAAAAAACAAGACTTATTGACATACTCTTATTATCTTATCGTGAACAAGTAATGGTTAAAAATAAAAATAATACGAGTCAATTTAGGAAAATTTTGCTTTAACACTCGTTTAGTAATTCCAAATCGTCCTCTGGGTATATCCATCTATCATAATAAACCAGCACGTATATAATCACCTTGTCCAGGATCATGCCGACCGTCTCCCGGGCGGTGCCCACCTTCCTCTTCTCCACCCCGGCCTCCCCGTGAACTCCGGCTCCTACTTCCATCTCGCCAGGGTTGGTCTCGAACAAAGGGGGTTGACCTTTATTAACAATCATAAATTATAACCTATCCACCCCCAAAGCCTTAAAGTATAAATTTTAGTCGCCTTTTTAGTATGTCAATGAGATGAAAATAGGAAGGTACAATTTTTTTTTTGCGAACTCATATTATTTTTTTTTAAGGAAAATTTCACAATAAAATTCACAATTGACCCCCCCCCCCTTAACTCTTGCGCCGTCTCTTCGTATTCCCCCTTCCCAAGAGCGTTAAACGTTTAACACACTCTTGTTGGAAGTCGCGTTATAACTTTCACTTCAAAATGTTTTCTGTTAAGTTCAGTTGCTCTGTATTCGATACATATGTAGTTAAATTTGGTAGGAATAAAATAGTTCATCATACTTATAACTTCAAGATACAACACGTTTCCTTACCTGGCAAAGAACATGCAGTCAGACAAATTCCTAAGGTTGCCATATTTTTATTAACGCTCTCAGCCATGCTTCTTATAGATTCTAAATCACTTCCTTTGGCAGACATCGCTCCGCACATCTGAGACAATCAAAATAAAACATATACCATCTTACTACGATCTTTAAAACTAGCTGTTTATCATAATAACTCTCGCTATGATCTTGGTAACAATTTAAAGTCAAAATATGAATAAAATTAAGATAAGCTTTCCTATAACATCGGAAAATAAGTACCAAATTATCCACAAAAAATATTTATAATAAAAGCTGGCAACAATTCAGAATAAGTGATAGAATTCAGGAGATTTAATTTAACATATTTAATTTTGTAAACGAATGAAGTTACCTTATAGATGAATACTTCGCCACACATACCTCTTCCACCGGTTTTGTTGTGGCTAGAGGCGACGTCCTCACCCGTTATGATTCCTTCAACCTAAATATTTATATTAACTTTAGTGTTAGACGAATCGTAAAACTTTATTCAAGATTATGTAAAACAAATACCTTAATTCCAGCCATCTTAGCTTTTTCGAAAGCCTTGCCGAAATTTAATCTGTCTCCTGTATAGTTTCCTAGCAACACCAGAACACCACCTGAAATAAATCCAATTTTTATTTGAAATCAAACTAGCAATAATAATAAATCTATGTCAAAATATATTTTAGTGTTTCTAAATGTTATTTAATCAACGAGATTTTATACTTTAGGAGTAATCACTAGAATGCGTTTTACATAATTATTTTTATTTTGTTTATTTACCAGAATTGTATTTATAAAGCTGTGTGATTCCGTACAAGATGTTTCCTGTAGGTGGCGAGGCGAACACACCGCCAGCCACCGCTCCGTCCGACATACCCTCACCTATAAGACCTGCAAAAATTATGATTAGATAGAAAGATGGATATTGACATATTTTGTAATAGCCTTGTGAAATTTAAATGTAATTTATTAAGTTTTTATTCGATATATAATTATAATGTAAAGTAATCTAATATGATGGTTGTGTGTACTGACTCATTAATTTGTTGTATTTCATTTTATTGGATATTGGAATTCTTTATTTTATTTATTAATGATATTAAAGTACATACAAAATTATAAATATTTTAAATTCATTTTTTATAATAGACTATTAATTATTATTATTATTTTAATGTTTATGTTGATGATTATAATTATTAGTTTTTTTTTTCTAATTTCCTTTTGCGCATTTAATGTAATATAATTTTATCTGCATGTTACTTGTCTATTTTTCTTTGAAATCTGTGTAACACCTATAATTAAGACAACATTTTGATTTTATGATTACTTGTTCAATATTGTATTCTTCACTTTTATTAATGTATGTCTTGATGGTGTTAATAAAATAATTATTAATGATATTAAAGTACATACAAAATTATAAATATTTTAAATTCATTTTTTATAATAGACTATTAATTATTATTATTATTTTAATGTTTATGTTGATGATTATAATTATTAGTTTTTTTTTCTAATTTCCTTTTGCGCATTTAATGTAATATAATTTTATCTGCATGTTACTTGTCTATTTTTCTTTGAAATCTGTGTAACACCTATAATTAAGACAACATTTTGATTTTATGATTACTTGTTCAATATTGTATTCTTCACTTTTATTAATGTATGTCTTGATGGTGTTAATAAAATAAATAAATAAATGATAAAACAACAATAACTTTAGGACTGACCGACTATACATGTAACAGGATTAAATTATTCTATGTTAAATATCTGACCTGCTGTAAATGGTTCATGACCGGAGCCACCTCCTCCCATGATAGCTACTCTGCCAGAGTCATCCTAAAACATTATAAATTATATAACCACTTATATGACACATCACGTCATCGGCCTATCAGAGCCCACTGCTAAGCAAAGGCCTCTTCTCACATGGAGATGGTTTGAGTAGTAATCACCACACTTGCTCAAGACGGGTTGGTGACTTATTTTGAAACTTATAATTATGAAATTATAAGTCCAGGTTTCCTCACGATGTTTTCCTTCTCCGTCTGTGGTGTATAAATACTCTTAGATAGTATCCTACATATGACTCGGAAAAAATCACATTGGTACTTGCCAAGTTTCGAACGAGCCGGTCCTTTTAACCACTAGATCAGCACCTACCTACCACTTATTTAATTAGAAGAAATAAAAAAAATGTTCTAAGAAATTCGTATTCTAAAATTTAAATACATTGATATGAAAAATATAAATACATTGATATGAAATAATACCTTTCTTCTTAAAGTGAGCACCCTGTGTTTAGGGTGCAGCTGTATCTGAGGGTATAGCGCCACCAGCCCACGAAGATTATCATCCACGCAACTATCAGGAGAGTTTATAATTTTCGTTGTTACTTTACGAGAACCCATTGTGTGTTACCTTGAAATTAATTAAAATCAATGCCTGAATTCCTTCGTCTATACTTTTGAGATCTCACAAGAATTTTGCGGCATTTAATATTAATTTTTCCTCATTTTAATGCCTACACTATTATTGTAAAAATAAATGTTTATGTAATCGATTAGCGGCAACAAGTGATAACAATTTCGACCACACCGGAGCTACAACTATTCATCGCGATGTTTCTCAAAAACACATCTTTAAAAGATACATTACGAGACATAAATATTATAAAGCGCGTATAATAAAAAAGAAGAAAAATTATTTACAGCAAAAAATGTGTCTTTATTAGAAAGGTAAAAATCTCACCAACCGATGAAAAATAATGACTAGTAACGCAATTGTAACATTCGACCACACTGACAAATGTTTAAGAAATAAAGACCAAACAATAAAAACCGATGTTTTGAAACGATAAACCGAATCTTATCTGTTATGTAAGTAACACCAATTTTATCAACAGCGGGCTAAAGTTTACGGCCTTTTGCCAGATTAAAAAGATAACAAGTTGATTATGAATGACAATAAAAATAAACAGTAGGTACGTATGAACTAAGTATTATTTGACACTCTCATAACATATTAATTGCTAAACACCAACACTACATACGTTCAGAGCATGTAACATACAAATTTTACATTGAACACCACGTCAAATTCGTGAAACAGTATTTCTTCGAGGTCTCCTGTTTTGTCTTTGTGCTACACTATTTAAAATATTCACTAAGTCTTTTTAATATTTGCCTTAATTAACATAAAGATTAGAAAAGAATCGTTGTTGTTTATCATCGGTAACTTGTACGCAATAACGTATTGACGACTGTACAGTGAATAGAAAATAAGAAGTCATTTAAAACAAGCTACATAAAATAAGAACTTATGCCATCTTATTTATCAAGGAAAAAGAGCATTTATTGTATAGACTTAGTAGTGTGTTTCATATAGCAGAAACATTCAATTAAGTACGTCTTTTCAATCAAATATCTCAGAAGAACCAATTGCAAATGATACATATCCGTTTATGAGTCAAGATTTTATATTTATAACACTGCCATACTATCCAAGTGCATTATATATTAATCTTACTACTCTAAATAGGTAGGTGTAGTTTCGCCATAGCAATTTATCAATTTAATTTAAATTTTACAATAGAATTTAATTTAAATTTTACAATAGATTTTCATAGAAGTTTGATAATTATTAAGTAATTTTATATACAGTAGCATTATTCACCAGTCTTGTTTTTATTAAATGGAAGGATCATTTAATCGCTGAATAGGTCGTTAGCGATTGTGATCTCAAAAAATGCCCGCCTTATGATATTTTACGAGTATTACCAAAATTATCCTTTTAAAAATATAAAAACATAAAATATAATATTTATTAAAACCTTTTTCCCCCTTAAACCTTTTTGAACCTATAGATTCAAAGAAGGTGATCGTAAGTCGTGTAATACTAAATAAAGGGTTAAACAATTTTTTTTGTGACATACGAACATTAAATGTTATTACTTACTAGGAGGAGAATTTGATGAAATCGAAACAAAGACACAGATTATTAAAAAAGTATATCTTTTATTTCAATTATCTTAATACTATGTTATAATATTTAAAATCTATTTTATATGATCATAAAAGGATTTGAGACCCCTCGGAAGCTGACGATGTTTCCCAAAAACCCTCTCGCTGCTCCATTATAGGACACGCGATGGAGGGTCCGATCGCTTGAGGCTCGCCACGTCACGGTAGCCCGAATGCTCGATGAGAACAATCCTTCAACTCGCTCGATCGAGAACCTATGTAAATTATATGAACTAACTAGCGAGTACTTCTTTAAAATACGACAAATAGGTTATTTTAAATGATAACCCTAAAAGGTGCGTTTCAAATTTGGTTAGGGAGAGAGAGGAGCTTGGACGGTGGAGGTGAGCGTTTAACGCGTTTCGGATAGGGACCCCTTAAACCTATACCTGGGTCGCAAGTCCCAGTCACTGTCGAAGCTCCTCTCCCTGCAACGCGATGGACCCTGGCACCCGCACGTTGAATCCGTGGAGTGCTGAGAGGTTTCGTCTTTAATAATTCTGATCACGATTATTCGAATGCCAAAAGTTACTACCGTACTAACTCCCAAGAGTTGAATAGAACACTAATCATGTCACATATGTCATAGTGTCCTGATTTATTTTACTGTATTAATACATAAAAATGCTGAAGTTTACCTGGTATCCCAGTCAGCATCAGTGGCTACGGTTATCCAGCCACCCTGCTCGAGCTTCTCAACTACTACATAACTTGATTCCTGTCGCAAATCATTTCTAGGATTCGCTCCGACCTATCATTTGATTCAGTCATCATATAATTAACTCATATTAAAATACATACAAGCGTATAGTGAATATCAATTATTATAGGTAACTAATTTGCGGACTTACAAACATAACAGTAACAATTTCTCCTGCTTTAACGATTTCGGGTGGTTGTTGAAGAACATCTCCGAAATTGGTGCCGAATGGGGCGTTGTCTGTGGGGACGGAAGGTATAAAAGAAATAGTCTGGTTCAAAAGATCTGCCGGTTCAGGTCCCTCAGGTATAATATTTCCCTGTAAATAATACATCATTAGTAACAATTATTTATCAATAAAATAAACATAAATAAGTATTGTGATATACGAACCACTATAGTGGCTATTGTGTACTCTTTTAATTTATTCAGGTAAATGTCTAAAGTGTGCGGACCATAAACTGTTGAGGCGGCTTCATAACGTTGAACCTGTTTAAAAATTCTTAAGAATAATTTATGTCCCTTTTAATTTATCCTAAATATAATGTACATAAACATCAAGAGACTGTTTTTACCTGATACTCCTCAAACGTGGTCACATAATGAGCATAATCATTAGCTGATGAAGATACCACTACTTTGGGTTCGAAGCCGTTCTGTTTTAAAACATCAGCGACCACATCCTTCATTCGTCGTCCAGCCATAGTTGTGGGTTCACCGGGAACTCCAATGACAGCGAATCCTCCGATATTAATGAGTGATAGGGTTACTATATTTGGATGCCAGGGTAACGGGAAATTCGCCTAAAATAATTTATAAACACTTCACCGTTAACATAGAAACAGGAAAATATTTTTTATAAGAAAATATAACGACAAATTGACTTCGTGGTTCAACAGAGAACTAACCCGTCCCGTGGCTAATAAAATCGGTTTCGGAGCGTGGCACGCCACGTCAGCTGGTGTTGCTTTACCGATTATGGAGGTGATGGCATCCAACAGTGGATTGCCAACAAGAGTTCCCTGAAACAAAAATTAATTATCTCGTCATATTGAATTTCCTTTAACATTATTCAGTGGATGATTATGTACCTGTGTAATATTCAGCCCATTCGCTCCATCGAAAGTTCCTGATGCGAAGCTATATCCTAGACTAGGCACACAACCATGTACTCTTTCGTTCTGTAATATGATTATTATTGTAATAAAAGAAAATAAGATCTTTGAATGTAATTCTTAAATAGATTGAAAGCATCTACTAACTGGCAATACTGATAAAGTAAAACTAACCGTAAATTTTCTTTGAACGGGATCGTATCTGAAGCCACTCTCCGCTGGCATATCTAAAAACTGGTTCACAACTCGAAGGGAACCCCTCACCTCTTGGCCTGGTAAGGAAAGAGCTTCCTGGATGGAATTTGAGTGGAATTTAATTTATATAAAAGTTTCGATGTGCCCATACCATGCACAAAATCCTTACATTTTAACAAGTTTACATAATATAATTTATATACTTTTTTTTATTTCTCAAAAAACAAACCATAGCTCCTAGAAAAATAGCTTCTCCTATTTTCTTGGTACTCTCGAACATGTCTTCTCCTGGACCCTGAGCGAAACAAAGCTCGAACAGGTCGCACAGTCGGAACTGGTTATCACACTTCTGACCGCTGCGCTCACATCTAGGACCACGGATATTGGGAGATACGTCTCCAAGGCTGGCTGAGAAGAATCCTCCAACTATCGCAGGCTAAAATTTGGAACGTGTTGAAATAATAACTTAAATTTTCTTTAATTCCTGTTATTGACAATATTTTTCTTCCTTCATACCTTGGATCAAACAAAAAACCTTACCTTTCCCGCCCATCGTCCCGGGTTCAATTCCTTCTCCATCCTCATGGCAGCGTATCCAAGGTTGTCGGAGGATATCAGTCTGTTAGTCATGTTCATACTGGTTGTGTGGACTGCGAACCAGTTGAGAACGCCGTGCAAACTACCGTCAGACTTCACCACGCGGAGTTGAGTTAGCTCAGTGTCGGTGTTAGAATTATATCTGATATATGAGAAGATAGTATTCCATAAATTGAATACACCACAAAACAAGGCATGTTTAAATTGAATATAATTGTACCTCTGTCTTTCCTCGGCAGGATTTTGATCGTACGAGTAAGGAGATCTGTTCATTTGTGCATTTAAAACATGCGTTGAGCTCACGAAGAGACGCGCAGGAACTATTTGATTGTGAGCGTTCACTATACTCTGAATATAAGCAAGGTAATAAAACTTATTAGTTTTACTGAAAACTTCTATTATTATCCATAAAGTATTCATATAAACTGTACACCTCACCCGAGTTATACCGTTCACATAAGCGTCGAAAGTTTCCTTAGAGAAGCCCAATGTGGGTACACTGAACAAGAAATTCCCAAGATATCCCCCGGGTCCGCTGTGAGTGTGTGTTCCTGTCAGGATCACATTACGTAAGCTGTAGAGGTTACCAAACCTCTGTTGAAGGTTTTGTACCACCTGATATTAAAGATAAGTTACTTTATTACAAATCTTATTAATTATATTAGAAAAAGTACAGTCCTGATTTACCCACTGATAGAAAAGGTCTACATTCTAATTTTCTTTAATGTTTAGAGTCTATTAAGGCGAGAAAGTGTTTTTTTAACAAATTAGTATACATCATAAATGTGTCTTTGTAATCAAAGATAGAAATGTAATACGATTATAGCGAAGTTTATCTCTTTATAATTATTTATCTATCCACACTTATCAAATTTCCTGTAGCATCAAATTAATAGGTTTCAGTTTTATAGAAACCAAACCAAAACAATCCTACCTGTCGTCTTACACCAGTATCGATGGAATGTATATCTGCTGTCACAAGCACGACCCGGGTGTTGCCTCTGACGAAGATAAAAGCTCGAGAAAACTGACGAAGATGAATTCCACCGCCTTTCTGACCTAAGTCAGCGTAACCCATCTGTTGAACAAGTTATAACAACACTCTTTGTAATAATTAAACAAGCTTACATGCAAATTGCATAAAGATATAATACTTATGATATACCTAAAATTAAAACTAAGACATTGAATTTTGTTTTCTGCTAGAAAGAAATAGGCATATTTTGATGTGCACATAACTTACAAAGCCGATATCAGCGCAGGGTCCAGTCATATCAGCAATGCCAACTCCAACCTGGTATTCTTCACCAGATCCTGACTTCACCAAGCCCGTTACCATAAGAATTATGATCACACACTTCATCATTTGTAACGTACCCATTTTTAAAATAAAGTTACAAAAATTCGATTGCTCTTTGTGTTGTTGTTTATAGTCTCTGGAGAAACAAAATAAATTTAAATTTGATATTATAATTTTATTTTTATTGACACAAATATAAATTAATATATTTAACACAATTATATTACCTACACAGAAAAATAAATTAACGAGGCACCAAAATTAAATACGCACAATAAAATATTAAGCAAGGTGCGTTTTATCAAATTTTCTTTGAGGAAACTAACGATACCACTACTGTTTTAGTTTTAATTAGTAACTGTTTTAAGTTCAGTTTTTATTTTTAAGTAAACTCTTTATCATCTTATACAATTAATCAATGATACAGGTGTTGAAAAAAACAAAGGAAGTTATTTATCTCTAATATTGATAATAATCTGAACGTTGTCTACTACCTATTTACCTATTTTGTACAGTCTTTGTCTTCGATTACAAATATCCATCATATTAAAAAAAAATCTCACCCTCATATCGCCCAAGAGGCTTCTTACGGTTTTTACTTTTTATATAAAACATTACAAACATAGTGCAACCAAGGCCATCGACTGTATAATACAAGATTTGTACTTCAATAAAGAGAATCATAGAATATATATATGTATAACCAAAGTAGCAAACGACCAGACGGCCCAGTTGGTGAGCAGTTGTCACCGTCAGCCACGGACGTCTGACAGTTAATAGATGTTAACCTTGATTTTTGAGGAAGAAGGAAAGGTTGGGAAAAAGGAGAGGTCTGGAAAGGGTGGGAAGAAGGAAATGGCAAACGGCTTTTTCACTAACTCGAAACGCAGCCAATAAAGGCTACTTCACGCCGATCCTGTCCGAAGATGGTACTTCCCCGATCGAATCAGCCCATTACGACCTGCAACTGACCACAGGCTCTACAACCTTTTAAAGAGACCACCTTTTAATTCTGACAGAGACTTGCCAAAACGTTTTAATATTAATATTTTTTATGAGACTTCTTTAACTACAATTTCCAAGTAATCCTCCGTCCACAACAGCATAACAATTTATAATTATAAACAACCGTACAAGGGCACATTTTCTATTATTATATTATTCGATGCAGTTAATTTATATCAGCCTTTCCTAAAGTGGGCGACCCTTGTGAGTGCTGCAGAATAAAAAAGAGGGTGTTGTGTTTTGTGTAGAAGCCTGGGGTGTGATTTGGTAATTTCCTTTAGCCAGGATAAGTTATAGTAGTTTTTTGGTAGATTAAAAAATGGAGTCGGTAAAAAACAATTTATTCTCAAAGTGATTTTGGCAAAAGACACAGTAATTTTGGAAACCTCTGATTTATAATAACAATGAGATTAAAATATTTTTTACTAATCCAGAAAAATAAAATAAAATAGTTTAATAAACGAAATTAGTACATAAAGTTAGTTTCTGTATATACTGACTAGCTTTTGCCGCGACTTCGTCCGCGTGGAATAGTGACTTCCGGCAGATTTTTGGTTCTTCCCACATAGTTCCCGTTCTTGCGGGGTTTTCGGAATGGTCGAGTTCCCGTAGAATTTTCAGGATAAAACCTATGTTTTTTTTTAAATTAACAATGAAGTACTCTTAACCAACAACATATTTATTTGTTTATTTGAATAAAGATTAATATTATTATGTTGATACAACTTAAACAAATTATTTCGACCAAATTAGGTACCATAAAAACGGTTTTTGTGAGTTAATCTTTAAAGATAGACATATACTGTCGCAGACTGTTTATTCTTTTTACATTTACCGGATTATTCTTTAATACCTTTTTTTTGTGTATCTTGAAAAGTTTTCACGGCGCACGCAACGGAAGGCTTCAAAGATCTCTCCCGTTTTTTACACATTTACCACTATATCTGTGCTCCTATTGGTCGTAGCGTATGTTATACAGCCCACAGCCTTCCTCGATAACTGGACTATCCAACACAAAAAGAATATGTATTCAATTCGAATCAGTAGTTTCGGCGATTAGCGCTTTCAAACAAACAAATAAACAAACAAACAAACTCTTCAGCTTTATAATATTAGTATAGATTATATGAAACCCTAAAGTAACATAATTATTTTACTTCTTATTAAAATAGTAGTAGCTAATGATGTTCATTGATTTATTAATGAGACCAATTCCTGCTTATAGAAATCAGCTTAGTTACAAATGGTAGGTATTCATGATGAGAAAATGATTAAAAAAAAGATATTGGAATTTATTCAGTTTTTATTCTTTTTCGATCGAACAAAATTAAATATCCTATGTCCGTCTCCTGGTTCTATTCTATCCCTCCGCCATTTTTCAAGCATATCCCTACAGCCGTTCTAGGGATATAAATACTGTAACTAACAAAACTTTCCTTGTATTTTTAATATAATGGTTATATTAAATAAATTTATGAAATGTTTAATATTTAAAAACTTTATAAACGCTATCAAGCGTAATCAAAACAGTCTGTGATTTGTTAGGAACTTTAACAAAAGTTATTTCCTACTTAGCGTACATTACTATTGTTTTTTTATTGTATCTTCAGTATAATTTAGTAAAATAAAGAAATTGCAATAATCAAAGTGAGGTTTTACAAGTGCAACATTATGACTACTTTAGAAAATACATTCAATTGTTTTAGACTGTAATTAACAAATGAAATAAAAAAATAAAACAAACGTCACATTGACGTACGAAAAACTCAACTTTTTATTATATTAAATGTTTTATTACATAATACAAGTCTAGTAAGTGCTTACACAAAGATAACACTTACGATAAAAATCGTATAAGGAAAGTCTACTCGAAAAATATATATCATAAAAATTGATAGAAACAGGAAAATCACGACACTCACAATGTTCAAATGAAACAAAAAAAAAATTGGATTAAAAACTAAATAATCCAGACGTGTCGGTTACTTTTCAGCTACCGTGATCATTAGCAGACGAGTTGAATTTTAAAATAATAAAATACGTGTAATAATCGGAACAATATTAGTTTTATTTAAATGAATACTCGCGAAAATCTTAGATCTCATTATTCACAATGTTCGTTTGTCAACTTGTATATATCGGCGCTACCAGCTTTAATAACGGATGCTACTTGAAAATAATTTCAGGCCATCATCAATTCTTATTAAACCTCATTAGTATTTATGATTATTGTTAAAAGTAAAACGAAATCAAAGGAGAATAGAACTATGTATAAATCTTGTTATAAATATGACGTCTGGACTCACGACGGCGGACTCCAGAATTGAGACTCCAGAATTGATAATTCAGAGTTCAGTGAGTGTGTATCATTGAAGTATGTAATTATGAAGAATCTTTGAGAAATACAGGAGCATTAAGACCAATAGTCCAAGAGACAGGGCCAGCCAGGCATTCGTTAATTTACAAAAGCTGAAAGTTTTTCTATAGATGTACCCAATATAGGTAGTCACGATCCCCAAATATGAAATTTGGGTCGAGGTGGCTTTGGCAGGTAACACATTCTAAAGGTGTATAAAATTTTCTTTCACTTTCCTCTTAGTACAAAATTCAGTTTTGATATATTGTCATCGTAATAATATTAGAAATCACGCTGTAAATTGCCCGGCACTTAGTAAGGTGGGAAACCCAGCCAGGCACCCCTAAATTATAAGTAATTTTATTTGTACTTTCGTTATAGTACATATATAAGCTGATTTTTATGTATGTTACTGAGGAAAGTGTTAAATTATATTTACTCAGTAGCCAGGCAGTTTCGATGGTGCTTTCACCTGGCCAGGCATACTGAAAGTCTTCCGTAAGTGCGAGAACGAGGAACATATATCTGAGCGAGTGTGAGTGAGTTAGTGCTCTCGGTCTATTGCGAGCTTCTACTGCGCATCAGCTGTCATTTAGCAATGTATTTTGTGTGAACTATTTTATAATTTAACAAATTTTCAATAAGTTATTACATCAAAAATCTAACAGTTTAATTAAAACTGTTTTGAAAAATTCTACATTTCAATGTTTATTCAAATTAGAATCACAATATTAAAAAAATAAATTATGTATTATGGGAGGGCATAAGTAATTTGTCAATAAGAAATTTAACGAAAAAGATATTTTTATTATGCCTATTATTACTTTTACTTTTTCTAGTATCTAGTATATAATATCAGCAACAAATTACATTTAGAACCATCTTTTCACTCAATGACTGAACTATATAACACATAAAAAAGTATTGTTCAGAAACAGAAGAGCCTACCGTCTGTACGTTTACTTTTGAAAAAGCATTTAACGAGAAAAATTTGTCCCAAATAACTAAGTTTGTCTTCTCAGTAACTAAATACCTATAAAATGTAAACATGAACATATCTATTCGTAACTTTATCGAGGATATGTTCCTTCCTCTCGCACTTACGGAAGACTTTCAGTGTGCCTGGCCAGGTAAAAGCACCATCGAAACTGCCTGGCTACTGAGTAAATATAATTTAATACTTTCCTCAGTAACATACATAAAAATCAGCTTATATATGTACTATAACGAAAGTACAAATAAAATTACTTATAATTTAGGGGTGCCTGGTTGGGTTTCCCACCTTACTAAGTGCCGGGCAATTTACAGCGTGATTTCTAATATTATTACGATGACAATATATCAAAACTGAATTTTGTACTAAGAGGAAAGTGAAAGAAAATTTTATACACCTTTAGAACGTGTTACCTGCCAAAGCCACCTCGACCCAAATTTCATAATTGGGGATCGTGACTACCTATATTGGGTACATCTATAGAAAAACTTTCAGCTTTTGTAAATTAACGAATGCCTGGCTGGCCCTGGCTCTTGCTCTACAATTGAAGTTTCATTTTAAAATATCATGGACCGTTCTAGAAGAAGTGACATTAGAGACGTCAGTGAGGCTGGCGTCCCTCTTTTTTTAAAACAACGAATGTGTCATAAATCCGATATATATTTAAAGTACCAAAAAATTATACTCAAAAAATTATGTATTGAGAGTAACTGATCAATTTGAAAAGAACTTTTTTAGTTACCTACTCTTACACATGAAATAAAAATATAAAAACTGGGCTACAGGTAGATTCAATATATTTAAATGAAACTAATATTTTTCGGATATTTTTGTAAAAAAGTACATCTCGTCTGCCCGTGATTGCTGAAAAGTAGCCAAAACATCGGGAGTATGTAGTTTTTGAAAATATTAAAATACGCGTAGAATATACGAAAAATATTAGTTTCATTTAAATAAATTAATATAGTCTTAGATCTCATTAGATTTAATATACATAAAATACCTGAATGAAGTTCTAGTTACTTAATGAGGTACAAATTAAATAAACGACTTGTGCGATATATTTTAATAACGGTATCAACTATATCTAAACAGGTTTTAAAGATTTTATGGTCAATCTGTTGTTAAAGATATAGACGATAAAGTAAATTTTATTTAACTAACAAACTTTAACATTATTTTAAACGTATACATATATCGTAAGAAGAATATTCTGTACTATCTATAAAATTACTTTTATATCAGATACTTTTTTTGCAAGTCTATACTAACATCAGTTACGTCAATGAACGCAGACTGGTATTGATAATATTTCTAGTAATCGCCTTTCTTAATGAATGTTGCACTATCACAAATAATCAAGACGATAAACAAAAATATAATGTAGAGAGTTTTTGGTTAGTAAATACATTATCACGGTCTGTAATAGTAACTGTTTGATTTAAAGCTCATATTTTCTGATTTACTACCACTTTAATTATTTTAAAATTTTACTTGATACCCCCGACGTTTCGGTTACTTTACAGCAATCGTGATCACGGGCAGACGAGGTGAGAATCTCATTACATTAAAATTTTAGATCTGATTACAAATTTTTTGTTTGTGTACAATTTATTAGGAAAACAACTTTCATAATTTTTTTTATTAATTTTCATTCCTTTAGATTAAATGAGGCAATAAATATTTTTATAAATAATTGTAAACGATTCATCTTCGATTATTTAAGCATCAAACTCTTTTGAGTTTTTAGGAAATTTTAATTTAAGAATTAATATTTTAACGATATTAAAGAGTTTATTAAAACGTAATATAATTCTCCATTTTAATAATCTTCAATCGTGATACTTAAAGAACTTTAACAATTATTTCCAGTGATAGAATATTCGTTAAACTGGGAACACAAACCAAATTATGGAATAAAAAACAAATATATTTAAATTTTTCGTTTATTCCTCTTTTAACACTTATTCGCCTATTTAAACCAAATAGTCATGTTCATAAATGTCTTGCTGTGCTACCAATATCTCAAATATACTGTAAATTATCTCTTGTCATTGCTCTGATCATAAACGAGTTGCTGACTCCTGTGAACTGCGTGATAGTGTTTCCTTCCCCGCGTGCAGCTCCGTAGTAGGTCAAGCGATGGGGAAGGTTGGAAACTTCTGATGGTGTCCACATGACAGTGACACGACTCTCCCCTGATGACTGTCCTCCCACACGCTCCCAGTAAAACCTAGGATTAGAATTAGAAAAATTAAATGATTCCTTAGATTATATTGGAATTCTTAAGTTCATGAGTTTGGAAAGTTATTGGAGGCTTTTCCAAGATTACGCTACATTGACTTTCGTGACAAAGGAACATACGTCAATTAAGCCAATTTGATTGATAAAAATTGTGTATTTCTAAATAAAAAATATATGTCAAGAGGACCTTCTAGGTACAAAAATTGCACAAAATCAACACCTTCCTGGAAAAATTTCTAAATACCGATTGTATCACTTGTTCATGTTCCTTAAAATATATCACATTAAAAATAAACAGTTAATCGTTATCTACCTAGTTTCCCAATCAGCGTCTGTAGCCACAGTGGTCCAGTTCCCGAGCTCAAGCCGTTCAACGACCACATAGCTCGACTCTTGTCGTAAATCATTTCTAGGGTTGGCTCCTACCTATATTATCATTAAAATATATATTGAGTGTTGCTCTTAAAATAAAGGAATATAGTAAAATGTTTTAAAACTTACGAATTGAACTGTAACAGTGTCTCCAAGTGCGATGGATTCTGGAGGCTGTTGGATCACATCTCCGAAGTTGGCTCCGGCTGGAGTTGTGTCGATATTGATTGAGGGAATCAGAGATATTGTACGATTAAGGTAATCTTCTGGCTCTGGACCCGGCGGAATCCCAGCTCCCTAAGATACATGACTAATATTAAACATTACCCTAAGATGTAAACCAATGTTGTATCTTAAGATACATTAATTATATTTCAACTCATAATTTCTGTTATACACACTGTTACAGCCGCTATCGTGTAGTCCCTCAACCTGCTTAGGATTATATCCAACGTGTGTGGTCCGTACATTGTGGACGCAGCTTCATAGCGTTGCACCTGACAAAATAATAAGAAATAAGAGCCTGCACGTCACCAAAATATGAATAAAAAGGCATGATATTACAAAATACCTGATATTCTTCAAAGGTGGCCACATAATGTGTGTATTCATTCGTCAAACCGGATATTACTACTTTAGGATTGAATCCGTTTTCCCTCAAAGCATCAGCAACTACATCCTTCATCCGCCGCCCGGCCATAGTTGTAGGCTCTCCGGGGTAACCCACCACAGCGAATGAGCCTATCGTAATGAGAGACAAGGATACTGTACGAGGATGCCATGGAACTGGAAAGTTTGCCTAAAATACACTTATAAATAGACTATCTTTTTATTTTAGGCATAATATAAAAAAACTAATAGAATACAGACACGTCCTGTGGCCAACAAAATCGGTTTGGGAGCGTGGCACGCCACATCGTCACTGGTCGGCCTCGCTACCACGGAACTGATGGCGTCTAACAGCGGATTATTAGTAAGAGTACCCTGAATATAACAAGTAACTTGGTTAAGGAAATGTATTAAAAATATATGAATCATATCCGATTGAATACCTGCGTTATATTAAGGATGTTGGCTCCATCGAATGTCCCGGAGGCGAAGCTGTAACCCAGTCCTGGTACACAGCCTCTCACTGTCTCGTCCTATAATACAATGGCAATAGAATTAGAAAATATTTAGCTGCTATGTTGCCAAAAATACAATAAATCTCTAATGTTGTTTTTCTTCATATAATCTGTTACGTTCCTATTTGAGACGTCTTCCTTTTCTCAAATATTTTTCTCCCTTAATAGTACAAAGTACATGTTAGTAATAAACTGTTTAATTTTTTCAACATACCTAGTATTATCCATTATATACACTTAATAACAAACCGTAAAATTCCTTGTAACAGGATTATATTTTCGTCCAGTTTCTAATGGCATCTCCAGAAATTGGTGCATGACTCGAAGGGTACCGTTTAGCTCTTGCCCCTGTTTATTCAGGGCCTCCTAAAAATTATGCATACAGTTGATTATACAATAATTTTAATTTATTATTTTTTTTTGTCCTATTTAGTTTATAATCAAACCCACCATAGCTCCTTGAAAAACAGCTTCTCCTATTTTCTTGGTACTCTCGAACATGTCTTCACCTGGACCCCGAGCGAAACAAAGCTCGAACAGGTCGCACAACCGGAACTGGTTATCACACTCCTGACCGCTGCGCTCACATCTAGGACCACGGATATTAGGCGATATATCTCCAAGGTTTGATGAAAAAAAGCCGGCTACGACTTTAGGCTGTAATGTAATCATATAGTTTCAATTAGAATTAAAATTCAGATACGATGCAAAATCAAAGGAGCACAACACAGAGTTTGAACCATCAACCTGAGAAACTTGAAGTTCCATTTGATTCACAAATGAAACATAATATCATTGTAGAATTTCTTATAAAATTCAAGTATTAACTCAACATTATTTTGGTTTTATTAATTCAAGATTTAGAATTTTTAGAGCTTAACTGTGGTCAAGTAACTGCAGCTCGAACATGTGCTGGCTCGGGAAGTACCACCCTCGCACAGAAGATCGGCGTGAAGTAGTCTTTAATGGCTGCGTTTCATCCGACGAGTGAGAAAGCCGGATGTCCTATACTTATTATCACCCTTTTCCATCTTTATTCCCCCTCTTTCCCAATTAAGGGTGGCAAATATCCGCAAACCTACATTGCTGATGTTTGACACCTACTCGGTTGCCCAATTCCCCATAAAACAAAAGACTTTTATATTCCCGTCTCCTTACCTTTCCCGCCAATCGTCCAGGGTTCAATTCCTTCTCCATCCTCATGGCAGCGTATCCAAGGTTGTCGGAGGATATCAGTCTGTTAGTCATGTTCATACTGGTGGTGTGGACTGAGAACCAGTTGAGGACGCCGTGCAATCTACCGTCCGATTTAACCACACGGAGTTGAGTTAGCTCAGTGTCGGTGTTAGAATTATATCTAGTTTATGACAAGAAAATATTCCATTAACTGTATGCACCACAAACAAAGGAATGTTTAAATTGAATATAATTGTACCTCTGTCTTTCCTCGGCAGGATTTTGATCGTACGAGTAAGGAGATCTGTTCATTTGTGCATTTAAAACATGCGTTGAACTCACGAAGAGACGCGCAGGAACTATTTGGTTGTGAGCGTTCACTATACTCTGAATATATATAATTTTTATGTAATATAGTTTATTTCTTTTACAAAATATTGTACTACATTAAGATAAATTTAAAACATATCTACTGGTTGCAAAATCATTTAATTTTTCATTTGTTTGAAAACAACATTTCATAAATTTAATATTTTACAATTAATTAATAACAGAGCTAAAATAAATCTCACCCTTGTGATACCATCAACGTAAGCATCAAAAGTTTCTCTGGAGAAACCAAGAATAGTAATGTCGAATAAAAAGTCCACAAGATATCCTCCCGGTCCACTGTGAGTGTGTGTTCCTGTTAAGATTACGTTACGTATGCCGTAAAGATTACCATACTGCTGCTGGAGTTTCCTTACAACCTGGAAAATCATATTTATGTATCATTATTAATTTTTATTCATATTAATCCTCATTTCCTTGCAGCCTTTTTGACAGAAAGTGAGCACTTTCCTTGATTTTAGATTTACCATCATAAAAGCATCATTGAGTGATTATAAATTAAATTAAAACAACTGTTTATCACCCGCATAGTTAATGTGAGTAATCGTTTTCAAATATACATGTAGATTCTCTAAGATGAAGGCTCACCTCTCTCCTAAGAGCAATCCCCAAAGCCGCTACATCAGCAGTAACTAGGACCACCCTCGTGTCACCTCTCACGAAGATAAATGCTCTCGAGAACTGACGAAGATGGATGCCTCCGCCTCTTTGACCCAATTCAGCATAACCCATCTATTGAGAAAGTTTTATGAAGTGTTTTAGGATTTGTTAACCTTTGATTTCATGAAGTAGTGAGCCAAACAGATTATATTAGAATTTACAAGGCACATTCTAGTTGCGATGATAGTGTCTCATTTTGTTTTAATAAACGAAACAAATGATTTTTAAATAGTAATATTTTCAAACAGGTTCTTAGTATTATATTTCTTTTTACACAAATGCAGGTCATTTTCAGAATTCAAATAAAAAGTAGTATGGGGGGGCATTATTGCAGAGTCACTTATTTATAAGCAACTGTTAATCAGATAATTCTTACAAAGGTTATTTCAGCGCAGGGTCCAGTGATGTCTGCTACTCCTACTCCAACCTGGTACCCCTGAACGGGTTCAGGTCCTGGGGTCGTGGAGGTCGTTATAGGAGTCTCAGTTTCTTCCTCTTTCAGTAAGAACACGATCATAGTTGCCATACCGGCCGCTACAGCCAAGGTGACGAAAATGATCACCAACTTACCAGTTAATGATATAGCCATATTTACTACAGATTTTCCCTTTATAATGCTTTAAGTTATTAGAAGCACCTTACTTTTTAGCGATTTTTATTTGAAATACATGAAAAAGTAATTTTTCTTTGTTAATGCTTTCTTAAAATCATCACGTATTTTAGAATAGTTTTACCAAGTCGTGTAAGCTTATATAATTCCCGTTTCTGAATTAATTAATTACTTGTTTTTTAATTAAAAACACTTGCACACCATCTTACACTTAAACATTAATTAAATTACATTTTAATCACTTCAGCTTATGATAAACGATTAATGAAAATACAAAATGTCTAATTACATGAGATAAATGATAAAAAAAAACATTTTTATCTATTACGTATTATTTTATTTTACAAACAGTACATCTTTAATTTCATCAAAACACCTTAATTCTTAATCATATGGATTTCCTCTTGTTTTCGTTAATTCTGTTACCCCCCATAGATTTTCCTTATTCTTATCATTACAATACACATACATAATATATTTTTATCTTTAAGTATAATAGAAAAAAAGATAAGACAGTGTTGTAATTTTTCTCTGATAAGTATGATTTAGGATAAGCTTAGGATACCCACAAAATAGAATGTTATGATTTGTTATTATCATATAAAAATGGTTTTAGTGCAACTTAGTATAGAAAATTGAATTCAATATCGACGTTAAATAAATTGACATTTTCTAAATTTATAATATTCATATACTTTATTGAAAGAATTTACACATACAAAAACATAAAAAAATCATAACTCTAAGACGATCTCGATCAAGAAACAATATATCTTAGTGGAATTTTGTTTTATATATTAATAAAGGTTTTAATACGAAAGAAAATACATTCATGTACTAGTTCATTAAAATGGTTCTATAAAAGATAATTAATATGTAAAAACTAGAATATGTCAATATTTTTGTCAATTAATGCAAACCACTAAACCGACAGAAAGGATATTTCATATCTCTTGTTAATTAATCATGAAAATAATTAAATCCATCAGAAAAAAACAATTGATTAGATAGGAATTTAAAATAATCATTGTAGGTCAAATTGACTTGTAGGACTAACGTGAAGGTCTTAAAAATAAAACAAACAAAATATCCATAAATACATTTTATTTATTAAAAAAATGGCAAGTTTATAATTTAAAATAACATTACACTTACCAATGTAATTATATTTTTAACTGCAACCACTAACGGTTGCGCCTGCGCATCTTTTTGGCACATAATTATATATGTATAATATAAATAAAATTAACAATAATCGAATATAAAATATATCATATTTAAATATTAAGACCAGTTTCTTAACATGTGAATTGGCAGTCGTATAAGTGGCGTCACACATTTCAATGAGAAGCCTCGCATTATCACAGTTATTAGACATTATGTTCTATACATTTTTCTTAGACTATTTTACGTAGAATTAATTATATATTATACAATTAAGACTAGGAACATTTATATACAAACACCGGGAAGAAAAATAGATTTAAACAGAATTAATTATTACTACTACAGACATACTAGAAGACATACTAGGAGAATAACTGATGGTATATTGACTATTAATAGAATATTTGATTGAATCTGTGAATTGAAGTAGAATTATTTGTATGGCAAGCACAGTCAGGATAAATCTTTATAGCAACATGTATAAGTATGGTTTAAGCCTGGAGGAGTTCATATACTCCCAAGTTTGATCTCAATTTATTTTTTATGTTAAGAGACTTGGAAGGGGTCAGTGAACCCGTGGTAGGGATAGACTCCTCCTAGTATGTATTTATAGTTCCCGTAGTGATGCAGCCGGTATGTTCCCGCGGGAGTACCCTCAGGAACCTCCCACTCCACCACCGCCTCGCTCGTGCCTAGTATCTTTGAATTACGCTTCCAGATGTATCTGAGAATATATGATTATGGGATTACTAACGTGTAGATGAAGAGCATTATTTTTTTGATTTCTGGGGGGGGGGGAATTTGAAGGAAAGGGGTGAGATTTGAAGGAAGAAATGTAAATTTGGAAGACGTAGAAAGCAGACAACGTTAGTAAAGGAATACTAAAGTTAATGGTTTCTTTTATTCTCTTAATAATTTCGTATTAACCACTACAGATTAAATAAAACTTGGTGTTAATGTTAACAATGTTATATGTTTGAGTCAGTAATGTTCTCAAATAAGTGACCATGTATTGTCTTGTTGAGAATAAAGATCTTTAAACCTTAATGGTTGACATGGTTAAATCAAGTTTCATTAAAACTGAAGAAATTTAAAATAGTTCTATTGTAATAGAATTTTTCCTGTAAATTGTTTAAACATGAGGCTATAATCTCTCACTTGGTCTCCCAGTCCGCGTCCGTGGCGACCACCTCCCAGGAGTCTTCGGTCCCAGGCTCCAGTCGCTCCACCGACACGAACCAGCGACCGTGACGAGGACTGTTCCTGGGGTGACCTGACACCTGGAATGTATGACAATAAAAACACGTCACTTAGAATATACTTATAACGTTTGTTTGAAGTAAAACTTCTTTACGCTTGGGGTAAGCTGGTGAATGCCTTACGAAAATGTGATCGGGTGAGGCGAACAAAAGTGAGAGGGAGATGCATGCATGGATTCATGCATGAACGGACGTCCGGTGCGAAAGAAGTTTTATTTCAGCCGTTTTTTCTAAAGCAAACTGTTTTTTTTATCTTTTGGTCTATTAAACATAGATGTCATACGAATGTGGCGGTGACAGTGTCTCCATAGCTGTAGTGTGTGTGCGGCTGCTGCAGACAGTCTCCGAACTCATGCTTGTAGGGGGCGGAGTCCCACAGCACGGGAGGCACCAGAGTGATAAGCTGCTGGCTCAGGTCAGGCGGAGAAGGGCCCGGGGGCACCGCGGAGCCCTAACATCATCACATACTATTAGTAACTTGTAACTTTATAGACGTAGAGTAAAGGAAATTTATTGTTAAAGTTAACTGTGAGTTAATTTTTCGGACTCAGACTATGGTTTAGCAGAGTTCTGAACATATTTCGCTTAAAAGATTTGGGTTAATAATGAAGAAATTAAATTTTCCTAATTGGAATTTACGTGGCCTTAAATATAACCTTCTTGTGGAATGTGTCCGAAACAGAGAAACGAGATTTAATGTGTGGTTTAAATATTAATCTAATCGATATAGTTTTTTTTTAAAGCGTTCTTTGTATACCAAAAACTCAGATTACTAAATTGTTTTAGTTGGTTAACTTAATATATACAGTAGAAGATTGTTATTAACCACTTATTTTTAAGTTTAGTTACTATTATAAGGAAAAGAATGTTTTAAAACATAGAACTGTGAATTGTTTTTAGTTTCTATTGAATTGTGTGTAGTAACAGTATCTCGGCCGCTTTCACTCGAACCGTTAGTCGACGAGTGGTATATTGTTATAAAAGAAATGCACGCACGTGACAGACATGCACTATCACTAACATACGTCAAAAATAATTTGTCTTTATTTATACATAGTATGAAATAAATTTAATAGAAAAAATTACAAAAATTATCATGACTATGATATATGCAAACTTCATTGATTTAATTCGCTATATATTATAATTTAAACCTATTAGTATGATATTGTATGCCAGTGTCGTGACGACCTACCTCCATCAAGGCCTCGGTGAGTTCCTTGTACTTGTGCAGATATATGTGCAGCGTGTTGGGCCCGTAGATGGTGGACGCGGCCTCGTACCGCTGGGCCTGAACACACACACACACACACACAAGAATAGTCAACCAGGTTCAAACAGAGTGTATTTTCTTTATTTCAATAATTTAACTTTTCATAAAAAAAATTATGGTCATTGCCTATCGTCTGAATAGACGAAATTTTTAGATCGCATGTATATACTAGTTTTTGCCCGCTAAAAGCGATTCATGATAGGTTTTTTCCCAAAAAAGAATGCTTAAATAAGTAATTAGAATATTCAGATCCTTTATAATACCTGGTACTCTTCAGGCGTGGTGATATAGTCCGAGTATATATTAGATAGTCCAGCGATGACAGCTCGTGAGCCAGCCGCCCGCCCTACGACCCCTCGCAGCCTCCGCCCAGCCATGGTGGTGAACTCTCCCGGCACGGCGGCCACAATCAGCCCGCCCAGACGAGCCACCGAACATGAGACTACGTGAGGCTGCCACTCGTACGGAAACTCCGCCTGAAAACCAAGCAATGTTATTTAATAATAATTGTTTGATGGAAGAAAGAAAAATTTTTTTTTGTATATATTTTTTGTGGAAACATGTTTTATGTACCATGTATAAGTTTTGAATAAATTGGAACATAAACACATTTTGTTTTCATTATTTCAGTCTGCGTGGTCCTCTCAGAGGTTCATAATAACGATCGTATAATCTCAATATAATCATGTCAACAATTTCGATAACATTTAAACAATACTTTATATATATACTTTTATTAGTTACAACATCTCGTCTGACCGTAGATCAAAGCAACCGAAACGTCGGGAGTATGTAGTCAAGAATAATTAAATAACTCGTCGTAATCCGAAAACATTAGTTTCATTTAGATGAATACTTTCGAAAGTCTTGGATATCATAATATGTATTTTAGTTACACCTATGTACCCTACTATGTGCAAAAAAATTTTAAGTGCAAACAGTCCAACAAAGCTCAAACCCTTCCAGTAGCCAGCAGTATAGGCTTAGGATGTTGGCAGGCGACGTCCTCGGGGGTGGGCGCGGCCAGCAGGTCGCGCACCGCGTTCCACAGGGGGTTGGTGGTGGTGGTGCCTTGAGTGAAGTTGAACGCGCCCGGACCGTCCGTCGTGCCCGCCGCGAAGCTGTACCCCATCGCTGGCACGCAACCCTTCACTGACACGCTCTGCAGAGAGAAATAAACAAAGATGTAACCGGAGTACATTAATAAGAAGATATCTTTCCCAAAGAGGGTTGATGTCAGGCGGGGGGATCATAAAAACAATTAGCCAAAACTATTTACAACTTATATGTAAGGCAGACCATGCTAAAGCTGGAAAATTGCCAGGTAGAAGAAGAAGAAGATTAATAAGAAAATAGTTTTAGATCAGGGTGTGGAAATAATTTAAGGAATTTATTGTTCCCTAGAAGAATTCTATTTAATAATTTGTAACTGTCAGTCTCAGAGTAATTTATAAGATTTTATGTTTGGACATGGGTGCTACATGAAGGCAATATTGAGAAATGGTCAAAATATAATTTGAGTCGTATATCGATGATAGTGATACCAATATATGTTATAACTTATATATTTATAGGCTATGTCGTGATAGTACTAATATACTATACTAGCTTTTCACCTTCAGCTTCACCCGCATGGAGTTCGGTTATATCGCATTTCCAAGAGAACCTTTCAAACGTCTGGGATATAAACTATCCCATGTTCTTTCTCAAGGTCAACTCTATATCTGTACCAAATTTCATTACAATCACTTCAGTGTCAGACAAACAGACAGAGTTACTTTCGCATTTGTAATATTAGTAGGGATATATACATAATACTACACCCTAAGATGTCTATCAGCTGTGGAAGACTGTGGTCGATGAGCTCACCGTGTTAAAGGTTTCCGTGACGGGGTCGTAGGGCGCCACCTCCTGCTGGGGCATGGCTACATATTGATGGACCATTCCTATAGGACCCGTGATGTCCTCACCGGGCTGGCTTAGAACTTTCTGGAAATATATTAATTGGGAGATATCAAGTACTCTAATTATATTAATCCAGCGACAAATTACATGATACAATTATATTTTTTTTTAAGTAAAAGTTACAATTATATTTTTTTTTTAAGTAAAAGGTAGCATAAAGCAGAAGGCCCAATTTGATGGGCAGTAGTCACCGTCGCCCATGGATATCTAAGATAATGCAGATGCGTTGTCAACCTTATTTGTGGTGAAAAAGGAAGGGGTGGGAATAAGGAAATGCTACCAAAGGGAACAGGGAAAGAGCAACCGTCTCTCTCACTCATCGGACGAAACACAGTCATTAAAGGCTATTTCACGACGATCTTCCTTGGAAAGATCGTCATGAAGATTGGTACTCTTGGGAAGAGTGGTACTTGGGTCGAGCCAGACTATTTTCAAGCTGTAGTTACTTGACAACAGCTAGGCTCTAGCACCTACATCTAAGATTACGTCACTCACTATAGCAGTATCAAACATCTTAGTGGCGATAATCTGAGTGCTCTCAAACATGTCCCGACCCGGACCGGACGCGAAGCATCTTTCTTTGGGCAGTTTACACAACAGAGTCTCCTGGTCACACGGCTGGCCGGAGAACTCACAGCGAGGACCGCGAGTGTTGGGAGACACGTCGCCCAGGTTAGTGGATGAAAAGGCACATACTATACGACCCTGGAAACGAGAGAAACAAACTGATGGATACATTTCTACCCAATATACAAAAAGATGGATATTCATAAAATAACTTTAACGAGAGAATATCTTCTTAAAAAAAGAAAAAAAAATTTTGGTATCAGCAACATAATTAGTGGCATAATTAGAGGTTTTCGTCGTCGTCGTTATCAGCCTATCAGAGCCCACTGCTGAGCAAAGGCCTCTTTCTCACATGGAGAAGGTTTGAGCATTAATCACCACGCGCTCAAGACGGGTTGGTGATTTCAAACTTATAATTGTGAAATTATAAGTCCAGGTTTCCTCACGATGTTTTCCTTCACCAGCTATCAATGATGTCTAAATACTCTTAGACCAATGATGTCTAAATACTCTTACCCTTTAACCACTAGGCCACCACTGACTTTAGGCGAGGTTTTCATAGCAAAGAAAATATAAAGAATGAAGGCAGATATTGTTTCTGTCACCTTGCCAGGTAGAGTTTTGTTTCCATTCAAAACCTTCTCCATGAGTATGGAGGCGTATCCCACGTTGTCTGAGGAGATCAGCTTATTGGTGTTGTTCATACTTGTAGGATGTACGGCGAACCAGTTGATGACTCCTAGCACGTCACCAGTCGGCTTTACGAACCTCACTTGGGCCAGGGTCTTATCCGTGTCATACTTGTACCTAGAAAATTTAACAATTTCGCATTCACTGCTAGGATTCTTCATTAAACTTGGAAGTGTATAATTTTTTAATGCTTGTAAAAACCTGATTTGCTGAAATATTATCGTACAAAATGATGTGTGAAATTATACCCGTAAAGGCGTATATTACGTGTCCTGTACTAATTTATTGCACCTGCTTATACATTTTTACTAAAAGTCGAATAGAAGGTATAAATACCACGAATATTATTGAAATAAAACTAATATTTTTAGATTTAGTCTTCTTCTACCTGGCAATTCCCCAGATTTAGCCAGGGTCTGCCTTGGTGTGAATAGTTTTGGTTAAATTTTTTTACGACCGGCCGCCTGCCTTACATCAACACTCTTTGAGAATGCATTAATCTGTAATGTCTAAATACTCTTAGAAAGTACATATGACTTGGAAAAATCACATTGGTTCTTACCAGGATTGAACCCGCGCCCTCGTGCATGAGAGGCGGGCCTTTAAACCACTAGACAACCACTGACTATTTTTCGATTTAGTACGCGTTTATAATTATTTTAACTACATTTTTTAGAAGTTTTCATTACTTTGCAGAAACCGTAATGACGGGCAGATGAGATGTAAATCATTAACATCGATGATAAAAATATTAGTTTATTTCAATGAATACTCGCGAGTCATATATATCATTAGGAATATTAGTAGATAATATAAAAATGTTTTATTATTGGTATAGAATTTACTCTTTGGAAGGAAATTTATGGTTCTTAAGGTCATATTAATAAGTAGTACAATATGTTTCAACTGACTTGGCTCTCTCCTCGGGTGGGTTCCGTAAGTACGAAGTCGGTGATCGGTTGATGTTAGCGTCCAATACCTCGCCCTCACCGTACAGCATGCGAGCCTCAGTCAGGGAATTATGAGCTTGAATGATACTCTGTGAACAAACAATCACTTAACATCATAGTTTGCTTTGATAAAACAGCTAAAAGTAATCGAAAAATAATATAGGATCCATAATTAGGTTACAAATTATGATTTTAAATGTATACCTTCACTATGCCAGCGATCAGAGCTACATAAGTCTCTTTAACAAAACCCAGTATGGGCAGATCGAAGAGGAAGTCTAGTAGGAACCCTCCCGGAGTAGAGTGGGTGTGAGTTCCACTAATGATGACGTTTCCTTCATGGTATATCTCTCCGTATCTCTTCTGAAGACGTTTTATGACCTGGAAATAGATGACAAGGAAATACAGTCACGATTATAGTGGAGCAATCATAGAAGTTGAAAGATAGCCTATTTTGTCTCAGTCATGTGTTCACCATATTTATTTATTTAAGATTCACCAGTGGTATACATCAATACGTACAAAAGTATACAATTTTTATACAACTTAAAACTAAATGCATTACCTATTAAGGTGTATACCACTTGCAAAGATAAAGTTGGAGATGACAATAAATAAATAATTCTATATAACATATAAATAATTCTATTAGGCTAATATGAATTATGTTTCCTTATTTGGCAGATCAAGTATTATTTTAGTAGTATTTTATAGGAGATCGTATGCAAGGGTTTACCATCAGTTCCAACACATATTCCATTACAAATTCTTCACAATCTCACCTCTCTCCGGACCCCATGACCCATCATAGCGGCGTCCACGGACACGAACACGACCTTGGTGGTACCATCACCACTCCCACCATCCTCGAGAACAAACGCACGAGAAAACTGACGCAGATGAATGCCGTGACCGGTCTGCTCGAAATTGGCGTAACCCATCTGTGGGTACATGAATATTAAGAACTATGTTTTGACTTTAAAACAATATCGAATAATAATTATTATACAATGTTAAATACCGGGATTTGAACCAGTAACCTTCGGAACAACTATTCAAGTGATTTTTTCTTTTTTTTGTATTTTATTATTTACTAGCTTTCCGCCCGCAGCTTCGCCCGCGTGGAGTTCGGTTATATCGCGTTTCCAAGAGAACGTTTCAAAAGTCTGGGATAAAAACTATCCTATGTTCTTTCTCAAGGTCAACTCTATCTCAGTACCAAATTTCATTAAAATCAGTTCAGTGGTTTAGGCGTGAAAGAGTAACAGACAGACAGACAGACAGACAGACAGACAGACAGACAGAGTTACTTTCGCATTTATAATATTAGTAGGGATTTATTTTTTTTTATCTAATTTGAGTGTATTATACTAATTGAACTGATATAACCAGTAAAAGTTATAAAGATTTGGATAAAAAACTACATTACTGGAATTTAAGATGCTACTCGTATTTTATAGAAATCAAATAAAAAACTATATATTACTTATTCATACTAACTTACTGATTCTTTACATAGATATTTACGGTTATATCTTTACAGTCTTACAAGCATTGTTCAAAATACAAAAACGGGTGTAAAGAAAGTTGAGTCAAGTACAAAAATAATAACCAATCAATTATCAAATTCGATCACAAGTCGACGAAAGTGTAAACAAGAGAACGTTCCAGAATATTTCGGTCCTTGTGCCAAAACAACCTCGTGTTCAATAAGCCGTGAAGGATATTCATTCATTGAATTTGAACAATTAACGTCGTTTTCATAACTTACATCACCCTTCTACGATTCCTATATTAATTCCACCCAATTATCTACATATTTAGCACATTTCAAATGGAAAAAAATATTATATTTTACACATAAACACGCAATGGATGAAAATGCACCTCATTTCACAAGATTAGTACTTTGTAAGGCTTCATCTCGAACTTGCGTAATATGTGATGAAGGTAACTTTTATGAGATTACATCAAGACTAGTCTACTACCATATCTCTGTCTGCGTATACTGCATAATATGGAAACTAGTAAAAAATAACACATACATTTGAATGCTATAACAAGTACAGTTTAAATCAACTGACAAATTTTGTTAAGGAACACAAAACCTTAATTTCCAGACATCTGTATGAGTTTTACGATTGAATTAATTGCCTTAAAACTACCCACAATTACGTGATTCTTTAGAAAGTGTATTAAAAGACAAAAACAAAAGTTCATTAATAAGATTATGTGGACAAAAACATAGAGAAGTAAATGATATGGAAATGATGATCGTCTTATTATCAGTATCTAATACTAGATTAAGTCCGGGGTAGATGACATATGGGAGAGATAGCCAACTGTGATTTAAAAAATATTAAATTAATAAGGTGATCTTATTAGAAATTGTTACTTTTATTTTTATAATATTAAGCTAATTAAGCTGATTCTTTAAAGTTTGATAAAAAATTACAAATATACATATTAACAATAATAGTAGGACATATAGAAAGATTATGAAATAGATTTATATCAAAAGAATGACATAGTAAACCAAGAATTAATTTGTAAGTATTAGTTCCAGGAAATATTAGTGCTAGACATCGTTTCACGTGTCAATTGTCTTATCAACTTACGAAATTGATCTCTGCGGGAGGTCCTGTGACGTCAGCGATGCCCACTCCGACCCTGAGACCGGTCACTGAGCACCAGCACAGCATCAACACTACGTACCAACACATCTGTAGATGATACAATACTGATTATAGATAATAGACGACTAGATTTCTACCTTTCAATTTCCCGGCTTTAGCCAGGGTCTGCCTTACATGTTGTGAATAGTTTTGGCAAATTTTTTTACGACCGGCCGCCTGCCTGACATCAATCCTCTTTTGGGAATGCATTAATCAGTGATGTCTAAATACTCTTAGAAAGTACATATGATTCGGAAAAATCACATTGGTACTTACCAGGATCGAACCCGCGCCCTCGTGCATGAGAGGCGAGCCTCTTAACCACTAGGCCACCACTGACTCTAACGATAGACGATGACATGTATCAGTGACTAATTTGAAAATCTTAAATAAAACTACTGATAATTTCTTTGTAGTATATTGTGTTGAAAATAGTTATACTAAATTTTATATTTTTTACGTAATGCATGTTTATTCTGTACTAAACACAAACTAGTTGTCCAAGGAACGTCAACTGTAAACATAACATACATTCATTTTTTTTAAATAAACGTAATATTTTTTAATTATACTACGCGACTCTGAATAAATTCGCGAAAATCTTAAATCTGATTATGCATTCATTTTTCATGCCCTAAGACCTAAACAAAATTAGGCAAAATAAAGTAATCTATTTGTATTGATAAGTAAATAAAACGCCGATGATGGTTTGTAGAATCCCTACTAATATTATAAATGCGAAAGTAACTCTGTCTGTCTGTTTGTCTGTTACGCTTTCACGGCTGAACCACTGAACTGATTTAAGTGAAATTTGGTACAGAGATAGAATTAACCTTGAGAAAGAATATAGGATAGTTTTTATCCCAGACTTTTGAAAGGTTCTCTTGGAAACTCGATATAACCGAACTCCACGCGGGCGAAGCTGCCGGCGAAAAGCTAGTTGTCAAGAACATTAACAAAACTTGTTACTAAATACTAGACACAGTACAGTACTAAATACACAAGACGGGGTACTTACATTAAGTGAAGATTTATAATAAACATAATATTTTAATGAGCTGGCTTTTAAACATTTTAACATACCTACACGACACTACACGCCGCTATCATCGCCATATAACGAAACATGTCAAGAATCTAGCGAGGATAACGTATTTATTTGTAATAATAATAAAATAGGTAATATACAAAGACGAATTTAAATACATCAGCAGAAGTAAATGAAAAAGAATAAATTTTAGAGACGTCGTAAATTACTTAAAAAATTGCAAATATATTCTATGTATATAATTAATTATAAAAAGATCATGGTTGCTGAAAAGTAGGCGAGACGTCGGAAGTATGTAGTTTTTAAAATAATAAAGCACGCGTAGTATAATCCGAAAAATATTAGTTTCATTTAAATCATTATTATATACTTTTCACGCGAGCATGGCTAGGTATACTTCTAATACTGTTGCTCTGAATCTTTGAGAGAGAGGCATTATCAGAATCCCCATAAACAAAATACTGCATTTCCATTACTTTACTTACTATTGCTATTGTAACACATCCGTATTATTATTAACATAATCATCTTTACCACAAGTGTGCAGCTTCAAACTATACAGCGCGTTAATAGTTTTGATTCATGAATCGTAGTATAGTAGTAACGTAAGTTACTCAATGAAAAACGAGCGTCGCTCAGTACGTACGTAATGTAGCGATGGAAACTTGTGTTAAGCAAATCATTGAAGCTATGTATTATAAATATTTGAAATTATAGGTATTAGACAAAGACAACGATAGGAAATATAAGACAAGCAGAGTCACAGAAAAAATATTGTATTGAAAATAATTGTACTAATAAAATATAAGCTAGCTATGTTATGTAACTAGGAAATTCCTTTTAAATTGTTTTAAGACAGAGAATGTATTGCAGTTAACACCAGCATAGGACATTTTGATAATAAAATGGAGAAGTTAAATTAATATAATACCAAAAAAGGTAATACGAAAATATAATAGTTATCCTGCAGTTAGACGGTAACATAAGTTGTAGTCGGAATTAATAAGATAGGTTTTTATTTACTAAACAGTTAAGGAAAGACGAGGAACTTACTCGACGGTCAGAAATATCTTAGCATCTGTACCTATGAGACATCTCATGACGCATCCATCTATTCATTATTATTACATTTAAATGTAACTAAACTATTAAAACTGTTATTACTTTTAAAAACTACATCTCGTCTGCCCGTGATCACGGTTGCTGCAAAGTAACCGAAACGCCGGGAAAATTTAGTTAAAAATAATAAAATACACGTATGTAGTTATACGAATAATATTAGTTTCATTTAAATGAATACTCGCGAAAGTCTTAGATCTATACATTTAAGACATATTTGATACAATTATTGAACTCTTTCACTAACCATACCTTAACACAAAATACCAATTCTTTCCAGATATTAAGCCATGAATTGGCTTACTAGTATAAGTTATCTGGTATTTGGGCTACAGGAAGTCAGCTAAAGAAATATTAGTTTCAGTGTTTTAAGTGATTTCAAACTAAATCCAATTTCTGTATTTTCCAGTTCTCTCCAAGTCCCTATAATCTAGCACCACAAAACTATGAATCACATCATTTCATCTTCAATTATTCAACACATTAAACCACCAAATGTTCACAATTATCTTATAACTCATAGAAAACGCTAAACTTCAGTCAAATCTTTCCATAATAACGTAGTTTATAAAACCTGCCTTGGTTTAAGCACAAATATTTCAGTTAACCAACCAAACTGTATGACCAGGTTTTTAAACTGTGACAGTGATCATCTCTCAAGCTGACCGTGATTCAACTGGCGTTGTGACATTGGCACTGCTCTTCCGCGACGTGAGCTGTTTAGTTCATGTGTTGTTTAGACACGTACGTACATACATTATACGGAAATGAAAACAATAACATCTCTTAGTGTATTGAAGCACCACGCTATAACGTAAGCCGCGGTTTCGCTCGCTCTTTGGAATGTAGTATCTCAAAGATGGTAATCTAATTTGATTCTGAATAAATAAGAAACTTCTGAATAAATATTGTTAGCATTTATTTCATAATATATGTATTGTATTAAACTATAACTAAGACGTCATTATCCAAACGAAACATCAGTAAAATTGTGCCGTTATAAAGGTTAATTACTAATTAGAACAAACGAAAAGAATCAGTAAAAAATTACAATAACATAACCACACTATCAGAAATTTAATTTTTATTTGTATGTTTAAAGAAACATATATTGTGATGAATTTAAAAGAATAGTCTAGAATAATAAAGAAATAAATAACAAATTCCCTAATACACTTAAAGGTTTATTTATATACAATTTGTTATGTATCTTTAATCTATATCTATATATTTTATTAATATATATTTTACAGAACAATAATAATTGCAAACTAAACGAAATCTATATCTTCAGATGACCTAGATGTCAGAAATTTATCGACTAATCGAATTAGATAAATCCAGGGCAATGTTTGATACGTGGTTCATACAAAACAATAGTACCTATCTAGTAACAGGCTCTTTATATTAATATAATAGTTTTTGCACGCGACTTCGTCTGTTAATTTCTAAATTAGTTACATATGTGCAGCTGAACTGGCGCACTATATTTGGTCGTAGAGGCCGTAAATAACAAGATATTTGAGTTTATTTAGTTTTTTTCTTTTTCGATGGAACAGAATTAAATATCCTATCTCTGTTTCCTGGTTCTATCTTCTAAGCTATCTTCTCATACATTTTCAACTATATCCCTACAGCCGTTCTTGAGTTATAAATAATAATATAAATAACAAATCTTTTTTACATATAAGGTAAGTCAGTCAGGTCAGTTATCGACCAGCGACCTTCCAAGTTCCAGTAGTAAAGGAAAACGTTCTGACGACTCTGTGCCAATGAACTACAGGTTGTTGTCATCGTTAAGTGTCATTTATAATAGTTTCCTTCATTGCACCAGATAACTTCCTACGGTTTCACTCACTCATGATAAGTCACAAGTATAACTAATGTACATATAAAGTCAGCAGTAAGTCGACTGTAAATATTTTAATAATAAACTGATGATAATAAAAATATATGTTTCAGAAGCAGTATATGAACCTCGAGTATCCAAACATGTTGTTCTAGTCGTAATTTTAACTAAGCTATTATAATCAAACCTTCAAAATCTCAAGTAGTTATGTTTTAAAACCAAAACCGTATCACGCGTAAAGTATTAAAGCCGGCCATACACAATACGTTACACCGAAGAGCTGTGCTAGACCGGAATATGTGATAGTAGTTTATCCACACCTACCTATATTTTCGATCATTTTTTTCCAGAAGCGATGCCAAAGCGAAACTCGTAGGTATATAATAATCAACATAAGAACAAATTTAAAACTCTAACAAACCAAAACTTATGCTGTGCTTTAAATAACACGCACATTTTTTATTTTAATCTAAAAGTTCTACATAGCGGGTAGACGAATTTATTTTATGACCGCTTCCGTCGACCTTCGTTGTAATGGAGGCTAACATGAAATATGTATGTGTAGTAAATTAAAACGTATTTCCATAATTATGTTGATATTATATATAATATGTATGCAGGTATGTACCTATATAAACAAGCCTACTGCAACTAGTTTCACAATACTATATGCACTTTCATCACACGTGTTAGTGTTGTCCCGCATCTTCATATTCTTGGTATAGATATATTTTTTAAATATCATGATAGGAAAATATAATATTATATCGATAATATTCTCAAAAATAATATTTCAACTTATAAAAAAAGTCGTTTAAATAAAAGTTTAGTTTATGAGTTGATTAAACCGTCTGTAAATTATTTTACAACCTCAGTCGATATTTATAAAATAATTATCGATAATAACACATAGGCATGCAATATACGTCACTAGGAATGGACGAGAGAGCGACCGTCAACTGTTTTACTAGAAAATGTTAATTTAAATTAATATTATTAAAACAAAAAATAATAATTCAAAAATACATTATCAGTGACAGCGGAAACGGATATCATGGGCGAGATTAATTTAAAATTTAATTCGGAAACGTACTTATCGATAATTTGCGAACGACAAAAGTTTGCCAAAACTTTATAAATATATTTCATAAACATCATAATTTTTAATAAATTGATAAAATTACGACAGGAACATGACCGTGAGATCATAATGTTTTTTACACAACTATAATAAATTTCGCAACTAATGTTCGTGTAGATAATTTAGATTTGATCAGATGTTTCCCAATTTATTTATTTTTATTTTTTTAATAAAAATATTTATTTAATATAATTCCTATAATTATGATTTGCTTATGTCTTAGAAAATATGTATTAATTAAATAATAAATAAACATATAAATCTTTAGCAAAGAAAGATGGACTTTATGTGTGTTTTAAATATTTTTGTAAGTGGCATAAATATAAACATATGTTGTAAATATTAAGTCATTCCTGAGATTTCGTTCGTTCGTTTCGTTTCTAGGTTTTCATTCATAACTATTAATCATTACCTTTAAGTAAGGTCACATGAGAGGTCATAAACGTCTTTAGATGTAATAAGAATATATTTCATTATAACATATTTCTTATTTAGATTACAATTTTACTGGTAAAACGAAATTAGCGCCAAAATATAAGTATCATTGAATCTATAAAAAACAATGACCACAAAAAAAACAACATCTTTTTCTGTTTCTTTTTAAATAGAGTGTAAGTACCTACTTCTAATTATTATAAAAAGAATTCGTGTAGATATTATTACTGAAGTGAAATATTATATGGATTATCGAAATCTCTTTAAAAATGTCCTCGAAGCAAAGGCACCATATACCTACTATTGATTTACAAAATTTAAAATATTTTAAAAAATATACAGAAAATCAACATGCAGTACAAAGAAAGATCACAAGAAAAATTATTAACGAAGCTACGAGATCATTTTATGAAAATAATATACAGACTTTTGACATCTGTAATCGATTTAAACAAAATATTATGATTTTAATAAAAGCATAACAGCCTGCAACTTCAAAACATTTAAGAACAGCAGACCGTCAAGGCAAACTACTCGGTTTTGAAAGAGATCTATCCGTACATTTCATTGAAAATCTCCGTTAAATAGGTAGTTCGTATTACATTGATATACTAAGAACATTTATTTAATATAAGAAACCTTTTATAAACTCATTTAACGAGAATGTTAACCTTCATGTCACTATTTGTCATCTCATCAATACTTACGAACTTAAAACTGTTTTCAATTTACCAAATTGTAAAATTGACATTATCAATAATACACGACAATAACACTTATATAAAATGTAAATATAGAATGATTCCCAGACAAGTGAGAAAAGTATGCAACATAATAACGTAAGCTTGTAAATTAATGTTCCTTCTGAATATTGGTCGAAATATTTGTTTACCTTGAATTTAGACCAATTTGTGCAGCGACGTATATTTTTAACATATAATTATTTATTCACATTTTATTCACTGAATCCCATATCTTCGTACAATCAATAACTAATATTATCACAAACTAGAAGTATTTGCACATCATTTAATTGAAAATAATAACGTTTCAAAACTATTTAAATGTCTGGACAACACACGAGCTTCTTCTAACGCGTTTTGTTAGCAACTGATTTTTCTTTTGTCAGTTCAGGCATCATCAATGCGTAGTTCCTTTATAAAGCTTGGTTATGAAGTTATGAATTAAAATTGTTTGACAGCAGTTTTAGCCATCACTGGATAACTTAAATTACTATTCATGTTTAAAATTATTTATTACTAGTAAAATAAAATTAACTAAGGCAACAGTTAAAACAAGTGTTAAGATCCTTTTAATTAGTTTTATTAATCGACCTTTTCATGAAATAATTAACAACAAAATACTTTCGTAAATTTTATAAATTAAAACTCGCGCCATTTCTGCCTTGACATTATATCCGTACCGAAGTACAAAAGTTGACAGAGTCATCTGTGGCCAATGAGAGATATCATGTGTAAAGACTATATCGCCGCTAGATGGCGCTGAGAGAAACATTAAATTCCCTTCCAATTCATTATTTTAGCAAAATATTTATTAATATATTAGGAATGTAAATAAATTGCAATTCCCTACTTCGGACTGATGTCGATTATCTATTATCATGACTCTTCAACTCATTTAGTAGCGTTTAACATGATCCTCGTTCATTATCTCATTAAATGTAAACGTCACCTATCAGTTACCGACATGTTCACACAAGTGGCGCGGCTCCAACTATGATAATACTAGCCGCCACCGTTCGAGTATAGTCATCGTCGGTCACGTGGGGAAAATAAATAGGCTCGAAAACAAAATAACATTTTACTTAAAATCGGTTGTATTTACATTTCGTCCATTGTAGAAAATCAATAGTGTTCAACATCACAAATAAATAAATCGCACTAAGGTATTCACATCGGTCGTACACAGTACACAGTATGCGACATATCATTCTCACAAAGAAACAAAAGGCGAGACGATTTATAAAAATTATGTATTTTATTTCGATTCAATGTCAATTCAATCAATGGGTCGGGCATTCTATTCGGAATTTGGATAAACGTAGAGTTCGGATCGCTCCGCCGGCTCGCCGGCTCGTCCGGGCGCCGGGGAAGTAAAAAAATATATTCATTGACGATTTCATAGTATTGTGTCCGGCGACCGGCGCGAGCTCGGCGGCTAGGCGGCTCTGGCCACACGCAGCGATGTATAGCGCGCTCCGAGTGATTTTCCACGCGTATCGACGCGCCGCGCGGGGGTGCGGGGCGCGGGGCGGGGACGCAGCAATCGAACGAGGCCACGCGCCCCGCGGGGGGACTACGCCGCCCCTCCCCTCGCGCCCCGGCCGGCGGCCGACGCGTCCTTATGGCTTACAACGTATTAAACTACATCTAATTCTTTTAACCTACGAATCTCTCGTTTCGCTGCGGGATCTATCCTAATTAAAATTATGGACAAAATTACAGGCAGGCTGTTAGCTCGAGACCTCAGCGTTATCAGCGCCGGGCAGCGGCGGGGCGCGAGTGGCGCGGTCCGAGCGTGCTAATGGCAAAATTGTGATGCTTTTCTATTAGTCGCTACACGTTGAAGGTGTCCGGGCACTGCTGGGTCGGACGAGACTCCTCAGGTAATGCTGGTAATCGAGAGATGCAGTGTTTGTTTGTATACAGGAGTCTAGTCGACGGAGTAGTGCGGGGCGAGGAGTCGCTCTACTGAATGGGACGACGGGCTCTATGGATTCGATACATCACCGATTGTACAACTCTCAGGCTTCCCTTACGCTAAATATGTACACACAAACTCTCATTAACAACAAGATAATGTAGAATTGAGCTTTGTGACTTAATCGCTTACTCTATATTAATAATTAATTAATACAGCCGTACCGGGTTACTTCTATATTTCATTACAATGTGGAAAAAATATGCTATTGTATATAGAAAAATATCACAACTTCACCATTTGGGCTTTACAGGTTAACCTAAATACAGAATGGATTTTCACTTAGAAATAGTTTACTTTCGAAAACACATTTGTACATTTAATGACAAAATTCAACAGTATTCTACTAAGTCTTAATTATAAATTGTTGCAGTTATATAATTAAAAAAAAAGATACAGCATCAGTACCGAACTTAATTTATGAAAAAAAGTTGTATTCTGCATTGGATTAGACTTAATTACGTTTTGTCATTCAAATAAAGTGCACCCGTATTAGGTGGGAGTGGTGTCGGCCACGCGTGTTCCCAACTGCTAGCCGGTGCTGGTGGGGCTCGCTCGTCAGTTGGGGCGAAGCGCGGCCGCGTGGTCGCGGGCCGTCACAAACACTATTACTTCACTGTGACATTGTCCTTAACAAGCTACACGACTCCTATTACGCGTCATCCTCTTCCTCCTCGTCTAATAACTCCTCCTCCACCTCCTCGTCTGCAAAATGACACAAATTTAATGTTTTTGATAAATTCCCAGCTTGTTTAGTTTTAATATCATATTGACGCTCGGTAATACATTCTTATCTTATGACAGATTACGAGCAATAAGGTCATAAAGATAAAAAATAAAGCTTCGTTATACACTAGAGTAGATTCGTTTCAAATTTTCGCGCCATATGCATGTCTGTGAGGTGTATCGTGTGGTGTAACGTGTGTTATTACCCTCCAGATCGTCGTCCTCTCCCTCCAAGTCCTCCTCGTCTTCCTCCCCCTCCTCTCCTTCCACTTCCTCGTCATCATCTTCCTCTCCCTCTCCTTCGTAAACGTCTAAGTCATCTTCTTCGCTGTGTCCCTCTTCCTCACCACCGCCGCCGTTCTCCTCTTTTCGCGCCTTTTTCGCGTCTGATGATTTCTCCTACAGGAAGAAAAAGAAAATATATTATAATCTCAGTTTCTAGATAACTTCAAGTGTTCTGTGTTCGTCATGTGCACATCGCTACAACGTAATACCTTGATATTTAAAAGATAGAATTGGTCATAACTGGCCGTTAGCCAATAGCAAATTTCGTTATTCGTGACAGGAGTGTGAAAATCATTCACGTGTATTTTAAACTACTAAAGCGGCAAACGCGGCTCTACGTGCAAGATAATGAAGCGCAGGTGACAAGGATTCCTAACAATAAAGTAGCGTGGGGTTATTAGTACGGGGGAAAGAGACGCTGCAATATGGGGAAGTCGCCGTACGGCCCATTTTGCTTTAACACATCGGAGCGGATGGCGGTGAACGCGCATAGCGAGTGCGATGACGTACGAAGCCTAAAAACCGCCAAAATGGAAACGAGGCTGTATAAATTAGTAAAATAGACAAATTCGAAACTGCAGTCGACAGAGACAACAATAATACAACACGATCGTAAAACGAAAATGTGCTATCGTTTGTATGTTTTTGAGGTTATGTTTGATGATTCTAGACAATTATAGACGTAATATGCAGTCAAGCCTCGAGATTAACAATAATAATGTCATTGAAAAACATTACAGAACTGTTACATATCAGGAATGCTTCCTTTTCTCTAAATATAAACAAAAACAAATAATTTACGTGCATATAGAACGTCGACGTATGAAATTGTATAACGGCATATCATGAAATTATACTAAATACATATTAAATACGCAATAAGTCGTTGTGTCGTCTTAAAAAGTTAATACAAGCTAGGTTTAATAAAAATGCGTTGACAAAGATATTGTGTTTGACGTTTATTAACTACAACACATTGACAAATTCACACGCCGGCCATGTTACTCTACCAGCGTCACGCTAGCTTGAATGCAACTAGCCTGAGAAAGTCAGTCGAATTTATTTAGCGTTGTAACATAAATCATACCGATGATTCCTAACACGTTTCAACGTCCCACGTAGGTATAAATTACAGGAATCATATTAAAAAGACAAGCGTACATTCTCGCGCCATGTTTTTTTTCTGCCAAGGTCATGCCGCTGTGTCGAAAACGAGTAAACAAAACTTGAAGCCGCCAAATTTTCTTACAAAACCACTTTGAAATAAACAATATGACCTAGTTTGAGGTGATACAATGCCTACTTCGTTCGACTCATCGATTACCTCGTTCGGTCCATAACTAGGCTTATGTAGTCCAAAAATACGCCGGGTTAAATGTTTCCTACAACTATAGCGGCAAACTAGAGTTGTCGACTGTATGCGGAGCACGTGGTGTAATTGAATATTTGATTATTTATAGAACTAGGAATATTGTTCAAATATTTAACAGTTCAATAAGATGGCTGGCGTCTAAATGAATACATAGGTACTATTTGACATGTGCACTTACCTCTGCTGCCCTTTTGGCTCCTTTCAGGTCACTTTTTGCGTCCCCGGTCTTCTCATCTCCTACCTTGTCTACTGCCACTTCACTATTTTCATTGGAGCTCATGATTGTTCTGATTTTAATAATTAATTACTACAAACGAAGAAGTTAGGTATATGGTAGCCCCAAACCGACGCGCGACTGACTGATCAAGTGAGCGGGCGAGTGAAATGGTGATGAGTTTGAAAACGAAGATGGCGCGGGCTTCTATATGCCTCACATCTGATTGGTGGACAGTCTCTGCCATTAGCAAACGGCAGGAAACATGTATATTTTAACTTTTATAACTTATAATATATATTAAATTCATTTGTTTGTTTAATATTATAAATGTAATAATAAAATATTATTTTATATTTTGTCATAACAATTTCAGAACTTTGGTATGCATTTATCAAATAAGAAAGAAAGTGTTATGACTGTTTTAGCTTCAAGCAATTACAAAAGGCAAACAAAATGTGATTGGCCTACATAAAAAAGCGGGAATCTAAAAAGTTGTCTCTTTTACTTTTGGCTTGTTAAAACTATTTGTTATTTCCTATATTTTCAAGGTTTTCCCAAAAGATTGATTGAAAACCCTTCATTTATTTATTTTTATGTGTAATATTCATCTAGTTTTAAATACAAATTATACCTTTCGAAACCTCTATTGTGGTTAATACTTGAAACTAGTATCAGCTATTTTCATGATAAGTATACCACATTAAAATTTAGTAGGATGATAAGAAATATTTAAATTTTATCAGTAACATGTTATTTTTTTATATACACGTGATATTGTTTACTGAACATATTTAACCTCGCGACTTTGCTCAAGTGTTCAGTTTATGAAGAGATACATAAATCATAACACTTATTAAAGGCGCTTGTAACCTGTGCTTTTCAAGCACTACATATACTAAAATAAGAAACGATTTAAAGGATATCTCTGCGTATATGACAGACATACAAAAGTTACAATATCTATAAAACTACTTTGGGATGCTAATTCACTACTGAAGTTTTTATTTAGTTCCTAAGCTATAGTGAAAAGTGTTCTAGTGATTAAAGACAATGTAGCCGATTAATGTTATTTAAAGACAATTTTAAATATTTAGAAACTATAGTAGGTACTCACCGTTTTCCGAGCAATGGAATTGAAAAATTATAATCGATGAAAATCGAGTTCAAAAGAAACAACATTGAAAATTTCAAAATAATTTTACTATTTTTTATTTACATACATTACATTTATTGTGAAAAATAAATAACTATTGGTTGAAAGGTTTCACTATGCCTAAACTAACAAAAACAAACTGCTCCTTACAGTCATATGCAACTGTGGAACATTCGAGAAGGATCTAGTTGAGTAGACATAGATTATTGATTTTAACATATAACAACCCTATACAATAACTATTGAGTGTACAGAATAAGATATCACAAACCGACATCACAGGCGTGGGCTGCGTACATACATACGTTAATAAAAAACAAAACAATTATAATATCCGCCATATTTATTCTGTCTTGTAACTTCATTGCGGTTACTTGTTGGAATCAAAGCTCTTTCGCAATCAATTAAAAAAAACAAAAACATTGTTGCTCCATAACATATAAACCGTATAATGTTAACAAACAAAACAATACATATTGTCATTACATGTCTCCCAAAAATCTTTCTCCTACATTAAAAACAAAAGATGCAGTAATCTAATCTATTATAGAAAACAAAATGTTCAAAACATATATTTTAAATGTACATTCTCTTTACAGACTATGTAAAGTTAATTTCAGCCGTGTGGGATGTATCGTATGAGTTATATAAGGAGTCCATTTTGAATGCAACACTTCAATGCTCCTGGTATGTAGACCTGACGAGTGACGCGACCATATCCTAAGCACGAGTTCTCGTCTAACTGAATACAGGCAGTTCGCACGTGTATACACTGAGTGTAGTGTGTGGAGTCCGCCGGTCGCTTCTAGAAGGGCGTACAGACGTTCCCGTCGAACTCGATGTTAGAGCCGTAATTAGGGATAACGTCATTTTCGGTGTACATTCTGTTCTCGTGGCGCCACGCGCTAAAGAGTGTAGGTAAAAAATCGTTGAACAGACGGCTGTGTGGCGTCACGCTGTTCTTCCTCACCACCTGGATACGATTAATCATTTTAAATTTAGGTTTTTTAGTGTAATAAACATGTCTTAATATAAAGTTAATAAGAGTGACAATAGCCATACCACAAGTTAGTCTGAAGTCCCCAGTCTAATGTTCATAAACCTATATTATAGATATTATCATTTAACGATACAAACTTGTAGTATGTGTTCTGAATGTTATGGGATCGATTCTGTAATCCTCCTTCTCAACTTATAATAGTTTATATACTAACTTATGCTATAACTTTATACACTATTCTACTATAATAGTAACGAAATTATGTTTGTATGTATACTTTTTCTATTCCTTCATATGTTGGATCCGAGTCTCTCTTGGGTATCCATATCTTAACATCTATGTCCAGGCCGCTGGTGGCCATGACCGGGAACCGAGGGTGAGTTTCAATACAGTTCACCTGAAACATACATTATAATTAATAGTCAGTGGTGGTCTAGTGGTTAAAACTTAAAAGGCCGGGTTCGATCGGGCGCGGGTTCGATCCTGGCTAGTACCAATATGATTTTTCCGAGTCATATGTACTTTCTAAGAGTATTTAGACACCACTGATTAATGCATTCCCAAAAAGAGGATTAATGTCAGGCAGGCGACCGGTCGTAAAAACAATTGGCCAAAACTATTCACAACATGTTAGGCAGAATCTGGCTAAAGCTGGGAAATTGCCAGGTAGAAGAAAATACATTATAATTAATAAAAACTTACTTCTATAACATTATATGTACTCAATAAGATCTAAGATTTACGCAAGTCTACTTTTCAGCAACCGTGATCTCGTCGGCCCGTAATCACGGTTGATAAAAAGTAGACGAAACGTCAGGATATATAGTTTTTATTGAAAAGAAATTAGCCTAGTATATTCGAAAAACATTAGTTTCATTTAAATTGTATATACCTGTTGGATCAGTACATTCGTCTTTTATAACAATTTAAAATAAAATTATTTTAATACATTTCAACTTCAAAAGATTCTTTAAATAAAGGTAAGGTATATAAATAATTAAAGTTCTTAGTACTGATAATGTTATTTCAATGATAACAACATTATTCTATTGTTTATATATGTAGTATTTGTACATTATATTGTGATTATAATAAACTCACAGCCCCATGCGAGTCTCCCTTCATCCATTGCACTATAGCTTCAGAGTTCTTCTCCCAAATATATATGTTGGAACAATCAGATCCTGATACAATGTATTCACTCTTTGGACCAAAGAAAGCGACACTCTGAAATAATGTTACAAATTATTTAAAAACAAATTATATATATACTTAAATATAATAAGTAAAGAATAAAATTGTTATTCTAATAAATCTTCACACTTTTACAAGTATAATAAATTTAAATGATGTTAGAAATGCTTATAATGACATTGGTAAAAAATAGATACACAAATAACTGCTTAATGCTTCAGAGAATTAGTCTTAGTTTCAGCCTAAACTATGTGTAGGTATATCTTATAAATGTAAAGTGAGAAGTAACAGTGTACCTTATAAGTGACACTGTTCCGATGTCCGCTGTACCTGTGAGTGTACCCGTCCTTTGTATCATCTGGGCCTCTGGAATTAGTTACATTATATTACTATATTTTGCTCCCGGTTTTACTCGCTATAACAAGTATGACTTACTAGAATGTTTGGTTCCCCATCTTACTTTAAGAAGCATTACTTATTACAACTTTTCCTTATACATAAACCTACTTCAAAACTTTCACGTAAAGATTTAAAACTGTACAAAACTTCAAATGCTCGATATTTATTTATAGACGGGAGAGTTTATCCTAAGGGTACAGATTATATTGTACGCAGATTCATTTGTAATATTAATAATTTTGATAAACTGTAATCTGTTGGTTGATATGAAGAGTAAAATTAACCGACAATTTAAAGTCTAGCTATATGTCAATATTTCTCATATTACATCATCTCATAGTATCTCATACTAACTCATAGATATCGTTTTTGGCGTTAAACAAATAGATGTCCTCATCGTTGTATGAGCCGAGTATTTCGGTGCCGTCGTGATTGTAGACGGCGCAGGTCAGGTGCATGGAGAACCTCTTGCGTTGAGACCATTTACCCTGGAAGATAGTTAAGAAATGTATTAGAACACGATGCAATCGTCTTCTTCGACCTGGCAATTTCCCAGCTTTAGCCAGGGTCTGCTTTACATGTTGTGAATAGTTTTGGCTAATTGTTTTTACAAACGGCCGCCTGCCTGACATCAACCCTCTTTGGGATACAATCGTACCAAGGGAAAATGAATTACATATTACAGGTAGGTTGATTAAGTTTAAGTTCATTACAATATTACTGATGGATAAATGGAGGCAAGGGTTTTCTTGCTGCCGTGAATAACAAACAGTAAAGAAATATTTTCTAGTTAGAAATATAATGTAAAATAGACTCTCTATTGGAATCTGAAGTAGATTGATGTCAGATAAGAAATAAAAGCTAACAAGATATGAACATAAAAAAATAATTAATTCATAATAAAATATTTTTATATTGACACGATTCTTCCAATAGGAACAATGAACGAGGCGGCCCTCTTGTGGAAAATGACGCTCTTTGATTAAGAAAAAAAGGCGCGCACACGTACACGCTAGCTATATGTTATGGAAAAACTCGATTTTAACTTTTTTTTAACTGAAATGATTATGGCTATTATTACTCTACACGATGACTGCCAAATAAAATTATCAATGAACTTCCTACATATTGTTTTTGGTAATATGAATTTTGCTGTAATATCAACATTATCCGGTGTCTAACTAAAAATTGCACTAAATATGACATAATAATTATTACGAAATTCGTGTGTATAACGAGTTTTGCTCCATTCATTAATTGTACTAAAAAATATTTAATACACTGAAAGAGTACCGAATTTATTCAGTGACATAAGTATAACACATAAAATACAATTTATCCCGCAACTTCGTTAGTACCCGTGAGAGCATGGTGTAAGGGTCGTATTTGCGTGAGGGTAGTCTCAATATTGCATTTCAACCTATAGGAGTATTTAGCTACCAAATAAAGTAATTGCTATCAAATTTAAATGTAATGAGTGGCTAGACCGGGTCTTAACTAATATCCGAGAACTAAGAATAACAGTATACAACTTAACTGCAAACTTTAGGACAGCTCAAGAATTATTTTGATGGAAATATGAAAAAGGAGATTATAGTTTAATTATTTCGAAGGTCATTCACCTCGTGAGTGTTCTCATCTCTGAAGTGTCCCGGCCAGTAGAGCGCCAATGGCTGCTGAGGTCGTCGCGCGTCATACACCCGGAGGAACTTGTCCCGACCTGCCACTAGTACCTCATGCCGCCAGCGAGGATGCACCGCCACACTGTACAGAGACACTGAACCACCCGCTGCTGTCTTCGCATGGATCATTCTGAAATTACAAGAAATGTTCAATAAACTACCAGACGAAATAAATCTGTGTGATAGTAGGAATGTTTAAGGTTAAATTAAAAAAATATTTAATATCCTCGTTGTAGTAGTTAATGTTGCAAGTCTGTCATGTCCAACGGCCAGTTTGTTAAAATTGTTATCCTGCAAATATTCCTTGTATCTCATTTTGAGTGAATGTAAAAATTCTTATGAGAAATAAAGTTCTTTATACATTACGAACAATATTTATTTATTTAAGATTCACCAGTAGTAAATACATCAATACATACAAAGGTATAAAATTTTTATACAACTAAATGCATTATCTATTAAGGTGAATACCACTTGCAAAGATAAAGTTGGAGATGACAAGCTTACAAATAATTAATTGTTTGACAATTTTGACAAAATTTTTTTGTGAAACTTGTTTGATGAGTCTCCAAAAGGGTATATTCATCATCATCATCAGCCTATTAGAGCCCACAGCTGAACAAAGGCCTCTTTTCACATGGAGAAGGTTTGAGTATTAATCACCACGCTTGAAAAGATGGGTTGGTGATTTCAAATTTATAATTTGAAATTATAAGTTCATGTTTCCTTATGATGTTTTCTTTTACAGTTTGTCTGTGGTGTCTAAATACTCTCAGATATTACATATTTGATATATTTCTCAGATATTATCATTTAATGTATTTTATTAATCCATGTCCTTCAATGTTCTGTTTGATAGCCGAGATCATTGCCATACAAGATGAAAATGTCTGATTTAAATGAGCATAGAAATTATTTGGGTCATAGTAAAGTTCACAATAATTACTTGGTGGGATGGTCATCTCTGACGTCAGCACACAGCACCAGGCCGTCCTCTCCCGCGGACAGCACCAGGTGCGGGTCGGAGGGCCACACGGCCAGCTTGTGGGCGGGGCGGGCGTGCGCGGCCAGGCGACGCCGACACGAACCTCCGCCGCCGACCTGCACTAGCCGGACCTGGAACACGATACATCATACACATATATATGATTAAAGTAAAAAAATATCACTAAATTTTGAATATTGGCTTTATTAAACAAGGGTGTTGAAGGAGAGAACATGAGATGTTAGGTATCATCTGTATATGTACATAGACATTCAAGAATTTGATTCATTCAGGAAGAGCAGTGATAAAGAAGAACAGCTTCAAAAAAAATGTTTCAAAATGTTTTTTTCATGAAATTAAATAATTTTAACCTTATGTTGTTGTTGTAGTTTGAAGATTGCTTAGTACTTTTATATATATTTGATCATTAGATCATAAGATATTCCTAATAAGACGTGCATCAATACAATAAATACCTATTCACTTCTGAGTAAAGGGTTAATTAAATTTCATTAAATGTAAAAAAAAAAATCTAATGTTTTTTTATTTTAATTACCTGACCATCTCTAGCACATGTTGCAATATTGAGTTGACTCTGAGCATTCAGATATAAAAATTTACTCTGAAACACATTAGACTTGTGGCCGGTCTTCACTGTTTGTACAGGAGTTTTTTTGGCCCAATCCCATATAACGACATTCATATCATCAGAACCAGAGGCGAGGAGACGCCCTGAAATAGATAATATTATTATAAACTTAATATTATTTTATTACACCTGTAAATGATTATAAATTACAACATTTAAAATACAATCTAGTCTTAAATTGTCATACTCCAATTATTTAATGGGCATTTTTTTTCATATTAATGATATTAAGTCTAACCTTCTGGATGAAAATTAATAGAATTGACACAGCCTTTATGTTTCAACAGGTTATGTAGTTTCTCTAATCTATATACAGCGTGTAGTGATCCGTAGAAGTTCTGTTCAAATATCACATCATTCTGTGTTGTTTTGCCGCATGGAAATGTCAGCCCCATTTCTCTATTGATTATTTCTGAAATTTTAAAGCAAAGAATTCACATTGGTGTATCTTACATATATTTATATACACAGAATTTTTTTTGTGCATATTTGATAGAAAGAGGAACTTGGACAGTGGAGGTGAGTGTTAACGCGCATTACATAGGGGTCCCTTAAACCTACACCTGGGTCGCAAGTCCCAGACACTGTTGAAGCTCCTCTCACTACAATGTTGGATCCAGCACTCGCACGGTGAATACATTGAATGCTGAGAGGTTTCGTCTCATATGAATATAGTATTATTACTTTGACTTATATATATACACAAAATTATACACAATTCTTTGTGCAGAATATGAAATGCAGAATAATATATGTGTATAATTTATATATTATTACCAACCAAGCTATTTCCTACCTCTTAATATTATATATGTGTGTTTGGGTCGTGTCTTTAACAGTACAGGAGGCGGTTTCCCCGTCAACTCTTCCCCTTCCTCTTCATTCCTCGACCACAGCGGGTCATCGCTGTCTGTGTCCACCATGTTCAACTGGTCATCGCTGTGGTAGCTGCTGTTTGACGATGTGTCCAGACCACTCCTCATATACATAATTAATATTATTGCATAAGTATATATAATGTAAATGTTCAGTCAATAACTATTCTTACAAGAAAATAAGATGTATAAAACAAGAATGGAGCCATACAATCTAAAAGGTTGGTTATATTATAATAGATACTTACTCACTAGATGATCCATTGGAAAAATCCGTTGCAGCATCCCCGTCTGTTGTATCCAATGATAATGGAATGTTTTCAGCTTCCTCGGTGGAGAGGTCATCTGAATCTCTGGAGGAATCGCTGCCGGACTCCCTGTCTGGAGTCTTACGTTTCCTATAGTTCCTGGCGCGCCGCGGATGTCTGATGTTGAGGAGTATAGCGCGGACATTGCTGCTCGACGGAGCAATTGTTACGACCTCATTCAAGGGCACCTCTGCAGCAGCAGCGTCACTGCTCGTACTTTCAGACTTATCAGCCGATACCCCGCTGTCCACGTTTTCTTCATTTACAATTTTACTCCCAGATGCTGAAAATGAAACAAAATGGATACAAGTTATACCTACATACGTCACACGGGATAATTTATATTGAACGATAACTAACCAGTTTCGTTGTTACTGTCTTGTGAACTGCCGTCGTTTAGTTTCAGTTTTTTTCCACCTAATTTAGGACTCAACGGAGAATCCTTAGTTTCATCATCGTTCGAAGAATTGTCTTGCATTTCAGTAATTTACGTTACAAATCTAAAAAAATATGTAGTATGAACACCTTATTAATCACAGCTTGAGTTTGGCAGAGAAAATTGCTATACAAATCTAATTACAGTGACTGTTTTATTAGTGAAACAATAATTTTTTACCCTTATTTTGAAGACAAAATGAAAAAAATCTATTTCGTATTTTGGCATGTATAGGCTGGTGCACATTTATTATATAGTGTTTTTTAATCACATTATCTGTTATGTATGTACTCTGTGAAGTTTATATAAATTAGAAGTTTTTTAATAATTTTTATAAATCAAAATGTTTCAAAGGATAAATAATAATAAAAGTAAAATTATAGGGTGGTGGATATATATATATTAAATATGAAAATAACATAAATTCAAAATTGTTTAGATTTAAAGGACATAATTATGTTATTAATATATTGTCTTTTTTTTTAGTATGTCGCATGTATATAAAAGACAAAGATAAATTTATACTGCAAAAACAGTACTAAAATAACAATAATTATAAAAATTATTTTTCTCGGAAACTGATTTCAAAACCCAGTTCATATATTGTAAATTTTAATTGGTAGTTAATGTGTTTGCTGCTTATAAGTCATAATATACGAATTAAAGTACATGAAATTGAAAGTTCAATTCTTAAAAGTGTAAACAGCCTAAATTCATAAAAACCTGATAATCTTAATGTATATTCAAATTCGGTAACAGTTAAAGATTTAATACATTTATATATTTTCTTGTTTTACTTTACTTTTGTTTGCATTATTTTAATTATCTAGGAACACAATCTAGCAAGACGAGGTCACGATTCTGACAATGTCACTATAAATGTCTATCAATGTCAGCATGGTGTTTTGTGTTTATAAACATGCTTGTTACAGGCATCGTTGAAATCACAATTAAAAAGATATTTAAAATTTTACAATACTACATTCTTTAGTTATTCTTTTCCTAGCTATTAAACTTTTATTGCATTATTTATAAACAAAGTAAGATGTATAAAGAAGGAGAACTAGTATCTTTCTTGGATCTGCTAGATTTAGATGAAGAGGTTATAGACTTAAGAGCAAAAAGTATAATGCAAAGAAGTAATTTAAGCAGTCAGCACTTAGAACATTTTATTTACCTTCTTCAATACAAGCATTTGATCAACGTCCGAGAAAATAGTGAATACGAAAATGAGGAAGAATATAACTTTCTTAGTAAACTTATTGTCGATGCGGACACTGAGACTGCGGAAGCAACATGTACAATTGTAAATTTAGTATTAACATTAAATCCTACCACCATAATAAATAAGTCCGAACATCTTTTACAACAAATATTATCAACAATAAGTTTCCCTCCTATAAAGAGGAGTGTCATTGATGAAGATGGTGGTTCCACAAGTAGAGAGACAGAAAATACATTGGTTAAACTTAAGATTTGTGGTAGTGTATTAGATGCTGTAAAGAAAGTAGGAGCGAGGATGTCTTTGCCGTTTCTGCTTGTTCCACTCGAGCAAATTATTTGTACTGAAAATAAACAACTACAAGGATTCTTCCTAATGAACACTGTTCCCAAATTTTTCGAGACTGTTGATGATTACAATATTCTTGATAGAATTTGGTGTTTCTTAAAACAATTAAATGATAGTGCAATCGCTTTAAAAGTTTTATGTAGCCTTTCAAACTATTATTTACCAGTTATTGAAGATAAATCTGAAAATGTTTCAATTGAATCCACTATCATAAGAGATGGTGAGTTTTGGGATTTTATTCTGAATGGATTACTCTGTGATGGCCAATGTTTATCTTTAAGAAAGCAAGCCATCTACCTCGCTAAAAGAGGCATCGACTATCTTGTATATAAGAAGAAAGATATTCAAATCAACTCACAAAGCACATTTACATGGTCGATAGAAAATGAAAATGCAGCGAGAAAAATGTGGGAAAACTATTTTATCTTGATAGATAGTTTAGAAGAGAAACAAAGCAATATTGTTCTACCGTCTTTAAAACTTTTTAACAGCATCCACAACATAGGACACTGTTGGTTGGCAGCTGCTTTTAAAATCGGCCTAAAACATGACAATTTCCAAGTGAGACAAAAATGCTTGAACTATAGGTTTCAGTTTAGAATAAGAAATCAAATGGAGGCTGTTGGTGTTCTAGAAGCTCTTAACGATTCAGCAATATTTGATAACAGAAATAAACATAACTTAATTATTGGACAGTTGAAGGAAGCCTTTAGTAATGTGGAAACACTTATAAATTTCCTCCAGGGAATGGCAGATGTGAAGTTGTCACCAGTGCCATTATTCTCTTTGACCTCCTGTTTAGCTGTTCACAATATATCACTTAATAATTCTGATCAGAAAACTATATTTAAATCTTTAAACAAAATATTAAAGACTCCATGCAATAACATAGTGCTGAGAAAAGCCATATACGTGAACATGTCACACTTTATAGTAAATTGTTGTAAGAATTTACACTGGAAGGAGTATTTATTTTTATATCTATTACTGGATGTTGAAACATCTATAAATCCATTTGTGAGTCTCATACAGAACCATATGGTTGTGCCTAAAGATGAGACGGAGCAGTTCATAAATACTATAAGGACTACGCATCTGAACATACCATTTGCTCTAATTTATTTCCGAGGTCACGATGAGGACTTGTTTCTGAAGATAATCAATGATATGATATACCAAGTAAAGAATATCAGCAGTAGACAGTATTCAAACAAATTAGACTATTTAGAAGAAGCCATTTTCATTGCACATTTGTACAAATATCAAGATAATAACATAATAACTCAAACAAATTACAATTCTGAAGCATTCCAAGCTGTAATGCAATATATTATGAGTTTATTGTCAGATGAAATTAATTTGGATTACGATAAAATGAATTTACTTTTAGAAGGTCTCGGTTACATCATAAGTGGCGCGAATATTATTAATTATAAGGAAAACTTAATACAATTATATAAAACCGCCGAAATTCTCGTTAAAGATAACAACTCTGATCTGCAAAAAAAACTTTTTGCATTGCTAACTCTCAATACACTTCTGAAATCGAAATTTCGAGATATTTGTTATGAAGTTCTGGTTATTGAAACATTTGTAAACATAATTAAGAATATAAATTGTTCTGGACACAAGAGAGAAGATGGCGGCAGATTGAGGAACAGTTTTTACGAAAACATATGTCAATTATTATGTACAGTATATACAAGCGGATCTATAAAAGATATTATATATTTTATTGATACAGTTGTGGAATGTGGAGGTCACGGCTGTTTAAAATGGTTATTAATTTTAACTAATAAAATAATATCGGAATTGTTAGAGGAAGATCAAGTAAAATTTGATTTAACACAGTTCTTGAATAAAATGTGGAAAGAGATCGAAGACCTGAAGTCAAACAGCCAATATTCAATTTGTATGGAACAATTTATAAATCTGCTCACCCACGACGCCGTGTTAAAGAGACCAATATATAATAACCTCGTTATCTCATACTGCAATAAGATTATTAACTATGCCACATTAAAGTACTCCCCGCTGTATTTTCTTATAAAACGATTGACTCAGATTGATATCTCATCTTATGCTCATATGATTTATGTTTTATGTGAAATTTTGCTATACGCAAATATTCCGAACAAAGAACAAAGGTAGTTTATAATGTTATTCTAAAACGTTTTTTATTACGAGTTTTGTTAAATGTATGAAAAACATTGTTATCGAGTTTCTATCAATTTAAAAGTTTAATGATTGAAAACTATTAATTATATATTTTCGTTGTTGTTGATCTCTTGATTCTTGATAATCGATGGTTTTTTATGTAAACGTTGTTAAATTTTTCAGGATAGCTGAAAGCTTACAAGTGGCAATTTTAGAGCGATCAGGATTTTACGGAATAAATGAAGAGTAAGTGTCAAGTTTGCCGCCCAAAAGTTTCTATGACATATTATAATTTTAAAAATGGAATGTTGTCTTTTAGATGCGTTCAGTTTAATTCTCACATACAATATTTGGCGGTTTCAATACTTGTTAAGATAAGTGACAATGAAATTCTTGTTAACGTGATGAAGTCAGTGAGGAGAAGGATAGATGAATTGATGAAAAACAAACTTCGGTACCACGAGAATTCCTACCTCGAGAGGTCTATAGAGTCTGGTTTACAATGTTTGCTTCTCACTGTTCTTATGACCGAGGTCGATTTAAAAGATAGCGCTGTGTGGTGTATGGAGTTATTGGGAAGGATGCCACACCAACCGTATGTTAGGATATGTCTGGAATGGTTTATTTGCTTATATTTTTATCTTGAGGTAATTTTCTATTGATTTTAATGATAATATTTCTATTACTTCATTTGTAAATTTATCAATATTTCCCATCAAACTTTCTAACTTTCAATCTACTTTAAAATTTTATTTTAAAACTTATTTATCATTTAGGCAAAAATTTTGTGAAGTGTATGTAAAAGTTTACAAATTAACCGTATTTTAGCTAAAATTATAATATCACAAATTTCTTAGCTACTTATATTCGTATGTTACTAAATCTACACCTCATTAAGTGTGTTTCGTTGTTGTAATACAATAGTAATATATTGTTAATCAATTGCTGTAGTTATAACATTTATTTCAGAAACATATGATAGGTCAGGATGTATTGGACACATTAAACTCACGTAACGTGCCCATACAATCTCAATTCATGATCCTATACTGGATTCTGATACGTAAAATTAAAACGAATTGCTGTCTCCAAGCCGAGTTCGATCAAGTTATGGAGTTTCTTACTTCACACAGCATGGGCCCTGTGTACGGCGTGAGACTTTACGCGCAATATCTGGCCACGAAGATTATCGATGTCAATGATGAACAGGAACACAAATTGGATGACAAAAAATTTACATACATAATAAAGGTTATAAGGAATTGTTTACGACAAGCCCAGGAGTTGGAAGAAAAGAGTCTCGTGAAGTTATTAAATAGTTACTTCATCAATTCCTTTGATATTATCCAAAACTGGAATTTCTACGACGTGTATTATAAGCTACCTGTGTTGTCGCTGACACATACTGCTAGACATTTCGATATGACGAATAAATTTCTTCAAACTGTGACCATGGAGATTAACGCGTCTTTGGAAAAAGGTTTAAAAGGTGAATTCCTCAGTGATGGGATAGTCGTTCCAGAGAAGATCCGATGTGAGTTTTTAACTGAAGTAACCGATGAAGAGGAATCAGATATTATACAGAAAAAATACGTTCCTTGGAAGAGTATGAGCGACGTGGACGTTTACAGCGAACATCATGTAAGTTTTATTATTCATATTAGTGATATTCAAACATTTAGTCGATGATTAGTTAAACGTTAGATTATCACACACGACTTGGTCCTAGTGGGAATCTTCATTTCTTACGATAATATTTTTGTTATGGGAAGCCAACGAGTTTCTTGGTTCTAATAGCATCCTAGTTGTAACACCCGACGATGAAATATTGTGTGTATTGGTAGTACGTTATCGATCACTGCTTTTCACTTTAATACCCCATTCCATAGTATTGTAATTTTATTATAAACGCCCAAAAATATAAGAAATGGCGTTAAATCGATAGAAGTTTAAAAATAATATACGAGGTTCAAATGTAAAATATATAAAAGGATGAAAAAAAAAAAGAAAAGTTTTTCGTAACAGTATTTATGGCCAATTGACTATAGAATTAATATTTTATGTTTCTGAAAAGTTTAATGGAAATCAATTCAGTAATTCACATATAGTTAATGCTATATTAATATCGTGATCATTACCAGAGGCCGTCTAGTGGGCTGGTGTTGGTAGCGTCTCTGGTCGACAAGTTGCCCAACCTGGGCGGTATGGCGCGAACGGGAGAGGTGTTCGGAGTACATACATACATCATGGACAGTTTGAGACACGTACAGAACAGAATATTCCAGGATCTGAGGTGAACTGATGAAATTATCACTGTTACAAACTATTAATCATCATCATTGTAGTGTATGTAGATTCTATTATAAAGTTCTGTCGTCTCATGCGTACACGCCGCACGCTACGGTATAGTGGTGGGGTGGGACATACTGCCACTCCCTCGCTCACTTTGCTTAGAACCACGGAGCTAGAGGGACGCGCGTGCGGCGAGTTAGGCAGTGAGCCGATATCTAAGTTAAGTACACAGACAGTACAATCATAAGCTTATTAGAGCCCACTGCTGAGTAAAAGTCTTCTCACATGGAGAAGGTTTGAGCATTAATCACCATCACTCAAGACAGGTTATTTTCAAACTTATAATTTGGAATTATAAGTCCAGGTTTCCTCGCGATGTTTTCCTTCATCAGTCAGTGGTGTCTAAATACTCTTAGCAATTACATATTACTCGTAAAAATCATATTGATACTTGCCAGGTTTTGAACCCGTGACCCGTGCGTTATGCACGAAAGGTGGGCTTTATAGGCTAATGTGAATTCTCTATATAAATTAACGTTTATGAATATTTGGTCATTCTTACAGCGTGTCAGCTGAAAGATGGTTGAACGTAGAGGAAGTCCGACCTGGGGAGCCTCTCAAACGATACCTCATGATGAAGAAGGCCGAGGGTCACACCGTCGTGGCAGCGGAACAGACTTCTAATAGTGTTAAACTACAACATTTCAAATTTCCCAAGAAAACCGTCTTATTACTAGGGTGGGTAGTCTTTAATTTTCAGCCTGATGGTAACATTTAACTAGGAATACTTTATTAAATTTTGTTTGACCAATATGTTTGGATCCATTTTTCACTAAAGCATTGTGTATGTAGTGTCTGCGGTAACTTTTACAAATTATTTAATAATTTTTGACATATTAGTTAGTTGTCAAATCTAATATCAAAAAAACGTTTGTATCAACAACTACTAATAAATTAAAAATTAATTAAAAAAACATTGTCCAGCGGACAAAATTGTGAATCTAAACTATTCCCCTTGAACACACACAAAAAAATTCATCAAAATCGGTCCAGTCGTTTGGGAGAAGTTTAGTGACATACACATTCACAAAGAATTATTTATACAAACATGACTCCGAAGTCTCTCAAAGCTAGTTTATGTTTCAGACACGAAAAGGAAGGCATCTCATGTGATCTGCTGCCTTTATGTGATATATGTGTGGAGGTCCCTCAACTAGGAGTGGTTCGCTCCCTCAATGTACACGTCACCGCTGCCCTCTTCGTGTGGGAGTACACGCGACAACATCTACTATAAATTATAATAATAATAATATTTATTTGCTCTGAATGTAGGTACAGAATATGGGTGTATAAATAGATTTTAGTATAAGTACCAGTACATTCTATAATATTAGGCTTAAATTATAAATTAAAATTAGAAATATATGTATAATATACTCCTCTTTTTTTTAAATGTTTTACGGCTCTGCATACGAGTCCTTTTGAGCCTTATATCATGTTGCATTATGTTAAGCTTGTAAATAATAGGTGGAAAACTTTGTTATGTTGCATTTTATATTTATAAGAAATAAATTTAAATAAAAAATATTTAAAAATTATTTTCTTTTAGCTTCCATTTTAGAGATATCTTACTAAAAAAATAAAATAACCATTAACATTAAAAAACAGTAAAAATAACATTTTCCAGGAAACATAGAAATATTGAATACAACTATAATATTAATAACAAGCCCATCCAAGAAGTAAAATCAGTGCGTGACCTTGGAATGCAATTAGATTCAAAGTTATTGATGGCAGAGCATATAGAACACGTCACTGATAAGGCATATAAGCAATTAGGATATATAAAACGAATATGTCATAATTTTAATAATATTGAATGCATAAAAACTTTATACATACTTTACTTATGTACGATGTGTCTTAGAATACGGTTGTATTATATGGTCTCCTAATTATACAACTTACAAAGAAAAACTGGAAAAAATACAAAAAAAATTCGTAAAATTTCTTTGCTTTTAAGAATTTAACGATTATGTTGATATATGTAAACAATATAATATCGAAACATTGGAAACGAGACGACGACATTATGATATGTATATGCTACATGCAATAATTACCGGAGATATAGATTGCACCGATTTATTGAGCGCTTTGTATTTAAGAGTTCCTAATCGCCGCACACGTCATACAGCACTATTCCACACGCCTGAGCTAAAAACTAACTATGCACACAACTCTGTCCTTAATCGCATGGTCAATACATATAATTCACACTACTCAGAAATTGATCTGTTCAGCATGTCAAAACTAGCTTTAAAAAAAGCTATAATTAAAAAAGATAAAAATTCATAATGACAAACATACACACACCCCCACACACACACATACAGACACACACACACACAATCATGCAAACACGCACCTATTGGATTCCGCCCCGTACCTTTATATTACTTTAATACTATAAATTTTACTTTTATGCTGATTTTACTTGTCTTCTAGTTATTAATATGTTTAAGATACCTGTGTAATCCTATCTTGGTTTAAATTTTATGTTATGTAATATTTAATATAGAAATTTATGTATAAAAACTGTTGGATTACCAAATAAATAAATAAATTATGTTGCTAAAAAAAACCAATGATTTAAAAATTAATTATATAACACAGCTCGACTATTTTAACCAAAAACTAGCATCATTATTTTTCTCACTAGCAAGTAGCAACGCTGTGAAGAGTGTACATAATACATTCGTTCAATTAATGTTGCAAAATGTGTAGTCCCATAAATTAAGAACCACAATAAACTGCATGTTTATATTTTTTATATTATACAATAATATTATAACCATTTCATAATTATCACATGATATTTGGACTTCTAGCATCTTTAATAGATAACCAATTTGTTTTGTCAACAAGGTGGAGAAGTGACGTATTAGAATCCATGACATCTAAGTATTTATCGAAATAAAATTTATATTTTTCGTTTTTACTTCGCGTTTATAATTATTTTTAATAACGTACTCCCGACGTGATATGACATCTCGTTTGTCGTGATCACGGTTGAAGCAAAGTAACCGAAACGTCGGGAATACCTATGTAGTTTTTACAAAAAAAAGTCGCGTAGTACATCCGAAAAATATTAATTTAATTTCAATATTAGAATTACTCTCATTATACCTGTGAGATAAAATTAAACAAGTTCGTTACATAATTTTATATAATAAAACTCCAACATTTCAAACTATAATCCTGTTGAATACAATCAATATTTCTTTAAACAGAAACTTATAACAATAATTTGTGTTTTGATTTAAAAACATAACTTTTCTTTCGGATTCACATAGACAATAAATAATAACGGTATTCATCGACAAAAATTACAATTTCAATTCGGGCCTACAGAAGAATTTCACCTTATTTGGTAATATAGTAATTTTGACCGGTTTAACTTCGAATTCCTCTTGATCTATTGCTATAACTACGTCAGGTTTCGGTTCTTGGGGCTGTAATTCTATTGTTCTTGCTTGGACCACCGCTGATCTGTTGTCATCGCCCTTCGCCCGCCGCCATCCTTCTGAGACAAATTCGAAGTAGGAGTAACTATTTTTAGCTAGACCCACGTTTAAAGATGGTACCCCATCACTGACTTGAGGTTGTATTATAAAATCGGTCGTTTTGAAACACATTTCACTCTCAGTCGCACATTCAGGGTTGATCCGGGTGGTCAGGTCGGTTTCAGAAGCGGCTTCCTTGGTAGGAATGAAGAACGTCCACTTTCTTTTGACCTCCGGCTTCTTAACAACACAATTGCTGCATCCTGAACATGGAGGTGTATACTTTATAGTTCCGCGGCAATCCCAGCTCAGTGTATTCTTATAACCGTTGAATATATATGATGCATATTCTCTGAATGGTCCATATATCCAGTACTTGTCCTTCTTAGCTTGAGTCTCCCTAAACGCGCCCCATTCCATAGAATTCAACGCGTAGATAGGTTTGCTCGGTGTTTCCTCATTCAAGGGCTCAATTTTCATTACATTTTTCCACGTAGTATTATTTTCCACTATCGCCATGCAAGCCTCTATCAGTTGTTTGACCTTAGCCACTCCATCGCCTCTCGGGAACAAGGTGTTTCCTACACTATTCGTGCGACCTAACGGCAAAACTCCGAGAGGAAATCTGTTGGCATCGTCATTTCTACGAAGCAGACCTGGAAATAATGGTTGATTAGTGTACATTAATAAAATTAATAAGACAGTTATGTTTGTATCAAGTAACAAACCTGTGACCGTTTCTGATAGTGTCCCGTCGCCTCCAGCAACTATAATAGCTTCTGTGCCTCTTAAAGTCTCCACTATTTCTTTAGCGTGACCCTCGGACGTCGTTTGAATGACGTCAACTTGTAGGCCGGCCAAATGCAGCAGAGGTTCGCAATATTTTTCGAAATCTTTTTTCGCTTTTCTCTTATTGGCCACCGGGTTTAATATGATGGTTATCAATGTGGGGTTTCTATCCATCGGTATTAAAGCGTCTCCATACTTAGCAGCCTCCTTACAAGCTGCTCGCATCAATATATTTATTCTGTTGAAAATAAAGGTATTTCATATGGTATAAAGTAAACAAAAAAATTTCAAAAACAATTTTTTAGAAATCATGAAAAATAAAATACTCAAAAATTATTTCATTTAGTAAAGATCACATCCTTAATTTATGATTGTTTTTAAATATTCATAAAAAAACTTTTATAAAAGTAAGTTTCTTACTCATATCTTTCTTTGGCTGTAGCCGCACCGTAATACAAGACGACGGCACCAAGAACCGACTTTTTCCAATTATTACGTAATGTTTTTCCAATTTTTATAATTCTTTCCATGGCATTAATTTATTTAATTACCAACTGTGCGTACTGTATCAACAAATTTAAATTGTTTTAGGTTAAGAATATCAGCTGTTTATATTTCTGAGTTACGAAAAGTCATAGATAATAAATACATAGTACTAAAAATAAATTTAACCAATTTTTAATACTTATTTGTAATTGTATTAAAAATAATTGTTTAATTTTACATTATTATATATTCAATATTATAATATTAGAATTTGCATCGATTAAAGACCAATTTTATTGAATATTTCATCTTAGTAGCTAGAATATGTAAATATATAAATGAAGATGACTTTTAATTAAATATAAATTATATAATTGTTATTATTTCGGTATTTATTATTTTATTATAAAAGTTTTAGTTTTGTCTGTGGTCTGTTGTAATTTGTATAATGTATTTGTCAAATGGATCAACACATCCAACGATTTCCATTTAATATTATGAATATTTTTTTTTGTTGTTATTAAAAATCGGTATGAGTTCCAAGAAATCTGATAATAATAAACTACCAGATGGTTGGGTACTATGTCAATCAAAATCAATTCCGGGAAGGAAGTATTTTTTTAACAAAAAAACTGGAAAATCTTCGTGGTCCCAGCCCCAGGTAAATTCGTAAAAAAATCGCTTACTTCATTGAGGTATTTTACAACGCCCTATTTTAATCTAACTGGCACATGCCTTTTTAGTTTAATTAAATATATTTTTAAATGATAATGTTTTCGTACTGGAAATCCAGAATGTTTATTTTTTTTAAGGCCGATGACAAATCTGGTAGGATGACGTGTAAAAAAGAAAAATTAAGGAGACAGGAAAGAAAGCGGAGAGAGGAACTAGCTAAAAAGGCAGCCAAAAGGAAAAGCGATATTAATGATGGAAGTGATTCAAGGAAAAGAACAAAAGGTAATGTATTGTTTTATATTGTAAAGTGAATATCTAATGTTTGAATATTGTTATAATTGTTTATAATGTTTATGTAGGTGCTTCTGATGCAGGGTGCAGCTCTAGAGGCAGGCTGAAAGAAAGCCCTCATCATCATAAAAGGAGAAAAGAATCATCACAACCAACACACAGCACTCCCAAAATGACTCCATCAAAATGTTCACTCGGTAACTCTGTGTCTCCACAAAAACATTCCTCATCAAAAAACATAGCAAATACAAGGCTTTCAAATCTAAGAGCAAAACTGGCAGCAGAAGTGAGAGAGGAAGAAAGTCTCGGTATTAAAAAGAAAGTCAGTCCTAAAACAAATAATGAGACACCACAGAAGGGTCAAAGAAGTGAGCAGAAAAGTCCCAGCCTCAATGATTCCAAATCAACTCGATCTCCGAGTAGTGATAGTTTCCAATCAATGCCCTCGCCTTCCCAGTTCTTTGCTGCTAATAAGATCATATCTTCAATGAAGGCCCAGTTGCCCGAGGAATACTGTAATAAAGAGAAACAGAAAGATACATTTGCTGATATTGAAAAGGGTATATGTAGTCAGATAACCGAGTACCCGTTTTCAAAGCACCCCGCTACACCCCCACAGTTTTCAGAAGCTAGCAAATTAGTATCGGCTATAAAATCCAAATTGGCATACAAGGGCTCGTCTTCAAAGGAAGGCGTCAAAACATTTCCATCAGCCAACGCCAGGTTGGAAGTGTTGAGGGCAAATTTGAGTATTGAGGCAGAACAAGAAATGGGGGACAGTTTTTTAAGTAAGAGTAATGATTCAGAACAAAAGGACATATCAGAGGCGATGGAAGTTGAAGAAATAAAAGAGGTTTGTTCAAAGAGGTCCTAATACTTTATTTTAATATATTGTTACTCTATATTTAAGATAATTCCATTTTATCTATGATGAATTCCTTGTCTTCTATCTGATATATCTTATTTTCCAGGTGAAACACAATGAGACGTTTCTGAAGGACACCACATTGAGAGACAACCTGGTTCTGGTCATTGACACTAATATATTCATACATGATCTTGATTTCATTAAAGTTGTCCTCAACTCACATATCAAAGGTAAAGAATTTTCTTAATTTGACTGCAAGATGCTTGCCAAACATAAACTTCCAACAGGCTTTTACAACTTTATTTTGAAATATTATGAAACAAAATCTTCAAAAGTATCACTTGATGGTTTTTTCGCCTGTATTAATGGAATAGCAGATGTTTAATAATATATTCTTATTATGTAAAGAAGTACTGATACAAATAGTGATATTAGTGTATATATTAGACATTGATTTGAAATTACCTGGTGTTTTGATAAAGTCCATATTCAGAAACTAATTGTGGAATTAAATGATAATTATATTAAGGATAAAATTGCGATTTTGCGATATTAAGCAATATCTACTTGCACTGTTTGCTATAAATGGCAAGTTTTATCTTACCCTGTGTCCAAAGAAGATAATACAGTAGCTCCATCGAACTGCTGGCGTCATACCATAGTCATCTTTCGTTGTAAGATGTGATTAACTCGAGGATCTTAAAGTACCTTAGAGCATGATTTATCTAGCCATAAGTAATAGGCGCTTTACACGTTCCCACGATTTCCATTCCATTCTCTTTGAGTGTACTCAATCAATCCCGGGCTTCACGATTGACAATTAAGAGTAGGCTCGGACAGTCTTGATATGGTTGAGGCGTTCGTTTGTTTTTGAAAGGGGTCCTTCCATAGACGCTTCTGTCTTATGGATTACCCAAACACTTTGCAAATAGATTGTTAGATTTCTGTCCAGGACACTGGAAGATATTTTGGCCTAGATGGCCCCCAACGAGCCGTGAAAGTTCCCTTCACATATTATGACAGAAAAGTACGTAACAACTTGTGACCGAAATCGATAGTACGCTATCCAGGTTGTTCGATTGGTTTCAGTGTAACTCGAACCGATTTAACTAGTAGACGTAAACTCCATGCACTCTGCTCTAACAGTTACAGGACTTTCTTAATCTTTTCTAAGGTTATTGGGATCATAAGTATCCAAAACTGAAGCGACGTTCACTCTCGAAGCTACTTAGCTGACAAGTTCAATTTGACTTCCGAGAAATCTGGTTTGCAATTCCGTTTTTCACATAATATCCATCGAAACCTAATTCACCCAACAATGGGTACTGCCGCATCTCTAGGCTGGTGAACTTTAAATATTAGACTCTTTGTCACTGGCATTCTTTGACTACTGTCAAAAAAACTTGTTGATGACCCTATGCTCATAGGCGATATTGACCCATTAAGGCCAAGTAGAGATCTTAACTCCTCTCGTGTATTCTGCCGCCTGTATGATAGGATATATTCAGAGTAACGGATACTTTTATCATCGCACCGCTCCTTATTAGCTGGTAATACATTCTTATACTTTGGCTCACAAATGGTCGAGTAAAGTCCGGTTCAGATGAATTTCCTGTCACGACGCTTGCGTGTAGCAAAAAATACCTCCAGAGGTTTTGTAAGGAGACACTAGATATTTGAAGGGTCAGCAACCCGCACTCAACGTAATATTGCAGGCGTTCATGCACTAACTAAAGTATTTTTATAACTGACTGTATCCCTTGTCCATATACAGGGTGACTGGTGAATTACTATCAATATTAATTAAGGAGAATACTCGGTACATGATTCTCATTCAAATTATGTAAAAAAAATAGGTACTTAACTTTTGACCAAATTTCCGTATAAATAAATAAAGTGTGGACGCGTTCCAAGTGTTCCGAGTGTGGACGCGTGCGGCGGCGTGCTGATACAATACCACGCCGCCGCACGCGTATGTGTGTGTGTGTGTATACCTAATCTGTAGGGTGTTCACACGATGCGTAATTAATTACATAACTTTTGTTTAACTTTACTCAGAAGTTTATTAATATTTATGTTATATTAATTTTTATTTTGTCATATATGATCGTCAAATATCACGTCCCCAAGTATCGATAGTAATTCACCAGTCACCCTGTATAACATTTTTTCCTTGTTGTTTTTTGTGTTTTATAATTTTAAAACATAATTTGGTACAACCTTTTTTGTTAGATCATTTTTCTGGCGTATTACTAAGTCGATCTTCCGTTCGTAGGTTACAGCGAACAACCAACAGTCCTCGTTCCCTGGCGAGTGATCAATGAGCTCGACCGTCTTAAAGACAACAATAATGGCAATGGTTCCCTTTGCAAGAGGGCCAAGGCTGCTATGGACTATCTGTATAAATCACTACCAGAGAATAGCAGGATTAAAGGTACGTTACACACACTGAAGGGACTACTTAATACGTCTTTATTGACAATTTTGCAATATATCCTAAAGTTCCTTACGATATATTCTATTCTGAAATACAGAATTATTAGCTACTTATCCTATATAAAAATGATTGGCTATCAGTTCATAACTAAAAGATTTTTAGAGATGTTTTTGTCCAGGTCAATCGTTGAGGGATGCCAATTCTCACATATACCCGTGCGAGGTCCCAGATGATGAAATTTTGAATTGCAGCCTTCAGCAGCTGGAGAGGGATAAGAATGTTGTGAGTATATAGACTAGCGTTTGTTGATGTTTGTCATGAGTGTAATAAAATTGGTAGAATGATATAGTAGTGGCTTTAATATTCTTTATTCAATTGTTACTTAGCAAAACTTTGAAATATCCTCATAAGCTAAATATAGTTCCCTTTAACATTTGCTTTCCATTTAGTTTTGCTTAACATTGGTCCTATAGCAACAAAGTAAAATATGATAAAGATTATTTACACTGTTGCTTACTTCTAAAGGATTAAGTTTTTCCGTACTGAATGTCAAACTTTAGAATTAAAACTCTATTTGAAGAAGTAAAGCGATGTCGGAACTGTTCTTCTCATTGGTGAACTCACAAGTGATTAAATAAACTGCACTATATCCATTGAAATGCAGATCTTCCTTGTGGTTAATGTTAAACCAATCCAAATATCTGTATAATGGTTTTTGCATCCTTTGCTGTTCAGATACTGCTGACCAATGATAAGAACCTGTGCAACAAGGCCAGCATCAACAACGTGAGGCACAGCAACGTGAGTGAACTGCAGAAACTGGTGGAGAACAAGCCACAGCCGCAGACCAGCGACCTGCGGGCCACCGTCAAGAGATACACCGACGGAGTCTACCACCTGCTGGCTAATATACTGGAGGTGAGGAGTTGATACACCATCTACCACTTAAAGCAGCTACACTCGTAATCTTCGGCCGTCTCAAGACTCAAAAGATAATCTGAACGGGTTTTGCCACTTACTGGCCAGCTGTCTGGAGGTAAATAATTGCAGCACCAGCTATAACTTACACAGCCGCAGGCAGACTTGCTACTTCGGGCCTTTCTCATGAGAGAAACTGAAGGAATCCTCTACGTGCTGGTGATCATGGACGAACATTTCCCGAGTTTGACGCTCTCCATCACATAGTATGTCTTCTTGCATAATCATCATCATCATCATCATTTAGCCTATTGCAGTCCACTGCTGGACATAGGCCTCTCCCAGCACGCGCCATAACACTCGGTCCTCTGCCTTCCGCATCCAGTGAGACCCAGCGACCTTTTCTTACATTATAAAGAACTTAAATTCTTTCATTTGATATTTAATTTCATCCGTTTCATTAAAAAAGAACAGCAGATAATTCTCCAAATCATTTAACTGACACTTCTTGGACATGTAAAACATGAATAGCTAACATTATTCCAGAATGAGATGCGAGCCAAGTACAACGAGCTGTGGCAGCACGTGGTGTTCAAGCCGCCGCCCTGGTCGCTGGACGACGTGCTGCAGTGTCTGCTGAAGCACTGGGTGGCCGTCTTCAACGAGGTGTTCCCCAGGATCGAGCAGCTGCTGGCCGATCTGCGCACCAGCCTGATAAATATCGAGAAGAAAGGTTACTTATACAAGAAACATATATTACTTATTATGGTTTTTGGTGGCATTTTTCTTCTTACTCTGATCAGTGTTCTTGCTTTCGAAATACTATAGTCCTTACAGCGACACCACATTATGATCTATCTATACCTACAGCAACCGTGATCACGGACAGACGAGATGTGAATGAACTTCTGCCCGCGATCACGGTTGCTCAAAAGTAACCGAACCGTCGGGAGAATGTAGTTTTTAAAATAATAACATAATAGTAATCCGCATTATATTACTTTCATTTAAATGAATACTCGCAAACGTTTTAAATCTCATCTTCTATATATATAAAATTGGATTGCTGTTCCTTAGTCTCGCTAAAACTCGAGAACAGCTGAACGAATTTATCTTATCTTAGTCTTGAAATGTTCGTGGAGGTTCAGGGAAGGTATAAAAGCTTAAAAAAATTGATTCATTACTGGGAAAACCATAAAAACAGCCCTTTTCTATTTCCCATACAAACTTTTTTTTTGACATTAGATTTGACAACTAACTAATATGTCAATCATTCTGTTCGATTGAAACAGGAGAAACCTGATTATTAATGGCCTCTACAACGGAATAGAGTTCGCCCGGTCAGCTATACATATATTACTAATGACGAAACTAACGCGGACGAAGTCGCGGGCAAAAACTAGTTATTTATAGAAATCTGTTGATTCGTGTAGCACTATTCTGATTTTTGGTCAGAGTCCCCTACCTCTAACATTTTTTGTTTTTTTATACGGTTTGAGATATCTTTATTAATTTCTCACAAGAATAAAATTCACTTTGGAGAAACTATAGGGTGGCGCAAAAGTAAAGACCCTATTTGGTTCAGCTATAACATTTTTTCTAAATGAGAAAACTAGATTTAGGTTTTTTTAAATGTATATTTGTGCCATTAAATTTCGTACCATTAGGATTTAAAGATGATGTCTTTTAAATGGTGACCTCCAGAGTTGATACACAAAATTGGTTATGAGTGACGAAGCGCATTTCCATCTCTCTGGGCATGTCAATAAGCAGAATACTCGGTTCTGGGGCACTGATAATCCGCGCATTATTCAAGAAACACCTCTACACCCACTAAAAGTTACATCTGGTTTCAACAAGACGGCGCTACGGCACAAACAGCGCGCGACACTATGGACTTAGTGAGGGACGCTTTTCCAGGCCGAGTTATCTCTCGTTTTGGCGATTTGCCTTGGCCCGCAAGATCACCCGATTTGACCAGTCCAGACTTCTTTCTTTGGGGTTTTTTGAAATCTCGGGTGTATGTGAACAAGCCACAGACTCTCGCAGCTCTAAAAGAAAACATTCGTCAAGAAATAACGAACATATCGCAGGAAGTGTTACGGCAAGTTATGCAAAATGTCATAAATAGGGCTCAAATGTGTATCAACTCTGGAGGTCACCATTTAAAAGACATCATCTTTAAATCCTAATGGTACGAAATTTAATGGCACAAATATACATTTAAAAAAACCTAAATCTAGTTTTCTCATTTAGAAAAAATGTTATAGCTGAGCCAAATAGGGTCTTTACTTTTGCGCCACCCAGTATAAGGTACATTAAATTTTTTTTTATATAATTGGCTAGCGTTAACAAAAACAGAGGTTAAAGTTAAAACATTATTCATACTAAACAACAAACATTACAGAGTGAGCGTAACTGGAAGTGTCTCTTTTATTATGAAGATTTTGTTATTATATTATTATTTGTTTTGTTTTAAAATATGGAATTTTAAAAGTCTTTTATATATAGACAAAGATTTAGCATGTTTTATATCTGATGGGAGTTTATTGTAGAACTGAGCACCTAGATACATTGAAGTTCTTTTTTCGTAATTAGTTCGTGGGGCATATAGATTTATGTCATTTGCTCGTCGTAACATTTTTGTTTGGATTTGGTGTTTTTTGTGAAAGTTATTTGGGAGTGGATGTCTTTATTTAGAATTTTTCTTATTAGTAGGCAAGTGTTGTATTGATACGTTTGTGAAGACATCATTCTGCTTTCTGAACCTCTGAGAATGTTCTGAATTTCTGAGGAGTCATTTATAATTTCTTACATCAAATGGTATAATAATCAGTAGACTGACTTCATCAGAGTCGAATGCGCTAGCGGCCAATTGGAAGTTTGCTATTACATTGATTTTAATCCTTGGGGGTAAGGTGGGAAGGTTTTTGATTTTCCCGGGAACGGTAGATCCGTGTGACTACTTTCGTGGCTTTTGAGAAAAACTAATTATGTTTGCATGAAACATAAAAAAAGCTGATATTATTTGCTCAACTTTCAGAAGAGTTCCGTTATAACAGGCCAATGTATATTATCAGTGTATTTGTGTTTCCTGTGTCCATGAGTAGCGGTCTTTGATCTTCATTAAGAGATACTAAAGACAGGGAGTTATGAAAACATTAATTATAAAAATATTGTTCGCCAAGCAAACTTCACTTTAATGACTCGTCAATAAATAAACAATTTTCTACGCTAATTATTATCCTTATTTCAACAATAATTTCCCATCAATTAACAGCATATCTCTATATACATTCCAGAGCCGAGTACCCTGACTCAGTCGGAGGTATCAACGTTCAAGGAGCTGTGTGTGGACGTGACGCGCCGCTGTCAGATCATCCCGGAGTATATGGAACTGGCTAAAAGTACGCTGGCGCAGCTTACAAGGGATGGGGTCGCTCCGGATACTGTCGACGCCTTTGAAGCACTATGGACAGTGCTTTCTAGCTACTGGTACGATATACTACACTTAATACAGTAGAAACTCTATTCTTCTTCTACCTGGCAATTTCCCGGCTATAGCCAGGGTTTGCCTTACATAATGTGAATAGTTTTGGCTATTTGTTTTACGACCGGCCGCCTGCCTGACATCAACCCTCTTTGGGAATCGGCATTAATCAGTGATGTCTAAATAAATACTCTTAGAAGGTACATATGACTCGGAAAAATCACATTGGTACTTGCCCGGGCCAGAATCGAACCCGCGCTTTCGTGCATGAGAGGCGGGCCTTTTAACCACTAGGCCACCATTGACAGAAGAAACTCTATTAACCGGACTAATTGTGGTCGATAGGCATTCGGATAATCGAAAACCCGGATAATCGAATGAATGAATGAAAAAAAGCCGATTTTGTGCTTATGTATTCCATAATATTATATGTTTCTATAAAAAATAATTTACAATATGTATTTGGTAATTTGAAATTGGTAATCATGAATTATAATAATAATAAGTATATAATTTGATTTAAAATATTTGGTAATTATCATTTGACGTACGCCACTCAACAATACCACTCTCTTACGCTTTGACATTTCTTATATAACTGAAGCCCGGATAATCGAGTTTCTACTGTACTCTTATTATAAGAAAACACATCCTGGCTCTTCACACTGAGAATGCCAGCTTATATTTATTCTTCGTACGTAGACATATTGATGATAATCAATTGTGATGATTAGACAATGAAAAATAGTGTAATTCCCATCTGGAGTTTGATGTGGGTAGTTCTTGGTGTAGATAGAGGTGTACTGTGTAGGACCGTGTAGCATTAATAGTTTGTATCCTCATGTTCGTAATGTATATACCAAAACAACTCTTTTATTCTACGTATCCCTAGTCTCGTTCATAAAAATTAATAACTCAATATCTCTTCTCCTGAAGTCTAAAATCTGTTTAAAGCTGATATTATTAAATCTATAAAGATCTTCAACTAGCTGGTCTAATTCAAATTTATATTTTATTAAACAGCTTATTAGTTGTAAAACTAATAATAAAGCATTTTTATTTCCTACTAGCTGAGAAGCTTCAACTATAATTCAATTCTTTGAGAAATGCTACCTTATCTCATTATTTTCCAAGGACCATCTAAATAGACATAAACATGAGTGTTATTAACATATATGAAACTGACTGTATATTAATATATATGAAATTTGTTCCATCAGCGCCAAGTTAGCCTCAGCGCTGGGCGTGTCTCACTGTATCGAGGACTCTGTGGGCGGAGAGGAAGGTCTGCAGCAGCTCGTGGCGAGGGTCGGCTCCGTCAGCTCACACGTACACAACCTGGCAGCCGCACTGGCTGGGTTAGTACACACACACACACGGATATATAACACATAGAAAACTTGCACACATAGGACGCAAATCAGTTGTTTTGACCAAAAAAAATTTGCAAAAATATGCCAACGTTATAGATGAAACTAATATTTTTTGGATTATATATACTAAGCGTATTGTATTATTGTAAAGAATAAAGACTCCCACCGTTTCGGTTACTTTACAGCAACCGTGATCACGAAAACGAGATGTGAATGTGAATAAGTTTTGATTTTAATATAGAATATCTAACACCATTGATCAATAATGTTCATAGTAATTTGTGATATATACCAAATATATCATTCGTCAGACATTTTAGATCATTTCACAAGTCAACCTTACACTTTGTAAACAATATCTAATCTGTTTTAATCGTATGTGTATACTGTGCAGTAGCCTGTATTAAAGGTTCAAAGGTTATCTGTCAATGTTATAAACTCTATTTAATCTGTATTAATGGTATGTATAATCTGTGCAGGGCTCTCGAGGGTGGTGTGAGCGGGGAGGGGGGTGAGGGTGTCAGCAGCCCTTCGTCCCGGTTGCAGCATGCGGTGCTGTCCGCGCTAGCAGAGTGCGGGCTGCGGGCAGCGCTGCAGAGAGATCAGCTGGTCGCCTTCTGTCAGGACTGCAGGTCTGATGAGATACTAATACTGACACCCAGCTTGACTTATACACTTGACTAAAATCTGCTTAACTGTCATATGACTTTGTAATGGTGATTAGGTATATCGTACACCGAAATAGCGGCCGATGGCTTTCGCAGTGGTTTTAGTGAGTAGGGGCCTGCCCAGGCCGAGCCTCACACATCCCTTCCGGCCCCACCAAGGCCGGTTGGACGGCTCGTAAAAAGAGTTTCCCTGCGACATAAAAAAAAATGATTAGGTGTATCGTAAAGCAAGAGTGGTGTTGCATTTGCTTATTTCGATCCAATAATGACTAAATGGTTGTTGACCCTCCTCTTTCTATATTTTATGCGTGGGTTCTGTTGTGATTGTGAATTAGTAGTTAATAAGTATGGATAGTAAATTGGTTATATTGGGGAGTGTATGATATACATCATCATCTCCCTCAAACTGGTATTTTGACTTGAAGATTGATAATGACTGTATCTTGAGAGAACATGATGTACAATAGGATGCTGGTTCATTCACTCGTCCTTAAAAGATTCAGCGTTTCCACAGACGATTGTGCTACTATGGACATTCAATATGGCTTACGCTTGAATATGCCCAAGAAAATTTTAAAAAATCTGATATTGATATAGCTTCATTGACTTTGTACTATTATATTCTATCATTTCTTGCATCATGATAAAATTCAGAATGTAGTTAATGATATGGTTAAAAGAAACTGTCAGAATGGAATTTCTGTTTACAATTATTAGCCTTCGAACTTCTATTCACTGATCCAGTACTCATAAAGCTACTCATGCAGACAAAAACATATTAATATGAACATGCTAAAAAATAACCTCCTTTATATAGAAGCCCTAGTGGGGTGCACTCAGCTCAGAAAGTCTTTCTCTGAAATAACCATAAAGTCAGCTCATTGGGCCATTATCCATTATCTTTCCTCTGCCTAAATTATAAACTTTATGGGCGTTTCAGTCATGATTAATTACATACTGATGAAAATTCGCTGAAAACTATCTGAGCGTATGTTTTTTACCTCCCAACTTGTCACTATCGGGCTTTCAGCCAAAAAAGACTGAAATCATTTATTTAACTGACAAATTTGAACCAACAATTCTTGCCACCTAAAATCGTCGTTTCTGTTTAGAATTCTTTGTTTTTTGATAATGTCCCATTTCCCCTACTTAGGAACGAAATGCTCACGCTGAGTATTGTGTGAGGTTAATGAACTTAATTTCCAATCGTTTTATGTCTTTGTTTGCATAAAAATTTCTTCGTCCTTTAATATCACAAGTTACTCACTAATCGGTGTTTTTTTATTCCAGGAACATGTTGCAAGAGGCTCACGACAAGTTCTCCCAGCTGTCCCAGCTACTGAGCGTCTGTCAGAATAGACTGGCGACTTCTGTCAACGACATGGACTGACCATCTTATTGAAAACCCCGGCTCATCACATTTAGTGGGCCTCTATATTCGTGTAACACACTCGACATCGCGCCTTCCCCACTAACATCATTAATAGAGACTTTTACCTTAGATTAAAATTTACCTATTATTTTTTCATCAATATCCGGAATCCATCTTGAGTCAAGCGACCATCTTTCTGCCTTTTGTCAGCAGTTTACGTACATCTCCGTGTAGGTGGCGCCACTTCCTTTGTACTGAGACGTATATAAAACACCCAACTCGTGGATATTCTTCATTATAGCGTCGTTTTTCGCGCCTTTAACAAGTCAGCAAGTGTAAGTGAAGTTTAACGCGAAAATTAAAAATTAACATCATTAATATATACATATACATAGTATAGTAAACGTCTTATCTCTCGATGTCGTCGCGTTGTCGTGTCGTCCCCGCGCCCCATATCTAGTCGCAATTTGTACAAACAAATTTAATATTAACTTAGAGCAAATTTGTATAAAACGTATTTATCTTCGTATTATTTATGAAGTTCCTTTCATAATGATTTTTTTTCTGTTTTATTATAACTTTATATGTGTGTGTAACGTGAAGTGTGTATGTGTGCGTGTGTGTTTATGTGTGTGTGGTTGATTTAATTCCTCGCTCCTATTGTTTTGTATAAGCTCAAAAAAAACCTTCGTGCTTGTAAATGATTTGTTCGCAAAATTCAATAACAAAGTGTTCATCCTTTTGCTTGTTCCATCAGAAAGATCAAAAATGTTCAATGTTACGTTACAAATATTATATCTGTTTATATTATTAATATTATAAGAAGTTGTTTTTTTTTTTATTTATTATAATTATATTAATGTTTTTTTACAGTAGTATAAGTATCTTCTATAACTGTTATATTAATATTTGTATTTATGTTAAGAGATCATTATAATTCTACTTCAATGCATTTATTATCACTGTTTACCACGAGTTCTCATCGTGACACTACGCACGACGCGTTCCCCGTTTCTCATTCAATAACCTACCTTAGTAATATGAAATATTTGTAAATGGAAGACTGGAAACGTCGAGTATGTAGTGTGATGATGCGAGCTCGTTCTAAGGATAAAAAAAATTACAAAAACAAATTTAGTAACCAAATTAATATAAGCTATATATATCAAGTGTATTATAATGATCTTCTCAGCTGTAAGGAGCTAATCGTATTATGTATTCTTTGTGATGTGAAAGGGACTTCATCGTCTTCCAAGACTGACTACTGTATATTTTGGTACGCCTTAAATAAGTTCTGTAGATACTTCCCGCGGTCACAACATCTCACTCTCAGTACTCTTATTATAATGGTTATCGTTTAACAATTCAAAATTAAGATAAAATAATAATAGTAAGATGTTTTGACCGCATCGTATTGTACATTTTAGTTTTATTTAAACATTAATTTAACTTTCTTTGTATATATCATTATTCCAAGCTGTTCATTAACTTGTAGTTATTAAGGATAATTCCACTTGGTGTATGTAAACTCAGATTTAGTAAAGAAACTAATAAATGTATGTAAGAAATGATTAAATAACAAAAAAAAAATGTTTTTCTCATCCATATAAAAATATTTGAAATGAATGTCTAACTAATGTCTATATATGTCCGGTAGAGGGTGTTAGTTGCTATTTAAAGCATTTATAGGTTCTAAAGATGTATTTAAAGTCAAAACTATTCTGATTCTACAAAAATAATTTAGGAAATTTTGTTTGTAAAGATATTGAATTTCTATTTGATTTGTTATGCGAAGACAAATTTGTTGTGAACCTTGCTTATTGTGATTTTGTTTTCTGATGATTAACTGCTTATCCTGGTGTCACTGAATGAAGAAATACTTTGGAATTGTAATCAGACAACACCCTGTATAACACATTGTTTATCAACATGAACATGTTAATTTCTGTGCGAGCAGTGGAACGATTTACATATAATGTTATATTTGTCAAAGGTGTCGCCCGAGGGCTCAAATAAAACTATTGAAAAATTCTTTTATTTATCATCCTTTTACAAGATTGTATTTTATAAATTGCTTGGTAATATATGTTAGTATGTTTCATTCATAAACATGGACGAATTTATATGAAAAATCTAGTAATTCTTATCTTATTTATATTTTTGTATTTATTAATAAAATTAAATATAACAGCTATATACAGCATTTCCCTGAATTACATGTCTAGTGACTTTTAAAAGTAATTGTTTTCTTTTTATCGATTTCATAATTTTATATAGGTATTATGTTTAATATAACTTAAAAATTATTTCAAATCTAGGCAGTTACTAAACTGCTGTAAAGAGGCATTCACTAGAATGTTATGTGTTATATTTTGGTTGTATTATTCTAAATTAAAAGTTTAACGAACCCTAACGGTAAAAATATTGCAATAAATTGGACATGTTTTAAGTAGTCGGAGATGTTAGTATAAGGACTATTTTGATTAACTAGACACTAGTAAATAAACTAAAACTATCCAAGTTCCTGGTAAGTGTTATAAATTTTCCTTCATGCCTTCGATAGATAGATGAAAAAGTGTTGATTCGAATAAATGCAACAAATTTATTCAAAATTAATTAATTTACTTAAAAAAAACGGTCTTTTTTATTGCTACGGCTTCATTCGCAATGGAATCGTGGAATATTTTGTCAATCTAAAATGTTTATTAAACGATCTTTGTAAACATTAAAGTTTTGTTGTCTGTCAGTTTTTTTAGTGCTAATTAAGCTATAGTTAAAAAAAGATTAGACCATTTATACGAAAACTTCAATAACTCATAGTTACGAAAACGTTAATAACTCATAGAGAGAAGATTAGATGAAAATTTTTATTTATATGCCCTAAAGTTTTCTTCCATTTTTAAAGATTCTACTTTTTTTGATAATTTATTTCATGAAAGATCTTTCCAAATGTGCAAAGCCGTTCTCAAGTTGTCGCGTGATAACGAAATACATATAGAGGTACATATACTATATTTTTAGTTTAACGGCTTGTAATGTCACTGGATGCAGCGACACACTACCTAAAGCGTCGAAATCACTAGGATGTGACCATATCAGCAGCGATAATAATCTATACTAATATTATAAAGCTGAAGAGTTTGTTTGTTTGTTTGTTTGTTTGAAAGCGCTAATCTCCGAAACTACTGGTTCGAATTGAATAATTCTTTTTGTGTTGGATAGTCCAGTTATCGAGGAAGGCTGTAGGCTATATAACATCACGCTACGACCAATAGGAGCAAAGATATAGTAGTAAATGTGTAAAAAACGGGAGAAATTATTTCATCTTTGAAGCATTCCGTTGCGTGCGCCGTGAAAACGGTTCAAGATACACAAAAAATATGTATTAAAGAAAAATAGCTCTTTTAATGATCTAAAAAACAGTCCGCGACAGTATATGTCTATCTTTTAAGATTAAGTCACAAAAACCGTTTTTATGGTACCTAATTTGGTCGAAATAATTTGTTTAAGTTGTATCAACATAATAATATTAATCTTTATTCAAATAAACAAATAAATATGTTGCTGGTTAAGAGTACTTCATTTTGAATAAAAAAAACATAGGTTTTATCCTGAAAATTCTACGGGAACTCGACAATTCCGAAAACCCCGCAAGAAGGGGAACTATGTGGGAAGAACCAAAAATCTGCCCGAAATCACTATTCCACGCAGACGAAGTCGCGGCAAAAGTTAGTTAAATTATAAAAGCTCTTTTACAGTCACAAAAATAACGAAGAGTGACTCAGATATTTATTTAATTTAAGCTGGATAACATTATTTTGTGAAGGAGCAAATACTTTTACATCATAAGACAAACCAAAACAGATAAAAATCACCACAAGGAGATTGCCTGTCAAATGAGAAAACCGTAAAGAAATGTAACAAATTGACCGTTTGGGAGCTGCCATGAAACACACATGTACACACCATGCTTGCGTTTTATGCATGTATATCTACATAGTACATATACACAGATATCGACTTCACACAAATCATAACCTCCCCCTTATGTGTCAGGGCTTAAAAATTCAAACAGTGGGGCGTTCAAATAAGTGTTTTTTATGTTATCTATACTACACAATATATTAAGTATTTTTATAAATAAGTGTTTTTATGTATGTAGTCGGAAATTTTGTCTAGTCTAACACACCACTTTTCTAACGCAGGTTTTTCTACTCCCCATTTCACGATTACTCTCTTTAGCGTCAAAATAGAAACAAAGCCCTGGACTGCCGTTATATGTATTATAGAGACAATCGGTCAAATATAATATAAACTGCTTTTGTTGCTTCTTCAAGTAGGGCATAATATATTACTGTCTACAAATGTTTTTCGGTTTCTATATCTAACTCTGACTCACCTGGAGCTCGGCTGGCCCCTCTGAAGTTTATTACAGCCAAGTTTTTGAATAATCGACTATTTGATAACACCGTATCGAAATCAGTTACTATAAGACGCGAGAGGATATTTATTCTTAATAATATGTAAGCATGAAGATTTCTATTATAGAACATCCTCACAAATACCGTTATCTAGTTTCAACATGTCAGCCGCTTTTTCAGCGATCATGAGGACCGGGGCGTACGTGTTGCCGCTCGTTATGGAAGGCATGATGCTCGCGTCCACTACCCTCAATCCTTCGACTCCTCTTACTCTAAGTCTCTCATCCACCACTCCACCTGGTCCCATTCTACACGTTCCAACAGGATGGTACTGGGTTGTCACCAGATTATAAATGTAGCATTCCCAGTATTCCAAACTACCGAATACTTTATCTTTACATTTATCAATATTTAAGTCGACGATTTCAGAGTTAAGCTTTTGGCAAGACGTGGTATTAATCAAGCTCGTAAAATGTTGTAGGCTTTGAGAGAATTTCTTTAAGTCGGTACTCTCAGACAAATATTTGGGAAAAATTAATGGCTGTTGTTCGGGGTCATTGCTCTTCAACTTGATGTATCCTCTAGATTCGGGGTGAAGGTAGGAAATTAATGCAAATAACATGTCTCGACTCGCCGCGGCAGCTAAGGCCGTGCATATTTCTTTATTCCACTGAAATATACTATAACAGACTAGAGATGGCAGCATGGTTCCAACAGGGAGCGGCATTGAGGTGACTTGGTAGTCTGGAAAAGTTTGGTTCTTGTCTAGAGCTACGTGGCCCATAATATTTGGGACCGGAAATGTTCCTAGTTTACTTAAAACGTTGAAATTATCTGTTATAGAAGATTCTTCATTATCAAAAGACAGCACCACTGGTACTAACATGTGATCTTGTAGGTTGGACCCAACGTGAGGACTATTTACAACTACATTTATTCCCATTTCCTCTAAATAGTCTTTTGGTCCTACACCTGATAACATCAGTATCTGTGGACTTTTAATAGCACCGGCTGATAGGATAACTTCCTTGTTTGCTGTCACCGTCTTAATAACGCCTCCTGAATCCCTAATTTCTACTCCAGTGACTCTTCTATCCTCATCAAAAGTTAATTTTCTTGCAAGAGTTTCTTTGAGTATTTTTATATTAGGACGGTTCAGTATGGGCTTTAAATAAGCAGCAGCGGCACTCTGACGTCGCGATTTGTCGATGGTGAAAGTGGGTGCCGAATATCCGAGTTGTTGCTGGCCGTTTGTGTCCAACAAAATGTCGTGACCATTTTCTCTGAAAGCTTCAAAGTATCTTTTGGTCTGTTTGTCCCATATCGATCGCGTCACTCCTATGTTTCCATTGACACCGTGGAGTTCACTGGATTCGCTTTTTAATATCTCATCGTCATTTAGTCTTTCACTCTTTTTAAAATACTTTAAGACATTCTTCCAATCCCAGCCTTCATTACCTTGTGCCGCCCAGTCGTCGTAGTCAGCGGGATTGCCTCTGACGTAATACATATAATTCACGCTGCTGGAACCACCTAAAACTTTTCCTTGGATCATGTGAATACTTCGTAGTCTCGTGTCATCATCGGTGTCATCCTTTGTATAGTAATTCCAATCTGGAAACGAAGCTCCTAGTAGTATTCCGAGACCAGGAACCTATAAAATTGTAAGTTTTTTACTTGACATTCAATTAAATTAATTAAAAATTGTTATGAATGAAAATCTTAAATAATCAATTATTACATTCGTACTACACAAACATACAATTAAATGAATAGAAAATATTATCGGAAGCATTACATATTACAATTGAATAATAGTTTTATTTTGTTATAAACCGTAAATACTTGTAAAACCATATTGTTACATATATCCTTTACCGTGTTTTGGATTTAAAAATATCTCCAAACATACAAAAAATTGTTTATCAAATCTACTCAGACATTGGAACGAAATTGGGTTTTTGAATAATTTTTTTTTTGTGATAAATGGAAAGATCATATATAAGTTTTATAACAAAACTATTTTTATTTATTTTTTCTTTGCAATAATTAAAAAGTTATTTCAAAATAAAAATTAAATTTTAAATTCAGTACCGAAGATCCGCCGACAGCTCCCGAATAAATCCGAGCGCGTGTGACGTCACAATGTTAGTTTTTGCTCATTGCAGCATACAGAGATATAATAATTAGTACAGTGTTTTGAGTTTTTATCTAGTAAATTCTGTTGGCATTGTTAAATAATCAAAAATGTTAAAACTCAAAAGTTATCGCTTTTGTTTTGTACCATTATGTACAAATACTACAAAAACAACTCCTGAAATAATGTTTTTAAATGTTCCACAAGACGAAAAACGTCGAAAAAAATGGTTTCAAGCAGTGCTCCGAGATTATTCAAAAACAAAATCAATTTTTTTTGTTGTGAAAATCATTTCGATGTAAGTATAATAATAATATAATCATAATAATATTGTTATTAATTATTTTATATCTAAGAGTATAAATCGAATAAGTATAGTTCAGTAATTAATTTTTTTACCTGGGCTCCAAATCATAACCTTTAGAATCGTAGCATTAAAAATTTTTTAATTGATAATTCAAAGCTATTAAATAGTAAATCTATATGTATGTTTGTCTAATAATTGGAATTCAATTAATAGATATTTTCATAATTTTATAACATTCTAGGTTCTGTACCAGACTACATTTAAATTTTTAAAGTATATGTTATTTTGGTTTTTTATAATGTTATAATAACATTTTATTAATTCTTCTTTTATTATTCTTCTTCTTAATTTTTCATTGATAGAGTAACTGAGTAAGCTTTACTCCGAACTCGGTGTTCTGGACACACACGTCCTTTTAAAACACAAATACCATTCTTACGATTAAGTTGACCATAACCTATAGCTTTATCACCGTAACTCTCACGTGATGCTCTACAATGAATGAAATAATTATTAATTATATTTAATAGAAAATAAATACTTATTTTCATTTAGAATGGTGTTTTTAACAGATTTACCTTGATGCCTTAGCACCTCGAACTTCAGCAGAATTAAACCGGACGTCATTTTTAAAAAAATTAGTTATAAATATATCAACATCAGGAATATTATCCGATTTTGCTTTTATAAATCCTTTATCACACATAGTTAGTCGAAATAAACTTTTCAAATCGTTTTTCACTAATAAATTTGAGATATTTTTATCAAGTCAAAAATAATAGCCATAGACACTGTACTATTATGAAATTGCTTTAACATTATGACGTCACAAGTATGCTGACCAATCATGGCGCGTTTACAGTCACGTGATTTGTTTTTGAATTTTATAAATTTTTAATTGTTTATAATTAATTTAAAAAATATGTTTTTAAGTTTTTTGCATTAAAAATCAATATAATTAATAATAAAGTTTTAAAATACATAAAAAAAATCAATACTTTTTTTTTTCAAAATCCCAATTCATAAATAATTTTAAAAGATAAGTTTATTTTGATGACAACTAAAGTTAGACAAATGCAATTTATACTTTTTAATTCTTTAGCTACTTGAGTTGTATATAACTAGGATTATAAATCCTTTGTAAGATCATCACTAACATAATATAGATTATTGTTGAGGTTACCGTAGAATTAGAATAGAGTTCTGTTCAGATTAAACTTTGCAAAAGGAAAAAGAATTCAATATGAATATAGTTAAATCTATTAACTAACTTCAGACACGTAGGGCGGATCGTTCCCAGCTTCTATCAGCAACACGGACCAGTTCTTGACTTCAGTTAGCCTGTTGGCCAACACGCAGCCCGCGGAGCCAGCGCCGACAATGATGAAATCAAATGCTTGGCCGTCTGTGGATAATATTAAAAAATAATACAGTCAAGCTGTAGGAGTGTTTACAAGCTGTAACGGTTTTCTGGTTCAACTTTTCTATAAATTGGTATAGTTTGAGCAATGGCTGATATGTTTAGTGGACTCATGATACAACTTAAAGAGATATAAAAGTGTTCAAGCTATCGTTTTGTATAATGTCTAATTATTATAATAATTTTTAGACAACCTACATATAAATAAAATTAAATAAAATCTTTATAATCGCTTTTTAACCGTTATATAACAGTTTCCTACATGCATACATACGGTGCATACACCACAACAACATTTTTTACAATTTTTGTCTGTCTGTTCGTCCTTACTGGCTTATCTCTGAAATGGGGGATCCATTTTGATTGGACTTTTATTGTTAAGTAGCTGATTTAATAAGGAGCAACTTAAGCTTCTTTTAATTCCGAACCGTTAATTACTAACCCGTTAAGAATTAAAAGTTCACGTGAACTAACGAACTTTTTTCATTGTTTTTAAAAGAATAAAATCTAGTTTTTTATTAAAAATATTATACTAAACAGTGTATAATAAATGATATACTTTATATTAATCCGTACGTACCAGTAACGTTTGTGTGCAAGGTATTATAAGAATTGCTTATTAATAAAGAGCTTATCGTCACCACAGCCACTTGAAGGACCTGCACCAAGGGGAAGATGAAGTTTATCTGGAGGAGCACCTACACGTCCCACATCCTGAAACAAACAAATAACTTAGGAAAGAAAACTTTACATTACTAATATTTATGTTCCAAAGTTTTCAGTTTCAAGTGCTGTTTATTAAGTGCTTAACATGCACGAAATATTTTCAGTGTAAGAGATTCCCAAAGAGGATTGATGTCAGACAGGCGGCCGGTCGTAAAAACAATTAGCCAAAACTATTCACAACATGTAAGGCAGACCCTTGCTAAAGCTGGGATATTGCCAGGAAGTAGAAGATATTCAGTATAAGAGATTGATCTTCAAATGTAATTAAGTAACGAGTTTCGTGTTTTAGTGGCATTTTTATTTATAAGTATTGAGACCAAAGATCATGCACCAGAGTTGTAAAGAGGATGGAACTCGATAAGACTTTTATGGAAACATCATTATATGAAAAATGACAAATTTTAAAGTCACTAAAGATGCAAACAAACATATTATTTTCATTTCACTAAGTGAACACTTACATTAATAAAAACAATATAATTTATAGTATATTCGATTTAAGTTCATAATTTTTAATAACAGTTCTTATTGTTTTAGTTTGAAGAGTTCACGCACTCTTTTTGATTAAAAAGAAACGTAATTTTAACTGAAATACAGTGTGCATGTCTGTTATAAGTTGCGTGGACTATAAGTAAAAATAATACCATTAAAACAAATAGGCAGTGACATTTTTGGTCATCATACACAATATATCTATTAATCCTAAATCCAGCGGGAAATTATGTAAATTAAACTCCTGTAAAATTGCACCCAAAATCCGTTTAATAGTTGCATAAACGAGCCATTCATCACCAAAAACTTTCACATTTATAATATTAGTGAATATGTACATATATATTTATATTTTATGCCAAAAACTTACTGAATTTACAAACAGTAATTTCTAATACGTACATATCGTATTAAATTGTTATATTATGTATTATGTAATTATTATAAATATATTATAATGTGACGCAATTTATATATATCATTTTATTATACATACACGCTTAATGTATGAAATATTATAATATTCTCAGATTGACTGAGTAGGTACTATTAAACTTGCCATTTGAAGAATGGAATGAACATACGTATCTTTTAATGCTCTGATTGACTATAAGAGAATATTTTTTCAGGAAAATAATGATATAAATATGTAAATTTAAAAATAATACATTCTTATAAATCATAAAAAATATATGTTACAGATTTACTACGCGTTTATAAGGAGATGAGCTTGGACCGTGGAGATGAGCGTTTAACGCGCGTTAGATAGGGCCCTTAAACCTACACCTGGGTCGTAAGTCCCAGTCACTGTTGAAGCTCCTCTCACTACAACGATGGACCCGACACACGCATGGTGAATCAATCGAATGCTAAGAGGTTACGTCTCATTTTAAACTACATTCTCCCGACGTTTCTGTTACTTTGCATCAACCGTGATCACGGCAGACGAGATTTCACATCACGTCGGGAGTACGTTGTTAAAAATAATTATGAACACGTAATAAATACGAAAAATATTCGTTTTAATTCAATGAATACTCTTGAAAATCTTATATCTCATTATCTTAAATTATAATATTTTAGAAGTCATAGCTTAACCAATCAACTCCATACTTGATTCCGAAGTTCCGAAACAAGAAAATATTTTATTATATGTTACTTTGGATTAATGTTTAAAAAATTACATTTGGTTTAGTTCATTTGAAGTTTTCGTGTTAACTTTAAAGTATATTTTAACGAGAGGTCAAATATGTCGTTAAAATATAATCAGAAAAAAATTTGGGAATTACTAGTTTATGGTTCATTGAGAAGGAAAAAAATTAAAAAGTAGTAGTAGTACAATTTGGTGCGTAGGATTGCATAAAAATTACGAATATACAAAATAATGAAAGTGTAGGTAAGTGAAAGTAATTTCAGATCAAGTATTACTTTATATAATTCATGTAAGCTAGTTGTGATTACTGGAGAACTAAAGGTTCTTTAACATACACAAAAATACTTTGACATCGAATCAAACTGCATACTTATTATGCAGTGTCTTTTGCGAGAGTTGACCCATCATGAAGTGGCCAGTCTCTTTAAAGAACTAGGTTTTTGAGATCAGTCTCTACTTCTGTAGATCAGTGACAGTAGCCAGTAGTCTTCGTGTATAGTATAGAGGTTGGTTTATGAAAGAAAAACGGGGAAGTCTCCGTATGTAGCTAGATGGATCACGCACACATAGGTTAGGTTAGGTAAGCTACTAGCAATGTATGTTACACATTTGCTAGTGAAGATCACTTTCAGAAATCTCCTCCTCACCACTTTAGAGATTTGTCAGTGACTGAATCTGAAGGGATGGGATGTTGTGAGATTTCGGCGAGGAGTTATCGTCCATGAAGAAGGATTTAAAAGCAACACAACTTCGCCGCCATTAAAGAACAAGATATATGTATATATATGAGGTCAGCTTTAAGAATAGCCGCAAAAAAATCAAAATTCCCCACACTCTTAAATTTACATAAATATGTAGGAATTACTTGAAAAATATACAGAATTAAGTATATGTTTTGTTTTTGTTTCGCTATTAACTAAATTACTTGAAACCTCCAAAAAACCACCGATGTTTTATTATGTTAATAAAATTTGTTGAAATTTATTATTAAACTTAATTTATCATTTATAGTCGGATCACTGTTTTTCTTTAGTATGAAACCACTTTAACAATTGAGTTTTTGCTTGTTATTTCCAAAAAGATAAGTAAAAGTGTTTTTTTTATATAATGAAATAAGTCGAGAGAAATTTTAAAATGGTGACATAAAACAGTCACAGTCTTTAAATTAAACACGAATATTAAATTAAATCCGGTCTCAAGAATATATATCACATCAAATATTAATTTCTTACATTTAACATACTAAATTAATGAGATCTAAGATTTTCGCGAATATTCATTTAAATGGAACTAATATTTTTCGGATTTACTTAGCGATTTTTTTTATTTTAAACTACATACCCCCGACTTTTCGGTTACTTTACAGCAACCGTAATCATAAAGACAAGATTTTTATACTAAATTATTATTAATAATGAATATATTTTAACCTACCTAAAAAACTGTTGTTGAAGTGTTGAAGTTGTTTATATAAAAACAATAATGTCTGTTTTTTGTTGAAGATAGTTTTTAAATCTGTCTTTCCTATTTGAATGTGGCTGACACACTGTGTGTTGATGACTTGTGAATATGTAATATACTTGTTCAGAAGACTCCGACGGTACACTGATACGAAGAAATATTTTTTGCTTAAATTTTATTTAATAAATATTGTGAGATGCGATTTTGAGCTCTCTGCACACTATTGTACAGATACATTTTCTATATAAACTTAGTTATAATCACTGAAGTGATACGAAAGTGTTAAGAATCCATACTAATAAAATCATCATCATCATCAGCCTGATAGACTAAAAGAACTATCACATAGAGAAGAAAAATTAAAATAACTAATAATTTTTATATATTTTTGACTTAAATAATTTAGTTTTTATTTTAATAGGTTTTTTTTTGGTAATTTAAATAATGACGCCCGCCAGTTTGATACGACCGCGTCAGTACGATGAAGGTCATCGTCTTAGGTCTCAATAAAAACTAAGAAAATGATTTAATTAATAATATTAAGATATGTAAATAGATAATAAGCGAAACAAAAAATAGCATTTTACATATATTTCGTTATGTAATAAATTGTTTATTTTATTAATATTTAACACTAATATTTGTAAAGCTTTCTGATTTTAAATTTTAAAAATACGGTAGACAAAATAATAATTCATTGGTGTCAAATTTTTTTTCTCGGATTGATTGATGCTGTTAGCCCTAATGGTTTTGACAGCGTCACCGAGAGGGGTGGGTGGATCAGGACCCGAGCAGGGATGCGCCCGTCCCAAGGGTGCCTCTAAGGCCTCGGCCTCGAATCTCGCGGGTAGCGGGGCGGCAGCGGCGGCGGCACGGAAACGCATACTATTCTCCAAACTAGAGGGGAGGGGGCACGGAGAAATGTATGCGTTTTCGTGCCGGGGCCGCTGCCGCCCCGCTACCCGCGAGATTCGAGGCCGAGGCCTAAAAGGCCGGACCTCGGCTTAGGACGTCGGTGTAATGGAGGGATTGGTCGGATGATGATGAAAGTAACAATGACTCAATTAAAAATAATACCTAATTATAGGACACAAAATATAAAAATGTAGGTACATGTTATATAATAAAGACGTAATTAAAAAATAACTAGCATTCCATCCCGGCTTCACATGGGAGTATATCAGATTTTTATTATATTTTTACATTTTATTTATTTCAGTTTACTATTTTCATACATGTTTTAATTATACCACACGTCTCTTTGACCAATAAATCTAGTCTATATTAGACATGAGACTAATAGTAGAAGCAGTTTTTGTGTTTATTCTTTACAAATATACACACAAATAAATTCAAAGTTTTTCTATACATAAGTATAAATTAGTAGATTGTAATCGAGAATGTATAATCTTTTAAAATACTCCTCTCAAAAGGTACATACAGGTTAAGTAAAAAAAAACGACCAACCAAATTCATTAGAAATTTTGCAAAAAAGCTCTTTAAATAAAGAGACTGTATGTAAAGATTTAGTTAATATTTCAAAATAAAATTATATTTTTTTACAAATGGTTCATATGTAATACCTTTAATACAAATTTAATATATTTGGTATTCTATTTGAAAACAATTGTCAATGTACAATCAATAAGTTTAATAACTCACATACACTTCATTAGTTGCAAGTTGCAGTATCTTTTTACATTAACTTCGTAAACGTCAACTACCCTCTAGTTCTGTAACACATTTGATAAACTTGGGGCTTAGGTACACTTGTGTATACGAAAAAACATCCTATAATATTATTATAATGATAGAAATTCTAAATATTTCAAAATATTATAAAAATAATGACGAAATTATTATTTTTTTTTAAATTATTAAATTCAGGTTTCAAAATCAGCCAACTATATCTTGACTGTAGTATTAAATTTAAGTGATACTGTTTTGTACAATTCTTTTATGTAAATATTTTCTGTCAGTCGTATTTATATATTTTTCATTTAATTTGTTAACCATTACAATAAACTATATCTATAATTTTTATGTGTAATTGTGACTTCTGGAACGTTTCATCCTTATAGGCCTTGTTTTGTACGATCGCCACAAGTTTTCGTCTCATTCAATAGCTTTTACGTTATAAATATAATATGTGAAGCTTAGTGTTACGACGCGAATTGGGGTGTAAGAATGCAATTGCATGAAAAATGTCTTAAACAATCATTTAACAGAAATTTGATTCTTACTTAATACCTAAAAATCAAAATGAATAACACCCATTTTTCTATTATATTTATAATCACGCGACTGGAAAGTCCTAAACTTATTATTCGACTTCTTTATACAGAAGAAATACAGATAAATCAAAGAAGCAATTGACACAAAGGACAGTTTATCTCTCAAAAAAGATGTCTACCAGAAACTTTTATATAGGAATATTTTTCTATTAAACGAGCTCGACTGACTTAAGGATCCATTTATGATCAATTACGTTGTAATTCCTTGTCTCAACATTTTAATCTTCAATAAATTAAAAAATGTTTCCTAGAATTCGTTGCAAATCTGGAAATTAAATGTTATTTGCAAACTGTTTCATCACAAGCATAAAAATATTTAAGGTCATAGACATCATATCATAGGATCAGGTCATAGGAATATAGAAGTCTACATAGCTCTGTATGCAGGATTTAGGCATAGATTAGAAAAATGGCAGCAGTCTTGTTGCTATATTTTAGTTGGGCCACAATAGAGACCCATGGTGCAAAATTTGAGATAGAAAAAGCATATGTAAATCAGGGAGTCGTGCCTATTGCAGGACAATGTCGTTTCAAGTAAAATTGTTTTCTAAATCATCCTTAGTAATAAGAAAGTAATAAATTAGAAAGCAGTTTATGCGATGAGTCTAGCAGATTGTTAGTGTTTATTAATTCTTTGTCAAAATATGAATATATAATGGCAAGAATGTTAAAGCTACATAATATGTACTAAGCACTATTCTGTAATTTAATTTATAATGTATAAATTATATTTTTATTAAAATAAATCGTAAATTATATAGTCGTTTATTTCATGTCATGTACAGTGAGCGTCTGTAAATCTCTTTCTCGACGAAAAATATTTTTTAAAATAGTCAGATTAATGCAATCAACTTCCTTTTTATAATCTTAAACCAGGTCTCAGCACGAGTAGGCTTTAATTTAGACGAATATTAAGAAAAAGACTGACTTCCGAGGAACATGGTACATAAGTCACTTGGTTATAGCATTGTTAGACACCAGTATGGGCCCTGAACTCAACCCCTTCCCGGGTGCAGTAGATTTTTGATATTTCTCATTAAATTTCTATACATTAATGTGTGGTTGGATTTTACTTTGGCTGTAATAATTAAATCCCAAAAGACACAAATTCTGTTGTTGTTCTAAAATCTACATTAAGGTTTAATAAATAGTCATAGACTAATAGGTAACTGCAAGACTTTTGTTGCAGGAACCAGAACAAGACTTTGAGCGCAATAACAATACGCAAGCATTTGCTGGGATTTAGGGAACTCCTGGATAGCTTTCAATTCCCGCGTCGTCACGATAGGGTTTTAAAAAACTATACATGAAGCAGTTAATCTTTCTTTATTTTGTCTCCTTGTAGCTTACGGACTCTTGGGAAACCAACATCCCCAAAGACCATGTCACCACGGTCAATTAGTATTACAAACTCATTAAGAATAAGGTTTGTCGTAAATTTGTACGCGGTAGAAGCGAAAGATATAACAGCTAAATCTCTCTGCAACTTCTTAAATACTTGGGCCTGTTCAGAACTAACGGTAATTCATTCTTAGAGCATACTTCGAAGGCAGCCCTAGTAGCCCTAATAGGTTCGTTTCAAATTTGGTTAGATAGAGAGGGGGCTTGGACGGTGGAAGTAGGCGTTAGATAGGAGCCCCTTAAACCTATACCTGGGTCACAAGTCACAGGAACTGTTGAAGCTCCTCCAGAGCCGGCACTCGCACGGTGAATCTATAGAATGATTTGAGGTTTCTTCTTTCTAAATTTAAGCTATTGATTGATATGCAGTAAATGCTTCGCATTGTGACGATGTAAACTTTTGCTAAGTATACTGTTTCACTAAAAACTTTTTTAATTTTTTATTCATCATTACACAAGAGTATAAGTGGACCCCGGGTTTTCCCGCCCTGAGCCGGACGAGCGACCAGGATGGGCGCTTAGATAATGATGCTTACACAGGAGTATCAACGTAGATAATTGTTTGTTTAGTTTAGCGATTGGCGAGAATACGCAGTTACATAAAGTAAAAACTAAAACAGCAATAAAAAAAAAACACTTAAATCCGAAGTGAAATAGTTTTTTAAACATGTTATTGAATTAACCTTTCATTAAATTTGCATTTTATTGTATTCTTTACTATTCCTTCCACGATATAACACCTTTTTTTATAAGAATAATCATAATATTTTAAACCTAACCTTCCTAATATTTTAAATTAATAAAAACTTATATAAGATAGCTGATAGTCATGGGAAAAAATAATTTGTCTGACTTCATAATGAAATTTAAATGGCGCCAAAATTTTGTTTCCGTTAATAACATAATTGGCGAAAAAAAATCAACTACACTAAGATAGATTTGCTTGAAAACGTTTTATTATAAAAGTAATATAGGTAATTATTAGTTTGACTCATTGCTCTTTCCAGTCTGACTCTTTGTGATTGAAAATTTATTAAATACTGGCTTTTGCCGCGACTTCGTCCGCGTGGAATAGTGACTTCCGGCAGATTTTTGGTTTTTCCCACATAGTTCCCGTTCTTGCGGGGTTTTCGGAATGGTCGAGTTCCCGTGGAATTTTCAGGATAAAACCTATGTTTTTTTTTATTCACAATGAAGTACTCTTAACTAACAACATATTTATTTGTTTATTTGAATAAAGATTAATAGTCTAAGATCCCGATATAAGGCGACCTTCACCGAGATGTTTATTTGATGAAACATATTTTATATTCAATTTAATATGTCAATAACTATATTACATATGGGTTGCCTCATAAATTTTAGTCCAGGATATGATTAATTAACAATTAAAAATAGATTTTTTTTTCAAATATTTCACCGGTTTGCTTATTAGATAAATTCCATACCAATCGAAAGTACGGAGCCCATAGAATATGAAAACGTTAGGTTGCCTATTCTTTTCCAGTCACAACTCTCGGGTTGCCAGGGATAAACAGGTACATCGATAGTAGCATTTTGCACCGGTCTGATAATTTAATCAAATTTAAATGAAAATAAAGATTATTTAATTATGAACACAGTGAAATAGGGTTGCCTGCGAAAAATCGGTCCTAAATTAGGGTTGTCGAATTTTAAAAAGTAAAATATTGCCGCGAGTGAATATGTACGACTGAGAGGTCCCAAGCATTTTTATGAAAAATTACTCTGCTAAAGAAGACAATGAGCAGTTTCAAAAAAAAAAAATCAAAGGCTTTGACTCTAACTCCATACCTCCTTGCTGGATATCATTAACGCAAAAAATTTACGAACTATTTTCGTAAATTCAATGTGGCTGAATGCAACAGATCCAATATGCATCAAACTTGAACCTGAGAGCTGCGGTTGGTACTTAGATGAATATTTAAAACCACGAGGATTCATTGGGGATCATACACCTTTAAGAATAGATGATATTGTCGAAAGAACCGAAACAGAGAGTGATGAAGAAGAAGGTGCAGATGTCGAAGATCTCAGTTTCATGTCCGATGACTCAGAAGCTGAATAATTTAAAAATATTTATGTATTTATAATTTTTTATAATAAACAGATATTCATTTTTAATTGTTTTTCATTTTTTTTTCGAATAAAAAAAATTACTCTAAATTAGTATTACATATGTATTGTTATAACCTTCTCGTTTACTATATATATATACTTTAATGTCACATTAAATATATACACATAAATAATTAACTAAATTAATATTAAAGAACTATTCTTCTATGCTCTGTCCTCTTCTAACGCACGGAACAGTTGCTTGGGACCTCTCAGTCGTACATATTCACTCGCGGCAATATTTTACTTTTTAAAATTCGACAACCCTAATTTAGGACCGATTTTTCGCAGGCAACCCTATTTCACTGTGTTCATAATTAAATAATCTTTATTTTTATTTAAATTTGATTAAATTATCAGACCGGTGCAAAATGCTACTATCGATGTACCTGTTTATCCCTGGCAACCCGAGAGTTGTGACTGGAAAAGAATAGGCAACCTAACGTTTTCATATTCTATGGGCTCCGTACTTTCGATTGGTGTGGAATTTATCTAATAAACAAACCGGTGAAATATTTGAAAATAAATCTATTTTTAATTGTTAATTAATCATATCCTGGACTAAAATTTATGAGGCAACCCATATGTAATATAGTTATTGACATATTAAATTGAATATAAAATATGTTTCATCAAATAAACATCTCGGTGAAGGTCGCTTATATCGGGATCCTCTACTATAATATAATTATGTTGATACAACTTAAACAAATTATTTCGTCCAAATTAGGTATCATAAAAACGGTTTTTGTGAGTTAATCTTAAAAGATAGACATTAGTTTTTTAGAAGTTTTTTAGATCATTAAAAGAGCTATTATTCTTTAATACATATTTTTTGTGTATCTTGAACCGTTTTCACGGCGCACGCAACGGAAGGCTTCAAAGATGATATAATTTCTCCCGTTTTTTACACATTTACCACTAATCTTTGCTCCTATTGGTCGTAGCGTGATGTTATATAGCCCACAGCCTTCCTCGATAACTGGACTACCCAACACAAAAAGAATTATTCAATTCGAACCAGTAGTTTCGGAGATTAGCGCTTTCAAACAAACAAACAAACTCTTCAGCTTTATAATACATATTAGTATAGGTAGATTGGGAACGTTATTTACATGTACGTATTTTAGCGTATCGACGTCTTTGTCTATAATCTTTATATATTAGAGAAAGTTGTGTTACTTACACTATTTATAACTCAAAAAGGTTGTATGGGTTTGGCTGAAAATTGGTGGAGTGTTAGCTTAGAACAAGGAAAAGGACATAGAATAATTTTCATGCGATTGAAAATGAAAAAAATAATAAGTTGATCTAATCAAATATCTACTTTAACTTCCTCAATAAAGATTTTGAGGAATAGAGTTCGCCAGGTCAGCTATACATTTCTAATTCTGAAACTAACGCAGACGAAGTCGCGGCCAAAAACTATTATTTTTATACTTACAGACCGTGTTACATGCTTATTAACGCCTTCAGAGAATAGTGCTGGGTTACTTACATCACAGAACGATTTTTAATACATAATTGCTTCTCAATAGTGACGTCTCGCATTTATAGCTGTTTCTGTGATATATCTTCTTCTTCTACCTGGCAATTTCCCGGCTACAGCCAGGGTCTGCCTTAATATGTTGTGAATAGTTTTGGCTAACTGTTTCTGTGATATATAATTGTTTTTAATTCAGACGACCAGACCGGCGTTACATTTTATTCTTTCATAAGTAAACCTTAATAAATTTTACCGTTTGGAAAATCAATAAATAATTAGAAAACCAATATTATTCTAAATTCATTTAACTAATGAGTATATCAGTAGGTCAATGTCCTTTGGTAATAAAAAAAACAACAGTTTGAGCCTACATAGTTATTTATTGAATAAATTACAAAAAAAAATCGCATGCAGGCAATATAGTCGCGTAGTTATTTCAAACAAACGTTATAGATCCTAAAACAAATCGTATAAAATAATTTCACCGCCAAGCCAACAGTGAAGCCAACTTTGGAATGGTACGAGCCTGGGCCGCGGACCGCTGCCGGACACTATCCAGCTACATTGTAACGCTTAAAACTAAAACATCCAAGAAGGCCCGGCGTTGAAGGTCCGTGAGGTCCGTGCGGGTCCGACGGGTCCAGCGGGTCCGGCGGGCCTGCTAGTGTATGGCGATGAGGCCCGACTCCAGCAGCTTCTGTATCTTGGCGGCCACGTCCGGGTTCTTGAGGTGGTCCTGCAGCGCCTGCGGGTCGTGCTGCATCTGTTCCAGGATGCAGCGCATGGCGGGGTCGCGCAGGATCTGCTGCACCTCGGGGTCCGCCATGGCCCGCTTGCGGACCTACAATACGAGTATGTTACTAAACTAGCTGTTACACGTTGCTTTGTCCGCGTCAGATAGAGATAGTGTGTTAAAACGATAATTATATTGACCAGTCGTCAATGACACTTATACTGTGTCATATAACTTCATACATAATACTAGAGTTATATCGTGGATGTACTATAAGCAATTCTGGTATAATTTTAGCCCTCATTTTCTTACTGAGTTACATCAAAATCCATTCAGCAGATTTTAATACACATATTCAAACAACCCGCCTTTGCACTTTATTGAAAACAAACAAATACTGGAGATGAATCTTATGTCAGCTAACTATTCTGTCAACACCCTTAGTACTAAAAGTTGGTTTTCTTGGTGTATTGAAATGCTATTCTATAAGTTTTCTATTAATCTTGCTGAGTGTCTACGAACCTCTTCTGGGTTGGAGTGTAACTGTGTGGAGCAGGCTCGGTAACCTTCCAGGGCCTCTGCATTGCTAGGGTCAAGTTCTAGAGCCTTCTGGTAGGCTGTTAGGGCTTTGGACGCTTGCTGCATACCCTGGGAACAAAGAAATACATTAACAAATTACTATAACTCAGGTTCAATGATAAGATTGTGGCCAAGTTCAATCCAAATTCTTCCACTCGGTCTTAATAATATAATAATGAGATCTAAGGTTTTCGCGAGAATTCATTTAAATAAAAGTAATATCTTTCGGATATACTACGCGACTTTAGTTTTGATAAAAAAAACTACATACTCCCAATGTTTCAACTACTTTTGAGGAACCGTGATCACGGGCAGACGATGAGTAGTTCCATTTAAATCACGGTAATATTTATATAAATTCTAAATCATTATTTACATTCAATACAGTAATTTTCTTTGTAAGCATACAAGCTCTTATTCAGAGACAACACTAAATTAGATTCTAATGTATAAAGAAAGTTTTTCAAAGGAAAAGGCATAACCGGATAAATATGGGAAATCTACCCCCATATGTAGCTTTTTTGACTCACACTTAGGGGATTGATTTGGTATTGAATAAAAATAATTCCCACCAATTTTTAGCCCTTTAACTTGAACGACGTTCGAGATTTTCAAAAAAACCTGTTTCTTGGATTTTATTTTATTTTTATACTGAAATTCGGAGTTAATCGATGGTGATTTTTTTTCTTATTCTTAGGAGTCTAAAACATGTAAAAATCATATTATCATAGTTTTTTAACGAGAAGCCGATTTTTAACAAAGGACAGAAAATTACAATCTTTTTTTAGCATTTTTGAAATATGTCAATCACCAAAACTCGTCAAAACATGTCTTTTATACCCATCTAGATTCAGGAATTTTTTCACATTTTTTGAAGTGGTGGAACAATGTCAAAAAAATTAAACTCATTTTTTTTTTCTTAAATCCTGCGTTTTAACACTTTTTTCTTTGTTTCAAAAAATACGTAGAAATTATTAAGTGTATCTAGTATTAATTAATCTAGTATTTTTTCAAGTAAAAAAATTAAATTAAAAGTGCGTTAAAAAGACGAATCTCAGAAAAAAAAACAATTTTTATATTTTTTGACATTGTTCCACCACTTCAAAAAATCTGAAAAATTCCAGAGTGTCGAAGGGTGTAAAATACAAGTTCTGACAAATTTTGGTGATTGACATATTTCAAAAACCCTAAAAAAAACAAGATTTTAATTTTCTTTCCTTTGTTAAAAAAACATTTAGTTGAAAAACCATGATCATACGATTTTTTTATGTTTTAGACCCCTAAGAATAAGAAAAAAATTCACCATCGATTTAATCCGAAGTTCAGTATAAAAATAAAATAAAAAACAGTTTTTTTTTTTTGAAAATCTCGAACGTCGTTCGAGTTAAAGGGCTAGAAATTGGTGTGAATTATTTTTATTTGATGCCATATCGATCCCCTAAGTGTTGGTCAAAAAAGCCATGGCGGCAGATTTCCCATACTTATCCGGCTATGCCCTTTGGTTTTAACAAGAGTAATGTTTCTATTGTCTCAACTTATTTGCTGGAGATATGCTCTTCATCATTCTCTGATAAGCCAGATAACAGTTCTTTCATAAATTACTTTAAATTGATTACTCAACCAACATTAAATTGATTTAAAAAACTATATGTAACTATGTTGTATCAGTTACTGTTATCACTATTTTACATTAATTTATGTGAGGTTGTAAGACTTGTATCACTAAAACTAAATCTATTCAAACAATAAGGTGAAATTTGAACAGAATTGACAAATATACTACTAATATTATAATTGCAAAAGTTTGTGAGTGTGTGTGTATGTTTGTTACTTCTTCACGCTCAAACGGCTGAACCGATTTTGATTAAATTTTGTACACAGGAAGCTGACGTCCAGGAATAACATCCCGGAAATCACAAAAATCCCGGAAATCCGCGGGTAACACCGCGGGGCGCAGCTAGTATATTTATAAAGACTATAAAAACTAACTTCTAATACTGTCAAAACTTGATTAATCTTTGATGATATGTATACCAAGATACATTCATATAAATCTTCAATATCTTTTACTCACTTGCAATATCTTTCCTTTCCTAATCCATCCCTTGATGAACTTGGGGTCAAGCTTGCAGCACTGCTCACAGTCCTTGAGGCCCAGGTCGAAGGCTGCCAGCTTGGTGTAGCAGGCGGCTCTGTTTGAGTACAGCTTGGGGTCATCGGGGTTACGTTTGATGGCCTCCGAGTAATGTTTCATCGCTGTGCTGTAGTCTCCTGAAGTACAAGTGGAAGTGTTTCATTGTATAACAGTTTATAGGTTTTAGACTTGCTATGTTATAGATGATTTTATTAATATTTCCTAATCAAGATTTGGGTTTCAACACAGTGAAGCAAGAAATTACTGCATGTATAAACTACCGTCAAAATGTAACAAGTCATGTTAATGATCTAACTGCTAGACTAACGGGTGCTGAAAGTATTACTTACATGAGACTGAGAAGGAACCGTATTTCAATATGTACTTAAAAAGCATTTTCTAAAAGATAAGAGAGAGTTGTCAATGGATAACTTTTTGTGCTCCAGGAAATAAATTCCAAGACATGGCTCAAATAATGAAACAGCTAAATGTGATAAGCAAGATAAAAAAAAAATAGTTTTCCTAATGCTGCGTCTGCTGCATGTTACATATTAAGTGAATATCTTAGTGATTAATCCTAAATATATTTATTTATAGTTTGTATATTATTTTTTCATGTTGTTGTTACCTTATGATATATAAATACATATTTGTAATTATAAACACATATAGAAAAGATATTAAAAATTACATAACAAATTGGCCACAAGTTTTTTCTTTCCATAACATTCTCATTGTTGGTAAAAAGTACCCCATAGAAATACACTTGACGAATTCAAATATAAAGGAATGTATAGTGCGTTTGATCTAAGCTGAGCTTTGCATTTGTGTGAGTGCACACGGATAGTGTAGGTGTGATGTCAAATTTTTTAATGCCTCATTCTTTTTTAGTTCTTAACCGGTTTATTCTGCTTTTACTCCGCCCCGCACCTTCCTCACTTCACCCTTTGTACTGGTAGCAAAGTCAAATGTTGAAAACGCAATGTCAAGTGAACAAAAATTTGTATTGTTTTTTTAAATTTTCAGGCTTAAAAATTTTTGTTTCATAAAATGTATTTCCATTTGGCCTTTTACAAGTTTTGCTTATTTTATTTTTAATCTAGAATAGATCTAGCACTTATGTATTTATTTAAAATATAATAGAATTTAATTCTAAAAGTTATTTGTCTAACTCTACTTTCACTCACACAAATGCAAAGCTCAGCTTAAGTATAACGGACTATAGTATTCGAATTTCAATGATATTTAGTAATGATGAATGCCATTCTTTATACTGACCTTGTTTGAAGAACTCGTTTCCAAGTTCCTTCTCCTGTTCAGCCTTCACGGGGTCTATGTAAGCCTTCTTCTCTTCTTCAACAATCTTCTTCTCCACTTCACTGAGGAGCGTCTTTATCTCTGGCGTACGATGCTCCGACATTGATTTTTCAAAATAGGTTTTAGCTAATTTCCATTGTTCCATCTTTTTGTATGCATTACCTATTAAAAAATGTTTATTAAATAATGTTGAACAGTTATATCTGTTGCAAATTACTTTAAAAACTGATTTTAAATGTACAATTATTAGATGTAAATTGTATCCATATCACTCTGTGTTGGTAAGAGCAGTTATATGGTTTCCTGTTGTATAAAAAAAATCTTATCTTTCAATAGAAAAAAGGTTAAATAAAAATCAGTGGTGGCCTAGTGGTTAAAGGACCGCCTCTCATGCACGAGGGCGCGGGTTTCGATCTGGCCCGGGCAAATACCAATGTGATTTTACCGAGTCATATGTACTTACTAAGAGTATTTAGACACAACTGACAGAGTGTGAAGGAAAACATCGGAAGGAAACCTGGACTTATAATTTCGATTATACATTTGAAATCACCAACCCATCTTGAGCAAGTGTGGTGATTAATGCATTCCCAAAAAAGGGTTGATGTCAGGTAGGCAGTCGGATGTAAAAACAATTAGCCAAAAACTATTTACAACATATAAGGCAGACCCTGTCTAAATCTGGGAAATTGTCAGGAAGAATAAGAGAAAAAAGGTTAAATATAACTCACCGATTCTTGTGAATGCTTTGGCAATCAGTTTGAAATCGGCTCTGTTCTCCCTTCCAATCTCGATAGCCTTTTCACACTCTTTAATACACTTTTCATATTCCTTTTGTTCAAAGAACACAGCGGCTAGATTTGTATAAAATGTGATATCTGTTGAATAATGTTCGATAGCTTTGTTGTAATGCTTTATAGCGTTATCAAAGTCTTTTTTCTTGTAACATTCATTTCCTAGATCTTTTTCTTGTAAGGCTAGCCGACGGTTCTCGGGGAGGTCGTCATATTTTGGTTTGGGAGGCTCTTCTTTTTTGGGTGCCGGTTTCGGTTTCGACTCTGATGCTGGAGGATCGACATCCATTGGTGAACCTTTCTCGGGATTCAGTCCTAATAGAACGGCTATAGTCGGTAAAACTCTTTCACTTTGTGTCGGCCAGTTCAGTGAATTTGGATCACTGGGATTGAAGTTCTGAAATTATGTTTTGATTTATTCATAATTTGTGACAAAAAAAACTACTTCATGTGTCTGATGAAGGATTTGATATAAACAACAAAATTTACAAAAGTGAAGTAAGTTATTTTTAGCCAGTAATAAATAATAATGGTTTTAAATATAAAACAATAGTTAGAACATTCAATTTGTAATCACTATAAAATGAGAACAAAGACTGTGTAATCAGATTAAATCATGTTTTATTGAACTCACTGACTCTGACATATCACTTCATGTAAAACTATCTTAATATTATGAACACTAATGATACATTGTTAATATAATAATGATGACAAACCTTCACTAGTTGTACATATTCCGGATCATTCAACCACTCCCTCGTTTGTGGATTCGCTCTTAGTTTCTCGATCCATGTCTGTGATACTAGTTCTGCCTCCTCAGCTTGCTTCTTTACCTCCGCTAAGCCTGACGCTAATTGTTGATTAGAAGGATCTAGCTGTAAACCTTTTTCGTAAGCCTCGATGGCTTCTTCATGTCGGCCTAGGTATGCTAAAGCACTACCCTTTCTAGAATATCCTTTGCTCCAACTAGGATTAATAGCTACTGTTTTATTTGCATCCTCTAACGCCTCCGCATAGTTACCTGCTTTTGCATGCGCTGCTGATCGGTTACTATACAAAACGTGGTTTTTTGGATCTAATTCTATAGCACTAGTATATAGTTTTACGGCCTCGGCGTACTGGCCGGAGGACAAAGCGGCGTTACCTTTCTCCTTTAATTGATTGACCTGGAATAAAATGTACCTTTTATGTTCGTCCGTTTCGTAAAATTTAAAAAAAATTATTCCAAAACAGCTGAATTGTGAATAACCTCACCTGTTCCATGATCTTGGTATTTAGTTATTGTTAATAACTCTTGAATCACCCCTCTATAAACACTCGTCCCATTAATTATAACACTAGATAGAGATTCAGTTTAATATTTGTTAAGGCTCCGGTAAAGTCTAGAACGAATATGTATGAATAATGAATGAAGGAATACTGACACTTCAAATTCGAGAATTTTCTCGTTACTCAGTAGATGCGGTTCAGTATTGCAATTGTATATTCATTTAACGTGACGGTGTATTTTGGGTTTTATTATTAATACAAGAAGTGGAAAAAAGCAAATGTACTAATATAAATAATAAAGAAAATTACTTAATGCACAATATTATTTGATTATTTTATAATATTAAAATGTAACCTATTATATTTTTGATAAATTATTTAAACACATTTTTTTAATAACTGAAAATGTATACTTAAATGTTATATAAATATATGTTTATATTTATTAATTTAAAAATTTAAACAATAATTTTATTCTACTCGAAGAAAACGAATATTATCTGTGCTGTGGAGTTGAATATGTTATCTGTATCAAGCTAGTGTCACGCTAATCGCTATTTTGTAGTATCCATGATTACAATTGGCAAACGTTGTGGGGAATACCAAGTGAATTACTGGTGATCGATGGCAAATTGACCGTTTCCGTCCCCAAACATCAACGGGTTGCGTGTTCCCGTAGCTCCTGGTGACTCATCGAGGCTCTACATATATTTGTCACCATGGACACAGATGATGGAGAATCCTCGAGCAGTGGGCCTATGTCCAGTTTAAATAGCCTCTTCACGTTCACTAGTCCCGCTGTAAAGAAACTTCTTGGCTGGAAGCAGGTAAAAAGATTTCCATTGATTGTAAAGAATTGCTAATTATTTATATGTATTCAATCGTATCTGCTTCCTGTTTTGCCGTATAACTATGCTTTTTAATTAATAATCTAATAGCTATATTTATAATTGATTATTACAAGTAGAGTCGCGTATGAAACGCCTAGGATATTTTATTACTAATAATGATTAAATCTAGATAATAGTTCCAAGAGGTTTGTATAAATAAAAGTATGTATAAAAAATTAATTATTGTACACTTTAAATTCTTTGGGTCCTTACTTCATGTGAAGTAATAAATCATGATGTATATTATATATATTAATCAAGATAATAGAAGTATTGAATGATAAAAATCAAACAGAAATGTATAGATGGCTATCATGAAGTCTATTAGTAAAAAAATTAATATAAACTAGTGCAAATAGATGAAAATATTTTAAATGATTTTATTCACATTTTTGTATAATAATTTAATAAGTTCTAGTCAGTTTCTGATACTTTCTATTGAAACTTAAAAAATAAAAACTACTCAAAAATTTATAACATGAAAAATATTTAATATGTATCTGTTTCATTAAAGTTATATATTTAGAATTTTTGTACATAAATTATATGATCATGAAATAAGTATAGCATAATGTAAAAATATTCTTAAAGTTTATAAATAGATATAATTGATAAGTACAGAACTTTTAACTGTAATTATAACAATTTTTATATCATCAGTTTTATATTAAAATCTCAAATACCTCAGGTCTACCTGTTACATGTCATAGTTGAAGTATGTTTGTAGACAATATGAGTTGTGTCCGTGTGTACTATGTTGTAGTAATAGGGTTTTGGTTGTTCATGACTCACCATTGATTCATACTATTTACAGAATTCAGATATGATGAATGAGTCTATTTTAAATATATCTTGTACATATATGTATATTACATAATTTGAAGATTTCTTTCTTGGAATTATTGATATGAAATTTTGGACATTCTTTTGTACATATTTTTTTATAGAAAGAAATTTTTGTATAGAAAGACAAGAAAAAATTCTTAGAATTATATGTTCTTATATACAGGGTGACTGGTGAATTACTATCAATATTTAAGGAGAATACTCGGTACATGATTCTCATTCGAATTATGTAAAATAATAGGTACTTAATTTTTGACCAAATTTCCGTATAAATAAATAAAGTGCGGACACATTCCAAATGTTCCAAGTGTGGACGCGTATGGTGCCGTGCTGATACAACACTACGCCGCCACACGTGTATGTGTGTGTGTGTGTATACCTAATCTGTAGGGTGTTCACACGATGTGTAATTAATTACATAACTTTTGGTTAACTTTACTTAGAAGTTTATTAATATTTATGTTATATTAATTTTTATTTTGTCATATATGATCGTCAAATATCACGTCCTCAAGTATCGATAGTAATTCACCAGTCACCCTGTATATGTATAATATTAATAACATTCAATTATTGGAAAGTTTATGAGAAGACAGAAAATATTTTTATGTTTATTCTTAAAAACATTGTATACTTAATGCATCTTGTGCGTTATAATGAAACAAAATTAGATATTTCATTTTGTAACATCTATTTTTGTTGTTACATATAAAATTATGATATTTTTTTAACTTTTACTTTTATAGAATGTTAAATTTAAGTATAATAGAGCATTGTAATGATAAAGAATTATTTCTTCTGTAGTAAAATTTAGCATATACTGTCTAATAAAAGATGTGAGTCTAATACGAGATTTGAACATATCTTCTGACTATTTTCATGGTTGCTGCAAAGTAACTATAACGTTGGGAGTATGTAGCCAAAATAATAAAAATCGTATAGTAATTTTTTAAAATATTAATAGTTTCCCGGGCAAAGTAGAGGAAAGTGAGTAGGAAAGATGATGATTAGTTTTATTTCAATAAATACTTCGGTAAATCGTAGATCTCATTATACAGGGTGACTGGTGAATTACTATCAATATTTAAGGAGAATACTCGGTACATGATTCTCATTCGAATTATGTAAAAAAAATAGGTACTTAATTTTTGACCAAATTTCCGTATAAATAAATAAAGTGTGTACACGTTCCAAGTGTTCCAAGTGTGGCCGCGCGCGGCGACGTGCTGATACAACACCACGCCCCCGCCGCGTATGTGTGAGTGTGTGTGTATACCTAATCTGTAGGGTGCTCACACGATGCGTAATTAATTACACAACTTTTGGTTAACTTTACTTAGAAGTTTATTAATATTTATGTTATATTAATTTTTATTTTATCATATATGATCGTCAAATATCACGTCCTCAAATATTGATAGTAATTCACCAGTCACCCTGTATATTGTCTTAATTAAAATTCCAGGGTGACGAGGAAGAAAAATGGGCAGAGAAGGCAGTTGACAGTCTGGTCAAGAAATTAAAGAAGAGGAAAGGTGCTATCGAGGAACTGGAAAGAGCATTATCTTGTCCGGGAACACCCTCCAAGTGTGTGACTATACCGCGGTCGTTGGATGGAAGGTTGCAGGTACATTAAACATGTCCTACTAACATTTATCTAAATATTGGTAGAAATTTACCATTGGATTGATTAAGCTAATATGTAAATCTTTGTGCATTGGTTAGATTACATACATAACCACATGATTTCCCCAACAAGGTTTAAGTTAGTATAAACAAACTGTACCCCTAAATTGACTGAACTTTGTTATTTGTCCACATTCCAGGTGTCCCATCGTAAAGGTTTACCACACGTCATATACTGCAGAGTGTGGAGGTGGCCGGACCTACAGAGCCATCACGAGCTCAAGCCGCTCGAAATATGCCAGTACCCGTTCAGCGCGAAGCAGAAGGAGGTATGCATAAACCCTTACCACTACAAGCGTGTGGAGAGCCCCGTGCTCCCGCCGGTGCTGGTGCCGCGACACTCGGAGTTCGCCCCCGGACATTCCCTGCTGCCCTTCCAGAGGACCTCTGAGCCGGCCATGCCCCACAACGTTTCCTACTCGGGCTCAGGGTTCCCACCATCAGCGACGTCTGAACTACCCGACACCCCGCCCCCCGCGTACTCCCCCCCCTCCGACGACTCCGAACCTCCAGGCGAGGTCGCCCCCGTCTCCTACCAAGAACCTCTGTACTGGGCGTCCGTAGCCTACTACGAGCTGAACTGTCGTGTCGGCGAGGTGTTCCACTGCAACTCACACTCGGTGGTAGTGGACGGGTTCACGGACCCGTCGAACAACAGCGACAGGTTCTGTCTCGGCCAGCTCAGCAACGTGAACAGGAACTCTACCATCGAGAACACGCGGCGTCACATAGGGAAGGGGGTGCATCTGTACTACGTGGGTGGAGAGGTGTACGCGGAGTGTCTGTCGGACGCCGCGATCTTCGTTCAGAGCCGGAACTGCAATCACCACCACGGCTTCCACCCGTCCACCGTGTGTAAGATACCTCCGGGCTGCTCCTTGAAGATATTCAACAACCGGGAGTTCGCGCAGCTGCTCTCGCAGAGCGTCAACCACGGCTTCGAGGCCGTGTACGAGCTGACCAAGATGTGCACTATACGGATGTCGTTCGTGAAGGGCTGGGGGGCGGAGTACCACCGGCAGGACGTGACCTCCACGCCCTGCTGGATAGAGATCCATCTGCACGGACCTCTGCAGTGGCTGGACAAGGTCCTCACTCAGATGGGCTCCCCGCACAACGCCATCTCCTCGGTGTCTTAGCCGACCGGTTCGTCCAACAGAACATGGTGCACTGCGGTTACGGTTTCCTGGTGAATTCAAATCTCGATGATGGTGTTACAGCGTGCAGCCAGTCACCGGCGATCATTTCTATCGAAATATTTCGAAATTTTAGCTCAAATGATGTGTCCAACGTGAATATAGGTTTATAGTAAGTGTATGGATAAAGACGTGCGGTAGAGGGAGCGCGGACCTCGCTCCTGTAATGACATGTAAAGCTTCTAGTTATAAAGAAATGCAATTTTTTTTATTATTTTTGACTAACATTTACATTATTGTAACAAGTTATTGGGGCATCTCGGTACAGTTTTGTTTATTTGAAATTTTTACAAAAAAAATGATAAGATTGTGTTGCAAGTTGGGATCGGTGTAAATAATATTTCTAAAGTGTCACTGAGAACTCGATAACGTTAGGTGTAGTTAGTGGTAAGGGATAATGTGTTCTACGTTATTATAGAATAAATCATGAACTATATGTATATGGATATTATTATATGAGGATGGAGACGAGACCAAATGTAAGAACAATGATTCCTTACGTTTGACCTTACATATATTAGACAGTGGCCCATGTGGATGTGCCATTTTGATTAAATTGTAAAAAAAATATATAAAGACAAAGACATATATTATTATTGGATATTAATTGTTTTTTTGTTGTAAGATTGATATTTTTTTTGAATTGTACATTTTGTTACGTCTATGTTTTTGTTGGTCTGCGTTCGAATGGAAATTTAAGAAAGAGGAATTAGAATAAAGAAATTAATTGAATTTTAAACCAAATTGGGACAGCATGGAAAGTTAAAATGTTTTATATGTGATTGATCTCAAAATAATAATAAGTACGCTTTAGTTCCTTCTAAAGAATCACTGTAGCATGTCCCTAACGCAACTTACAATACATATGAAGAACATTATCCATCATAAGAATTATTATTATGAAGAAAGAATGCAATTTATTTGGCATTAGTATAATGTATTCACGGCTTATTATAACTGAATATTCCTATAGTTATGTATTGAATTATTGCACTCATATACAGCTATAGTAAAGAATTGAATCTGCTATATATAAGTCTTAATTTGTTCAATTATAATTTTCCTACTGGTAGGCCGCCCAGTGACAAACTATTTTTGAAGTGCCACTATTTTTAATCCATGGTTAGTAACAGACTTACATAACAGAGATTTAATTAAGAGACAGTTAAATTATATTTTAAATGTTAAAAATATTATGTTCAGAATAGTTTCAGCGGTAGATAGAGCCTCATTCATTTATGTATTCAATGATGTGCCTTTGTAAGCCGGTCTGCCTTACTCCTAATTTGTATATTTTTAATGTATGTAACAGTGCCTAGTTGTATGGATGCCTTATTTTGAATATGTCATTGATACAGGGTTAATGTTGAAAGGAGCTCCGTACTCCACAATATATTGTTAACATTGAATACTTTTATATTCAACACTTTGGAAGTCCAATGAATAAAATAATTATAAAATTTTCCCCCACAGAGATGAACTATTTAAGGATATTTTAATACGATTGTATTTCATGTTGCGGTTGAAATTGACTTAGATAGTGTTAGTGTTAATATAACACTGAGTATACTTGTTGATATATGTAGTGACGAAACACGGGAGATTCTATTAGTATTGGAATGTATTTACATCGAAATACACATATACAGAACTGTATGCCATTGTATTTATTGATGTGAACTTTGGTTCATCGATTTTGTATTATTATTAAATATATGGAATGTAGTGGCTTGGTGTGTTCGTGGATGTCTGTCGTTACTCCTTGTGTCCGGATACAGTTATATACATATAATTATTAATATAATGTATAAAATATATTTCCTAAATAACGTATTTTCTGTCATTTCCAACTGTCAAGGATGCAAGTGTCAACGTCACAACGAATGTAGCGTTTGTTTTTATTTTAATATTTGGAGTCATAGTAGTTGTGATGTTCGGCCGCGTGACGCTCAGCCACGTGTAATCGCTAAACATACCTTATTATTAGTGTCATAGGGTTTAAATTTAAGATGCAGCTTAAATTAAGTTATATTTAAGCGCAATAGATGCCATTGCTCCTGTAATTTCTATTATGAATATTTTCTCCGTTTAGTACATAATAAAGTTTCTTTTATGTATGTGGCGTTTTTTTTATTCTGTTCTTCATTATATTTTAAAAATAGTATGATTTTATTAGTAAAATTTATTTATTCTATAGTCAAATCTAATTTTGGGAGCGTTCAAGTATTACGTGACACAATCTGGGGGGGGGGAAGGGAGGGGTCTCGTAAATGTTACGATTCATTACAAGGGCGGGAGGGGGTGTTTCTTACATAACGTTACGTAGCATTGATTATAAATAAATTAATGAATTAAACCCCCCAAACTGGCAACCCTTTTTATATACGTTACGTTTGTACAGAAAAACGTTACGGTGCGTTACAAGGGGGCGAAGGGGGATCAGAAATCGTTGAAAATTGCGTTACGTAATACTTAAACACTCCCTTAATATAAATAAATTAATGTGGACATCTACAACAATTATGCTTCTTATCCACTTATCCGAGATTAGATGTAACAGTAAAATATTTTATACTACAATAGTTATAGTAAGGTAGGTTGTATTAATAGCGTTGTACACCTGTACTTAGCTGTTGCTACACCGTGATCGTCCTACATCGGGAAATAGAACCAATACCAACCAACATGTAATTATCAGATCAAAGTGTAGCATTATGAAAGCGGCGCGGCGGTATCAGTGGCGAAATACTTTATAGGAACATATTAAAACTGACGCAGCGAAGAAAGATACGACGAAAGATGAATGGAGGCAGCAGCAACCAAAGGTTGGACTAAATAAAAAAAAATAACAAAAAAATCTCAAGTCAGGGTAATTTCTTCAGTATCTCAATTAATAAATATTTCTTAATCGTGCTTTATATAAGTATAAGAGTATGACCATTGAATTAAGTCAAAGTATTGTCTGAAGGCAATTGTCAAGAGTCTCGTGTAGTCTAGACTAAATATCGTAACTATACTAAAACGGAACGTACGACCCTTGTTTATAATTCTGCACATGAAAAACAGGCCATGCGCGTCGCAACGAAATACTTTATTATATAATGATCAATAATATTACACATTGATACTCGCAACGCTCTATAAATAATAACTACATAGAATGACTATGTGTCACACATAAACGACAAGCTTCTGCGTACGGATTAGTGCAAAATATTTATCATGCTTTTTCTCTAATCACATACCGGGTTTCCATTTTAAATTCTTCGAAAAGTTTAAGTTTTTATATCATATGACCCACATATCAGTAATAATTTCTGTACGTGAATTTAGTTAATGTTTTTGTAATATCGCTTTGGTCATGTAACGTACTAATGAAACATGCGAAACGGAGCGGCGAGTCGTTTTTAGAATTTTAAATATGGCGACACGGTCGCAGTGAAAATTGTGTTCTATTACATTATATCGACAAATAAAAAGAGATTATTATGAAAGAATTTTCAATAATAATTACCTAATACCTATGTCTGGGTTATAATTGCCATAACTGCTATTATAAATTAAAAAGTTGGTACGTCATTTAATCTCGTGAGGTTTGGCTGAATTCCTTGGTCCTAAAATAAAAGTAAAAATACGATGCCGTTGTAATCATAATATAAATTTAATAATAATATAGTTTACATCGTCAATGGACGTCCTGTTGTTTCTTTATAAAGTTATATTTTTCTTGAATACGGGAAAAATTTCAATCACGTAAAACCTTGTGATGTTTGTTTTAATAATTACAAGGTCAATATCCCTTGAACATGTGACTCAAGAAAATATCATATTTTCGTTTTAATGTTTTTATTATAGTTTAATTGTAAATTGGGTTACAGTATGTATACTCGTAGAAGTTTTTAAGTATTTTAACCACATTTTCCATTCTATCGCTTATATAATCAATTAAAGTTAGGTAACAACCTATACATATAATGTGATATTGCGATTACAAATATCGAAAGGGTTTGTAGTACCTTTAAGTACAAGTTTCTTGAGTTACCACAAGTTGTTTATCTTGAAACTACAAACGGACAGTGTATTGGTATTAATTCGTATATCTCCGTTGTTTTAAAGACTAGATACTCCATATTTTACTTGTAAACGCATACTTGTAGTAAGATATCAATAATGCTTAGTCCTAATTGACATCGATGCACTGCATACAAAGCTTTCGTCTTCTCGTTTAAAAATCTTTAATACTATGTGCGAAGATTGATGAATGAAGTACTGTCAGGAGTATGTACTGTGACTCACAACTTGGACTAAGCACCCAGTTCTATTGTAAACAGCGGACATACTTTACATAATTTCTCATATTTTTATGTATATTTTAACATTAATACCGGATATTTATAATATTAAGACCTGATTCACGTGACCTTTTAGACGCTATATTATATATATGGTTTATATTTTCCTGCCCTAATACAAAAATTAATAACTGGACTGATTTAATACCAAAATAATGTTCATTTAATGTGTCGCGGAAACAATAAAATTAAGTTTTGAAATGTTAATATTTTATATAATGCTATTAATTTGCCTAATGATTTAATTTTTAGACAGTCAAATAATTTATTCTTCTTCTTCTACCTGGCAATTTATCCCAGCTATAACCAGGGTCTGCCTAACATGTTGTGTATGGTTTTGGCTATTTGTTTTTACGACCGGCCGCCTGCCTGACATCAACCCTCTTTTTGGGAATAAACATTAATCAGTGATGTCTAAATATTCTTAGAAAGTACATATGACTCGGAAAAATCACATTGGTACTTGCCCGGGCCAGGATCGAACCCGCGCCCTCGGCAACGAGAGGCGGGCCCTTTAACCACTGAGCCACCACTGACTAGTTAAATAATTTATTATTGAACCTTAATTTTTTTGTCTATTTTTCCACATTTCTTTAAATATTCTTTTGGGAGAAAGTTCTAATTTAAGTTTTTTTTTTTTTATAATTTTTTTTAATACGCGCCACACTTTTTATGTACTAACTGTCACAATGTCATACATTTTTCTTATTTAGCCTCCAAAGTGAATTCCATGGCAATGAAAAAGAATTCTGTTTATTATTGTTATAGAAGGTCGCCTTTTTGTTATGTTTTAGTAACAACGTAAGAATTTCTTAAGTGTATCTTCATTATGTCCTAGAAAGAATATTTCCATATATGTATAAACTGTATGGAGTATCGAAAGTCAAATATTGTGAAATTACATTTTCATCTATAAAATATTAAATATCAAAAGGTACGTAAGTTAATTACAGCAATAAAAACTTGAAAAATATAATTACATACAAAAACGTCAGAAATAAAACTATGACACACTAATTTCGACGAAAATGTATCAGAACCTTTTCATATAACAACCACAACCTTGACTTATATAACTTCCTATATTTTAAGTAATCAATTATATAGAATTTTACACTTTAAATACGATCATGAATGATATAGTTGAGAAAACTGCGCAAAAGAAATGATTAATAGAACACGTCAATGGAGTGACCGGCCGTGAAGAGTGGAAAGATGGAATGGGGATATCAGTAGCAATCAATGACGGTCACAAATAACTAAATAATATTGTAATCAGTTCACTTTATTTGTATTTATTCCTTTTTTATTAGATTAAGCGTCATGTTTTCTAGAATATATCCTCAAATGTATAAATATGCTATCAAAACATACTTAGTATCAAAATAATTTCGTAATAAAGAAAATTGTTTACAAAAATCTCCATCGGACTTTCAGTGATCTTTTAAACAAAATTTGAGTTATATGTTAAAAGTCTAATATCATTTTAATAGTTTAAAATGAGTAAAAGAAAATTATCGGAACAAAAGTTTATTATAACGAGTCTACCTCAATATCTTGACATATTTTCTCCATTCTCATTTGACGTATAATGTTGCGACTCGTCCTTGCGAACATCTAGGATTCTAGATCATTCTCGCGGTCTGAATCTGAACCTGACTTATACCTACTCCGTTCTGTGGTTTCACTGTTAAGTTAAATCTTAATTTATATTCATACATAGTAACTTCTTTCCGCATACTTTTACGATTTATAAATGCATATTCATGCTCGTTTTTAATTCTAAATTATCAATTTTTGAAACTTACTGATTAAAAATATCGGTTCTATAAATGTCTATTAAAAGATCAGTTATGTTTTAAGTATGTAAAAGTACGAATTTGTTATTCTGAATGGGGATGTCGTATATGTAATTATTTATAATATATAATGAAGGGTGAGTCACTAAATATGATTCCCGCACATCGTCTTCTATTACAACACTGCTGTTTCTGTTCTGACCGCACAATATTAAGCTGTTGAGACGTTATAAATACAGCTGGCTAGCGTCTCTTGACCAAGTGTTCCTTTGGACGCCATAGTGACAACACGACGCGCGAAAAACATTTTGACATGTTTGTTATCAAGGTTGGTATTATTGTTATTTACTTATTAGAAACAATATAAAAAATAAATTATAAATATATGAAAATATAAATTAATATAATTACATTTAAATGAAACTAATATTTTTCGAATTTTGCGCGTATTGATCAGGGTTGCTGCAAAATAACCGAAACGTCAGGATTATGTAGTTTTTAAAATAATATAATAATAATAATAAAGCTTTTTATTTCAGTGTAAAGTATGTTACATTACTAAGTGTTAGTAAATTGCTTATAACTAGGTTAGTTTATAAATGTATTTGCAAATAATAAATTACGCATAATAATTCTAAAAATATTAGTTTCATTTAAATGAATACTCGTGAAAGACGTAGATCTCATTATTATAAATCAAAGTTATTTGAAAACTACATACATTGGATGTATGGCGTCGTGCATAAAAAGTATTGATCATTAACAGCAACTTTATAAGTTTGTAATATTAATCAAAATATTGCGTGTGTTATTTGACGTATGATACGAAATTCCAATAAATGTTATAAAATATTTAAAGTATTAATGTCATAAGTTATGGAAAAATGGTCACACAAATTGCGTGTAAAGTTTTTTTTACAAATCTATGACAGAAATAATTTTATCAATTAAATAAAATGTTAATATGTAGTACGAGTATGTACTTTAAATTGAAATTTTGGCGGAAAATGAAACTTAGCCGAATAAAGTAATATATTTGGATTGAAAAATAATTTGTGCTATTTAAGTAGTTTAACATAATATTATATAATACTTAATTATATATTTGAAACAAGCAAGTTAGGCTCAAAATAAAACCTCTTTTTTAAGTATAGTTTTATTGTAATACATTGTTCTACTAACATATAAATAAGTTTATGTATAACTAATAAGAAATGCTGTTTGTACTCTAAATTGAATTCAATTAATAGTGAGCAAAGCCGTGTTGTAATACAAGTGTTACATTACATCGGAATGTATAGTTGTTTATCAAAGGTTGTTGTGGACGGAATTTAAATCTGAAACGTAGGCGCAGCGTTACACAACGCAACCTAAATAATATTAGCAAGACTATTAATATTGACAAATATGGAATTAATATAATTATTACATTAATATAACAAAAAATAAAGTTACTTTAAATCATTCCCGAAGAGGGTTGATGTCAGGCAGGCGGCCGGTCGTAAAAACAATTAGCCAAAACTATTCACAACATGTAACGCAGATCCTGGCTAAAGCTGGGAAATTGACAGGAAGAGAAGACTTTAAATTTTAATATTTTGTTGATCTAAATACGATGTAATACAAACTCAGTACTCCTAACGTCTCGTTTTGCCTAAAACAGAAATAACTTTGAGTAATATAGCTGTTTAATTTTACAAAGATGATACGTAGCCCGTAGCGAGGCTCTCACGAGTGTAGACTCATCTTCACTGATGCAGCCTTCACTCGTAGAATGTCTACGTATTTTTTTCATATATATTATATTAGATAGACTTGTAGGTGATGTAAATTTCAATGATTTTCTTGATTTATTTGTTGTGAAATAACTAACTGTTAATGGCTAGCATATTTGATATGTAACAAAAAAATATTATTAATAAAGTATCATTTTTTTCGTACATTCCATAATCTTCACAACCCTTAAATGTTTTAAAAATTGACCCTTCATGTATTATCATTAAATTTCAAGTATAATCAAAATGTGTTTAAATATAATAATATTTTTACATATAATATGTGTATTACATAAACGAACGGCCTTCATTATATATAGTGAGATGCAACTAGGCCAGCCCCCGGCGTTGCTCAAACCTATACAAGCAGCATACCAATAACGAATCGATTGACCGTGAGTGTTGCCAGGAATGTTAAAGTCATGTCCTCATGATGCACAACCTTTGTCATGTATCTCCTTTTACGCAAATACACTATTTAGTATGGCAACCCACTATAAGTTTTGCAATCTGTAATATCTTATCAAGTAAGGGATTTCATTGTACCACGAAATTGATTATTGATTATCAATTTTAAATTAGATAAAAGCTATTTTGGTGTTACAATTTAAAATTTAAATATTAGAAGAATTGTTGCCAATATTATACATAAAAGAAAAATAGTAGGAAAAAATGAGATCTAAGATTTTCGCGAGTATTCATTTAAATGAAACTTACTAGATGTCGTCTCGTCTGTCCGTGACACTTTACAGTAATCGAAACGTCGGGAGTATGTAGTTTATAGTCAAAAATAATAAATCGCGTAGTTAACCCGAAAATATTAGTTTCATTTAGTAGGAAAAAACTTCTTAAAACATACAAGGGTAATCAAAACCAATATTACCTCTGACTCGTCGTATATATCCCTAAGTATGTCTGTTGAGCAACATACCTGGTGTATATTTAAATGAACATTAGTGTATAACAGTACGTGTATTAATTATATTGACACCGCATTCCATCCAGTTTCCCCCGTAAGGCTTATTGCGCGTGTACTCGGACAAGGCTGCGAACAGCCGAGGTTCATATAAAAACAAGAAAGATATACACACTATAATAAATGTCGTATACAATACACACACACACACACATACATTTTTTCTTTTAAGTTTTTTTTTGTAATGAACTAAACTAAAAGAAATTAAACTTGCGTTGCTTTGTAACAAAAAAAGAAAGCTTTTAAAGTTTATTCCTTTTCCATTCCTCATTAATTCCATCTTCTATTGCTTTTTTCTATAATATTACCATTATTTTTATCTAGAAACAATTACACGTTAAAAAAACCTTTTTTTAAGTAGCTGAGACCATAGAGTTTACAGAAAAAAATATGACAAGGAATGACTTAAAAATAATAATAAAAACATTTAACTAATAATAACTAAACAAAAACATAGTGTTTTTCTTTACATATATATTTACAGAATTTATAATAGCTTTAAAAAGTCATTGAAAACATACTAATACGATTCAACAAACTGAAAGTCATCGATAAATTGGAGCCTTCAATGAATGAGTCATAATTATGGAGATATATATCAATACATTGTTATTGACCGACATCTTAAAATTGATTAATAAATTTTAATAGTTTTAGTAAATCTATCATATGACATAGTTTCCCGCGCTAATTTTCTGTTCAGTTGCATCGTTTTTTACTTAATGTTATATTACCAACGTGAGTAATTGTATTTATAATATAATAAGTACATAAGACATCTGAGAATTTTGAATATAATTTTCATGCTAATAATTTAATAGTAGTTTTTATAATTAAATTATCAGGCAAAGTCGCGTGATCTGTATAGCGTACATGAGTTCCGTATTAAATCAAGGCCAAAGGACATTCTCCCTGGTTCTTTGTTAAGTAAAACCAACGCCCTCACGTTACTCGAGGCTTCTAGAATTTCCACTCAAATTTAATAATAAAGGTTAAATTTAATAGTTTCGTTTGATCGATCAAGATTATATTAAACCTTAATAAAGTTTGAGAATTAATGGATTGTACATAATAATTAGAAGTAAAAACTTTAGTTATATGTTACGTAAGAAAATTTATTATTATTATTATATTATATATTTCCAGGCGCTCCTGATCAGCGCAGCATGCGCGTGCGCATATTCGCAGTCCCACGGGCCTACAACGACGCCGGTGCCGATTTTGAAACAGATCAACAGACAGAATGACGATGGTTCGTACAGCTTCGGATATGAAGCAGCGGACGGATCCTTCAAGATAGAGACCAAGTACCCCAACGGAGACGTGGCCGGGAAATACGGTTACTTAGACGATACTGGGAAACTGAGGGAGGTGTCTTATGGGGCGAGCAGTCAGAGAGGATTCGAACCAGAAGGTAGAAATATTTATTTAAGTTAAACTAATATTTTGCCCGTTATCATGGTATCTGAAAACTAGCCGAAACGTCGAGAGTATGTAGTTTTTTTTATCAAAAATGAAATCGCGTAGTATATTAAAAAAATGTTATATTCATTTAAATGAATAAGACTCGCGAATTTTAGATGTCATTAACCAATTATTTGGTTTGGATTTGCAAATAAAATCCAAATTTATTAAGCATTTATTTACCAAATCACACAGTATATTGTATATGGATGTAATATATTGCATTTTAGATAATTAACGATTTTGTATATTAATTATAAAATGATTAATATGTGAAAGAAGTCAGAGTTAAAGTATGCCAAAGATAGTCTCACGAGAAACCGGGTCAATTTCTTGTTATAATAAATTGAACTACTAATTTCCATGAGAAGTGTATGGTACGTAATACGATCTAATAACTTGAGTAATAGTTTAAAGAAATGTTAGTTATTTGTGAAATATAACAAAAATATGTTGTTTCTTAAATAATAATTTAGTCTCTGTGTATATTTCTAAGAATTTTGATGTCATAATAAGCAGTCTCGGTCGTTGCTCGTGTTCTTACGCCAATTTCATATTTCTACTGACAACCTTCACGCACTGTTTATCAGATGTCATTATGATAAGAGCTCGGAGGAAATTTGTTTTGTGACTCTGTTAAATCATTTCAAATATATAGTATACTAGCTGACCCGGCAGACTTCGTACTGCCTCAACCAAGAAATAAATTATTTCTTAATAATTTTTTTGGAGTTTACCTTTAAGCCATAAATCTCCGTGTATTGAAGTGCGACAGAATGATTGACATATTAGTTAGTTGTCAAATCTATGTAAAAAAAACATTTGTATGGGAAATAGAAAAGGGCTGTTTTTGTGGTTTTCCCAGTAATGAATCAATTTTTTTCAGCTTTTTGACCTTCCCTGAACCTCCACAAACATTTCAAGACTAAGATAAGATAAATCCGTTTAGCTGTTCTCGAGTTTTAGCGAGACTAATTATATATATAGATTAATAATTAATTATACTATTACATTTTATTGGCACTTAAATATAATGACTTATATCAAGGTTAAAAGTGTTTGATCGGAGATTTATATGTGTAATTATTTTCCAGATTTATGTAGCAGAATATTAATTAATATATGTACTTCACAGGAACTGGTATAATGGTACCTCCACCAACTTTAAACGATCCGAAGACCAGCGCGTTGGCTGACGGCCAGGAAGATGATGGACAGTACCGTGAGGATCCTAGGATTTACGAGGACCAGAAATACAACGGGCGACAAGCGAGACCGAACTCCATCAGGCAGTATCAGCCAGAAAGACAACAGTTCACATCCAGTTTCAGCTCACAGCCACAAGAAAACGTATATCAACCACAACCTGAATACCAACAGCAAAGAGCTTATCAGCCACAATACCAGCCACAGCCATCGCCACAGCCACAGCCACAAAGACCTCTATTCTCCCAACAGACCAATCTCTTCAGCCAATCCCCACAAACTTTCCCCCAATCAGACTTACGGCCTCAGAGCCAAGTGTATCACCAGCAGCCACAGTTCTCATACCAGGCCTACACTCCCCAGCCTTATCAGAACTACCAAACCCAAAACTACCAAGCACAAAACTACCAAACCCAGAACTACCAGAACCCACACCAGAACTTCAACCCCTTCTCCGGCCACCCCGCACAGAACTTCGATCCAAACACAGGATCATACTCAATTAACTTCACCGGTTAATACTTGTTGTTTTTTATACTTTTCTAGTAATAAAAACTGTTTGTAAAATATAATTTTAGGAGTTAATTAACGATACTTAAATATTTATATAACTTTTTTATACGAAACATTCATAAATTCTTAGTTTAAATGAAGTTGATCAAAAATCTCTAACATGGCTGCATGCTACATCCTAGGAGAGCGAACTGGAAAATATGTTTAGTTCAAGTTTGCATCGTTAACTTACATACTTACAGTTTTAGTGTAATTGGAGTTTAAGACAAAAACTTCTACTAAGCATACAGCTCCCTTCATAAAAAATGAAGTTCACAGCTATGAAATAAATACAGAATACTCAAATTTTAAACTTATGAATTTGTAAAGATTTTTTCATTAAATAGACCAAATATAATACGAATAGTATATTTGTACGCGTGTACAATGTATAGAAGTAATTTAGATGTACAATATTAGTTAATTGCTAGTCATTATTATGAAATATTATATTGGTACTGTGAGCTTTAGACATGGCAACATTACACACACATACACACACACACACACACATATATACATGTACATTTATAATACTACAGCAAAGTACATAAATATTTATTTATTTATATTTATACGTAGTATATTTTATATATTAATATATAACATATCTATTTATTTACACATATTATATTTATTCAATATACATTTTCATTATATATGTATATATATTATTATATTATTTTATATATGGTATTGTAGAGCGTTAATGGCGTCGCTTACAAAATGGACGTCAAATTAAAATGTCGGCACGTGTACTGATTGTAAATATTATAATAAACGATTACATAACACTATTGTTTCATTGATTGGTGAAAGGAAATACATTTAAATATATTGCACCAATTTTATTATGTTTTATAACTATTGAATGCAATTTATTTTTTTTAACTTAAGAGGCAAATTAAAAATGAAATATGGATGTCATATTCAAATAATATAGATTATTAAAAGGTGACATTGAAATAACTAACTAATAATAATTTCTATATAAACATAATGATTTAAATACACAAACAATTAATTGCATTAAAGTTGTTAATGATTCAGTTTCTGAAAAAAAAATAGATATTACATTGTATGTCGCGAGTCAAACCTCGTTGGAATACAGATAAAAAATAGTTGTACAATAAATGAAAAGTTTAAAACATATAATACCTCTGTTGTACAAGATCTTATTTATTTAGATATTATAAAATCAGTATATACTTTCTTATTTTTAGCTCCATTTACTTTTCTGACACATTAGTTTAATAAAAAATAGTCTCTTAATAGTTTATTGGATATTCTTTTGTTTTTTATATTAAAATATCAAAAATAGGCACCAACCTTCACATTTAAAGTAATTCTTTGATAACTTTTTTTCCACTACTTAATACTATTTATAAATTTTATTAACATTTTAGTTACAAGCGATATGTTTACATAATTTTTCACAATTTAAACTGTACACAGATTATATGCTAAAGGAAACGAAACTTACGTGTTCTTTAATAGAATAATCATTAAGAAACACTTAACAATTCATTAAGTTTTTTTTATAAACATTCTTGTTATTCTCGTTTTCGTTTCCTTCCGTTTCATGGCGGCCATGTGTGAATAAAATGTAAACTAGTTTTTAATTTAAATATGGCAGGAGGAAATATATGGCTCGCGTCTGCATTCACGAGAAACCTTTTATGAAAAGTTTGATGCACTAATGACAGATAAGTTGAACTTAATCCATACAGCCAAAAATATAAAACCTTTTTTCACTTTTATTAAAATAAATAACTTTCCCTAGAAAACATCTGTTCTTATTGCAATATTATAAATATTATATTAATATGTTTCTTAACTCAAATATTATATTCTTTTATTTTGTATTTGAAAGTTAACATAAAGCGGAACAAGTTAATAGTAAGTTGAACTTGATCCATACAGCCAAAAAATATAAAACCTCTTTTCACTTTTATTAAAATAAATAACTTTCCCTAGAAAACATTTGTTCTTATTGTAAAGTTATACAAAACATCTGTTCTGGTTGCAAACTTATAAATATTATATTAATATGTTTCTTAACTCAAGTATTATATTCTTTTATTTTGTATTTGAAAGTTAATATAAAGCGGAACAAGTTACTAGTTTTTACAATCACTTTCAGTGATAGCAATAAGTGTAACAAAATTCTATTAATTCAGGTCACGATCATGACACTACAATTCCTAGTATTAAGGATTTGAGGCTGTTCCACAGTATTCTGTGAAAAAATATCAATTAGTTACAACGCCTTTTTGCACATAGAGCATCATTTAGCAGAAGTTTTTCCTAAAGTATGTTTTGGCTGTCATTTTTTTGACTTTGACATTGATTAAATATATTAATTAATTTAAAAACATCTATTTTACGATCATTCATTTAAAATTCGTTCAGATATTAGTTTTTTATTATTATTAAATAAAAATAATCTCTATAATTGTTATAGAGTAACAAATGTTATGTCATTATGTGGCTCTGTGCTGCGTTGGTCTGTGCAATTATTTGAGTCTCATACGAAATTAAATGTCACTTCCTAGTTTAAATACTTAATCAATGATATACATACCTTAATATAATCCAATAAGGTTGATAATTTATTGACATTTAACTCCATTTACCGAGGTATGTTTCCTGGAGGCGTTTTAATGTTATAAAAAGTAAGGCGAGTCGGTTTTGAGTCGGTCAATATGACCGGGTCTTCTTATTGAGTGATTTATATCAAAAGATTTTATATTCATACTAAAGTATTGTAAAGGAAATGTTTTGTAAAGTTATAACAAGCACTCTAGAGTGACTCATGATTAACAAGTCAGATACTAGTACCTACATAATGCTTTAAATTTCCTTTTTAGCTCATATAAAGCCATGCTTTTTCTTATATACAAAGCATACTTCTTTCGTTTTTAGTTTTTGATGAAATTTAGTATAGAGATATTAAATGTAACAAACAGATTTGTCGAATGTAATCTTTAACCAACATAAATAATGAGGCTGTGGAGCTGAGTCATACAGATAAGAATATAGGTTTTGAAAACGACGGGAAGGCTTTTAAAATGAAGGTCGAATAGCAGACTACAATATATAATATATACATATTATGTACAACTAGTTAGTACATATGTACTTAATGAAATATATAGACGTTAAGTTCAATACTAAGTTATGAGCGTACTGCGTCTTTCTTCACGTAATTTATATATTTTTCAAATGTATAACATTATGCAGTAAGAGCTAGCGACCTTAGTTACTCACAAGAATGTCGTCCAGCCGAGGTGGACCACTCAGAACTTTGTGACGACAATATTAAAATGATATATTTACGAGACACACCATACAAATAGATTAAAACTAATTGAAAACTATTTAAAGATGAACATATATTTGTTATCAATAACGAAAACGAAATATTTAAAGAATTGTATTCAATTAATAGTTACATCAGACACAATAAAATAATAAGAAAAACTCAGCAACTTAAAAGGCAATGTTTGATTTGTATTTAAGATATAGGAACTTTATACTCTGAACGGAAAATTATTACATAAAAGATTAATTAATAACATAATTACTATTGAAAGAAGCAAAAAACGGATTTTTTAATTTCAACAATATTAAAAATTTCAACTGTAATAAGTGGGTTTATAAAAAGTAATATCCAGTATATATGACGAATTATTTAGTGAAAATAAGTGATGATAATTGAGATAAAAAAATATATATATACGTAATGCTTAGTGTACAGTCTAAAATATTAACACTTCTTTAAACTACAGTGTAATACAAGTGTAGAAGCTTTACGATCTAACCCGAAACTTACATTTAAATGGACATCAAGTTTTAAATGTCACGACCATGTGTATGTATCTGTGTCAAGTACTGATAAGTGACAAGCGACGCTGTCAAATATACATACATACATAGGTCATCCGGAAATATTTAAACACTGTACTATTGATATAGATTAAATACAATATATTATAATACTAGCTTTCCGCCCGCAGCTCCGCCCGCGTGGAGTTCGGTTATATCGCGTTTCCAAGAGAACCTTTCAAAAGTCTGGGATAAAAACTATTCTATGTTCTTTCTCAAGGTCAACTCTTTGTACCAAATTTCATTAAAATCAGTTCAGTGGTTTAGGCGTGAAAGCGTAACAGACAGACAGACAGAGTTACTTTCGCATTTATAATATTATTAGGTATAATACTATTACTTGAACTTTTAAATCCTTTTAAGTATATAGTATTAGGAAGAGATGGAGTATTTAAAAATGGCTAATTAATACAGTGAAGATTTTTTTTTATGCTTAAGAAGGGAACTGAGCAGACGGCATTCTTAATGGAGGTAGTACCGTAATCTATGGACATCCGCAACATAGATTTGCGTATGTGTTGCCACCCTTGATTAGGGAAGAGAGGGAGGATAGAGTGGGAATGGAAGGGAAAAGGGAAGGGTAGGGATAGATGGGAAAAGGGAAATGGCAACCGGCTCTCTCATTCATAGGACGAAACGGAGCCATTAAAGACTGCTTCACGCCGATCTTCTGTGAGAGGGGGTACTTCCACGGACGAGCCATTCCATGATCGAGCTGTATTAACTTGACCACAGCTAGGCTCTACCTACTACAAAATAAAAGAAATTGTAGAGATGTAACTTCGGTTTAAAAATGATAGTCAATTGTCGTTTAAATTTAAATGTATATGTGGTATTAATAATAAATGTTGCATCTATTTTAATTATCAAAGATTAAAAAAGGATATCGAAAGAGGAAGGAAGAGGAAAAAACTCATTACAGACAACAATAAAATATAGTATACATATGTAATAAGTCAAAGATCAAATATATACAGGAGATATGACGTTTTATTTGACTCTGTCTTTGTGATGAAATTCTCGATTTATGATTTCAAACTATAAGTTTGTAATCGACAACCCGCCTAGAGCAAGCGTGG